TTTGACCAAGTCCCATGTCCCATGTCAGGGAGGGTTCAGAGGCGGGCACAGCTGGAACATTTTTTGCCATTTGAGGAGCTTTGACCCTGCCTTTTTTTTTTGAGACAGAGTCTCACTTTGTTGCCCAGGCTAGAGTGAGTGCCATGGCATCAGCCTTGCTCACAGCAACTTCAAACTCCTGGGCTCAAGTGATGCTACTGCCTCAGCCTCCCGAGTAGCTGGGACTACAGGCATGCGCAACCATGCCCGGCTAATTTTTTGTATATATATATATTTTAGTTGGTCAATTAATTTCTTTCTATTTTTGGTAGAGACGGTGTCTCGCTCAGGCTGGTTTCGAACTCCTGACCTTGAGCGATCCACCCGCCTCGGCCTCCCAAAGTGCTAGGATTACAGGCGTGAGCCACCGCGCCCGGCCTCAAGCTAGTTTTTAATTCCTGACCTCGAGCAGTCCTCCCGCCTCGGCCTCCCAGTGCTAGGATTACAGGCGTGAGCCACCACGCCTGGCCTGGCCTTGCCTTTTCTTAAGGCCCATACACACTCCAGGGGTGACTCATACAGGTGGTTTTGCATTGGAACCAGCTGTCACCACCTCCAAGGGGCTGGGAAGTAGGTGTCCCGGTGCGATGGTGCCTGGTGCTGCCAACAGAAAGGCCCAGGCCTCTCCCTGGCAGATGGTATGGACACCGCGTCTAAGCCCACTGCCAGGCCCAGCTTGGTGGCACCTCCAGAGCAGACCATGTGTGCCTCAGCCTGTCACATAGAGGTGCTTGGGGTTGGCTTGCTGTTCTCTGGGCGCAGAGCCCCTGTCCAAAAAGCTGGGTGACAGCAGCAATCCTCGAGGATGTTCAGGCCTCCAGACCCCAGAGATGAAACTACTCAGGGGGTCGGGGCTCAGAGACCCCACTTTCTCGAGAGCTCTCCTCCCACAGCTGGGCTGAGGGTGGCCCTCTGCAACCAGCCCCTTTCTTCTCCCCTAGGCCTGCTGTGACCCTAGGCACAGATGTGGGGCCGGATGCGGGGGGTGGGGAGGGCAGGACAAGGAGAGCTGTGGGCAGAGAGCATCGACTTCAGGTGGGACTCATGCTACCCGCTCTGCCTTCGGGTCACCTGTGCCACTGGACTAGCACAAACCCCGCCTCTGAAGGGAAGCAGGTGGGCCACAGCGCGATGGCACGTGTAGGGCCAGATGCTCTCTCCCCCGCGCCACCTGCCTCTTCTCTTCCATCTGTCAGTTGGGCAGGGGCAGATAGGGCCCTGCCATGTGCTGTGTCTTTCCCTTAGTTGAGTGAGAGATGTGTGTTTCTGTTTTTAAATCGAGGCGGCTGAAGAACTGACCTTCAGAAACATGGAAGTACTTTTAGAAGAGATGCGAGAATCCACAGTTGTGTGTCTTGGAGCCTTGTGTTTGTCTTGAGAGTCGACTGGGAGCAAATGCTGTCTCTTTGGTCAAGAGCCTCATCCCAAAGATACCAGGGGGGAAATATGTAATCCGAGGACATAAGAGATGCAAATTTATTATAGGCCTCTCTGTTTGCTATCAAGCCACAATATAGAGATTTTTAGAATCAACTTTACTGAAGCTTAATATACATACATACCCTAGAATGCACCCACGTTAAGCATACAGTTCAGTGAGTTTTGATGCACACGTGTGTGTGTGTGTGTAACCACCTCTACCACATCCAGTATACAAGACATTTTTGTCCACTGAGGAAGTAACTCCCCCACCTCCCAGCCTACAGCCAGTCCCCTGCCCCAGGCAGCCACAGAGGTAAGGCCATGCCACCTCTGCTTCCTGTGCCCCAGTGGCTCGAGCTCTCAGGAGGGTCCACCTGTGGCCCCCTTGGCCCTGGCCCTGCGCTAGTTTGGCTGGTCACCTGCGCTCGTCCTGCCCACTCCTGTGAGGGCTGAGCAGTGGCGTCTTATTCAGAGCCAGCCCCACGAGTTCAGAAACCAGCTTAGAGCTGATGGGATGTCTCAGTGCTGCCCAGGGCTGTGGGTCCTTACAGCAGGGAGCAGGCAGCCGTGTGCAGTGGCCCTGTCTCAGAAAAGGTGGACGTGCAGAACTGGCCTCTGCCGTGGCCTGGGCTGCTGTGGGCTGATGGACTGTCCAGAGCGAGATTTGGGTGAGGATTTGCCAGTTTGCTTGGCCCTGAGGGGAAAGGACACTTAGCCACTTCCTGCAGACGTTGTCGTGGTGCCCTGTCCTCACGCTGCACTCCCAGTGTCCTGTTGCTCTTTGAGACCCCAGTGGGGCTTGCGGGCTGGCCAGCTTGGTCCCAAGTGGTGTCTACCCCCCCCACCCGACAAACCCTCTCGCCAGAGACGTGCTCCCAGTGATGTGATGCCCAGCTGCCTGGGTGGTGGCCACAGTACAGGGAACCGCTTTCCAGAGCACTGCTGTGGGGCCACGCAGGCCTTCAGTTCAGTCACCTGGAGAGCCCACGTCTGCAGCCCCAGTCTGTCTGGGGTTAGACGCTTGCCTGGCTGTTTTAATGAGGCCCCTTTTCCAGCATCCACGCAGTGTCCCCATCTCACAGATTCAACTAGTAACAGCATTTTGCCACTTCTGCTCCAACTAAATAAATTCAGGGACATTCTGTCATTTTGCCCCTCCAGATGCAATGTGCATCTCTTAACATAAAACGTGCACATTTTTGTGCATAACCACAGTGCCATTCTCATACCTAACAAGATTAACACCTTCATTTGTCACTTAGTTTTGTTTCTTTTGTGTGTTGCCAGATGACTTTTTTTTTTTTTTTTTGAGACAGAGTCTCGCTTTGTTGCCCAGGCTAGAGGGCTAGAGTGAGTGCCATGGCGTCAGCCTAGCTCACAGCAACCTCAAACTCCTGGGTTCAAGCAATCCTGCTGCCTCAGCCTCCCGACTAGCTGGGACTACAGGCATGCGCTACCATGCCCGGCTAATTTTTTCTATATATATATTAGTTGGCCAATTAATTTCTTTCTATTTATGGTAGAGACAGGGTCTTGCTCTTGCTCAGGCTGGTTCAAACTCCTGACCTCGAGCAATCTGCCCGCCTCGGCCTCCCAGAGAGCTAGGATTACATTTTTTTTTTTTTTTGAGACTGAGTCTCACTTTGTTGCCCAGGCTAGGGTAAGTGCCGTGGTGTCAGCCTAGCTCACAGCAACCTCAAACTCCTGGGCTCAAGCGATCCTCTTGCCTCAGCTTCCCAAGTAGCTGGGACTACAGGCATGTGCCACCATGCCCGGCTAATTTTTTCTATATATATTAATTGGCCAATTAATTTCTTTCTATTTATAGTAGAGACGGGGTCTCGCTCTTGCTCAGGCTGGTTTTGAACTCCTGACTCAAGCAATCCGCCCGCCTCGGCCTCCCAGAGTGCTAGGATTACAGGCGTGAGCCACCACACCCAGCTCAGATGACTATTTTTTAAAAATTGTCTGAGGTAAACAGTGCCTGGATTCAGAGCCCTGGGAGCCAAGGGGCGAGGAGGGAAGTCTAGAAAGCAGCTTTCTGAAGTTGAGCTTGAACTAGTTGGCACCCCTGGCCTCGAGCCAGGAGCTGAGAAGACACAGGTTGGGACTCAGAGCAAAGCCGCCCAGATGTCGGTGTTGGCCCTTCTGTGGGTCAAGGCGACGTCCCTAGCAGTGGCTGGACGGGGCTGGTGTTGGCTGTGGATGCCAGCGGCCTGTGTTAATGGGCACTTCCTCTTTGCCAGGCACTGTCCTGGCACCGCGCCAGCAGCCTGTTCCAACTCAGAACCGCCCTGTGAGGGGTTGGCCGCCCTCATTTACAGAGGAGGCTGGAGGGCTGTGTGAGCTGAGGCCAGGCTCAGTGTGCAGATCCTTCCCCGTTTTCGGGGGAGGGAGGGTCGCTGGTGTGGAGGGGGTTGTGCAGAATTCTCGAGGAAGCAGCACCGTGGACAGCTTGGGGCACTTCCCACCCGTGGCAGCTGGAGGTCACAGAGGCTTGGCTTGTCACTCAGGCAAAGCCATGACTGCCAGATCATGAGATAGGAAGATAAGGCCTTTCCTTGGCTGGCAGTGAGTCCCGGGGAGCAGAAGGGCTCTCCGTGCCTCGCACCTGCTCCCCAGTGGTGTCCACCTGGTGGGGAACAGCCTTTCACGATTCTTGCTTGTCTTGGTTATTTCCCTTGGTGGTTCCAAAGTGGTGACTGTCATTATTTCAGCTTTTAATTAGCTGTCATTCTTCTGAAAAAAAAAAAGAACTTTTTCTCAACCTTTAGGGATAAACACAATTCCTCCTAAAAAGACAAGGTAAATATGTGATTATTTCTTTTTATTACCAGTTTTCAACTTTAAAAAGGCTCTGTTTTCCCCTTTGTCAACACTTGGCCAGCCTGCCTGCCTGCCTTCCTCCCTCCTTTCTTCCCTCCCCCCTCCCTATCCAGACTGATACACTGTCCTGATTTAAGAGTCTTTGGCAACTCATGGCCCCTGATTTAAACTTTGGTGTCTCTCACAGTCTTACCCGTGAGTCTTCACCTGCTGGATAGGGGAGAACAAACCGGGTGTGACCCACTCCGCACAGGCACACCCTCTGGTGAAAAAGCCAGCACCACTTCCCTTGGAAATGCAGCCATTCGCTGGTGCTGGCCACTAGGCTACTCCACGGGGGAGTGAGGCGTGGGGGCTGTAGCGCCCACCACCGTCTTTGGCAGCCACCAGGCCCAGGGTTGGGAGGCCGGGCCTCGCACTTTCTGAAGCGGAGGAACTGCTGTCCTGTGCCGTGAGACCAGCCACGGGGCAGCCCAGATGAGAGAGAGGGGAGAGCTGGTCTGGCAGCAGGGCTTCCCTCGGCTGGGCTGAGCAGGGCTGGGGCCTGGGTACCCATCCTGCCCCCGCCCCTGAGCCTCAGTCTCCTCATCTGCAGAGTGGGGCAGAAGCCTCCGCAGAGTGACGGGGGCACCACAGCCAGAGGACACGCTCTGCTGTCCCGTCCTGCCTGCCTCACTAGGTGAGTGTGAGGTGACACTTCCCTCTTCCTGCAGGTGTGAATGACAGAGGTGGTGCCGTCCAGCGCCCTCAGCGAGGTCAGCCTGCGCCTCCTCTGCCACGATGACATAGACACCGTGAAGCACCTGTGCGGCGACTGGTTTCCCATCGAGTAAGTGGAGCGGCGCCATGTCCCCCGCCGCAGACACACGGTCTGCAGGTGCTGGAGCCGGGAGGGCCTTTGGGACTCCAGGGCCACGCTGCAAAGACAGGGACAGGCGTAGAAGAGGCTGGGTGGGGGGATCCAGAGTCACCCAGCACGTTCTTGACCCTAGGCCCCTGCTCCTGGCTCTTTCTGCATCACCGTGTGCCCATGTGAGAGCTACCCAGGGGGCTCTGCTGAGAAACTTCAGTTTCAAAGATGTTCAATGCCATGCTATTTATAACTCAAAAAAACGGCATTATAGGGAGACCACCCTGCAAAAACAGAAAAAGAAAAGAAAGGAAAGATCTTGCCAACCGCCAGTATTTCCAGGAGTGTTCTTCAGACTTGCTGTTTAACTTTATGCTGTCAGCAGGAAGGCTGGGGCGGGCCCCTCTCCATATCTCTGTGGAAGTGTGAACCCTCACGGCCTGCTGGGGATGGCACCGCAGGGGCTTTATAAGTTAAAAAACGTCTTCAGCCCAGCAGTCCTGCTGCGGGAAGCTAAGGCAGCAATGCAGCAGCCAGTGAGTCCATAAATAAGGCCCTGCTGGCTGGAGCCCCCCTGGGCCAAAGGCCCCTGTGCCTCCTGAGATGCCCCTGGCTAGCCTCTCCTGGAATCTTCGTGGGCACAAGGCCTTGAGTTCCCAAGACAGTGGAGTGAACTGTCATCGTGCTGGACCTCGAGGTGGCAAAACAAACCTACACCCATGTCAAACCCCAAGTGCTGCTGCCTCCTGCCCATCTCTCTGGGGCTGGGGCTGGATTTGCCTGTCAGGGACTGCGTCCTGGGCCCTGGTACCAGGTGTCTCTCCCTTGCTCCCCTCTGGGGGTCTTGGCCTTGTTCTTGGTGAGCAGTCCCAGCCACACATTGCTCCCGAGGGCAGGTCGGTCCCCGTCCAGCCTCTCTCAGCTATGAACCTGCCTCCTCGTCACCTCACCACTCTCTAGTCTTCAGCGTCAAAAAGTCTCACAGAGGCCGGGCGCTGTGGCTCACGCCTGTAATCCTAGCTCTTGGGAGGCCGAGGCGGGCGGATTGCTCAAGGTCAGGAGTTCAAAACCAGCCTGAGCAAGAGCGAGACCCCGTCTCTACTATAAATAGAAAGAAATTAATTGGCCAACTGATATATATATAAAAAAATTAGCCGGGCATGGTGGCGCATGCCTGTAGTCCCAGCTACTCGGGAGGCTGAGGCAGAAGGATCGCTTGAGCCCAGGAGTTTGAGGTTGCTGTGAGCTAGGCTGACGCCACGGCACTCACTCTAGCCTGGGCAACAAAGTGAGACTCTGTCTCAAAAAAAAAAAAAAAAAAGTCTCACAGAATTCCTATGGTGACACATCCCAGCATCCATGGTCTACCAAGGGCCCTTACCTCAGCTGGCTGAGAACAAACCACATTTCGCTGACCCCATGTGAATTGCTCTCATGGAGTCAAGTTCACTGGAGTCTTTTCCCCCTCTCATATTTTATGTCTGATAAAATTATTTTTCCCATCAGAAGTTCTAGTCCTGTCTGGACATATCACTGCTGTAAGAAGAACCCATGACAGGTAGAGAGGAAGCGATGGACACACTCTTCCCCAGCCCCAGGGCAGGGGACAGAAGCAGCCTGGAGCCCCCCATGGTTCTGACATCCAGAGCACAGCATTAGTCGGACTTGACCTTGTCGGGTTCACCTGAGTGTGTTCTCTCTCTCAGGTACCCAGACTCATGGTATCGTGATATCACATCCAACAAAAAGTTCTTTTCTCTTGCCGCGACCTACAGAGGTGCCATCGTGGGAATGATAGTAGCTGAAATTAAAAACAGGACCAAGATACATAAAGAGGTACGTGTGTGGCTGTCGCCGGACAGGGCTGGGGGTGCTTTGGATGGAGCCACACCACCTGCGCCGGCCCTTTGTCTGAGGAGCAAGTGAGACCCTTCCCCAGCTGGTCCCTTTCTGTGTATCTGTGATGTCGTAACATGCGTGCCTTTATTCACATGCTGTGGAACAAGGCTTAGTCATGCCGAAGCAGGGACGCGCATAGATGACACGTTGCGAATATACACAGTTGTGACGTGATATGAAAATATCCGTGATTTGTATTGGTGGCAGTGTCATAGAAACTGCTGATACTGCCTTGGCTTGTGGAAAGGACTGCTAGGTTTCATTCAGACGTTTCGGAACCTCCATGGGACGGTGGGGGTGACTGCATTGTCTCCTGGTTCCCACTTGTGTCCCTCCAGTGTAGTGGCCGAGGAGTCGGCACGTAGCCCGCTGGGGCTGTGCTCTGTGGCGAGCCTGTGTGCCTTGAGCGCTAACCTGACTTTATCTCTAACTTTTCCCCCAGGATGGAGATATTCTAGCCTCCAACTTCTCCGTTGACACCCAGGTTGCGTACATTCTGAGTCTGGGAGTGGTGAAGGAATTCAGGAAGCACGGCATAGGTAAGAGGCGGTGGAGCTCCTGGTCCGGCCCACACCCCCACTCAGCCAGCATGGCCACTGCCCTCGTCATGCCCCTCAGTCTCTTCCATCATCCCCACCCCCATCTTGGGTCAGACCTTTGCCCTCCCTGCGTGGTCCCTGCATCTGCTCACCTGCAGCCATCCTCCCCCTGCACGCGCCAGGCCTGTCTGCCATCGTCCGAGCAGCTCACCCCTCCTGCCACCGTGTGTGCAGCTCGTGTATATCTGCTGGTGTTCTTGGTTCAGAGCAGAAAATGTAAACACAGAGGAAGAAGCCGTACTCGCCACCATTTAGTGCCCTTGTCATCAAAGTCCTGTCCTACTCAGCCACACAGCCAGTGAGTGGCAGAGTCTTAATTTTTAACCCGGGCCTATCTATTCCATATTCTTCTGGGCTCATTTACCCTTTTTGCTGTCTGGAAGGGAGTTCACAGAGGGTCCCACTGGTAGGAGGCTGCAGCCGACACACTCCACCTGGTGGCGAGATTCTCGGGGCTTTGCCAGTGGGTGGTGGCAGGAGGCTGCTCTCTGGCGTAGAGGGCAGGACCCTCAGGAGACTCCCAGAAAGGTCCCATTCTCACCCACATTGTTCTTTTTTGTTTTGTTTTGTTTTGTTTTTGAGACAGAGTCTCACTTTGTTGCCCAAGCTACAGTGAGTGCCGTGGCGTCAGCAACATCAAACTCCTAGGCTCACAGGAACCTCAAACTCCTGGGCTCCGGCGATCCTACCGCCTCAGCCTCCCAAGTAGCTGGGACTACAGGCATGCACCACCATGCCCAGCTGATTTTTTCCATATATATTAGTTGGCCAATTAATTTCTTTCTATTTATAGTAGAGACGGGGTCTCGCTCTTGCTCAGGCTGGTTTTGAACTCCTGACCTCGAGTCATCCGCTCACCTCGGCCTCCCAGAGTGCTAGGATTACAGGCGTGAGCCACCGCGCCCGGCCTCACGTCGTCCTTCCTTTCTCCTGCCTGGCCTGCATAACCTTCACCTCTTCTCCCCAAGGTTCCCTCTTACTTGAAAGTTTAAAGGATCACATATCAACCACCGCCCAGGACCACTGCAAAGCCATTTACCTGCACGTGCTCACCACCAACAACACAGCAATAAACTTCTACGAGAATAGAGACTTTAAACAGCATCACTACCTCCCCTATTACTACTCCATCCGAGGGGTCCTCAAAGATGGCTTCACCTATGTCCTCTACATCAACGGTGGCCACCCTCCTTGGACGATCTTATATCCTTTCCTTCTCGGGTGGGGGACTGTGGCTTCCCAGCCGTAAGGGTGGCAGAGCCAGTGAGCTAGTCGGAACTGTTGTCATCTTCAGATGATGCTCAGGCGGCTGAGCGTGCGCATGCTCTTTTCCCCACGCAGGCCGTGTCATGGCGCGTCTGGCTGCGCACGCGGAGAGCAGGTGCTCTCTGGCACCCAGTGCTCCCCAGGCCTCAGCCCGACACGAGGCCTCCTCTTGTCCCAAGATCGCCATCCATCCCTCTGGTCATTCAGCGAATGCTGACAGAGAGCCTCCTGTCCTAGCGCGCTAGGGCTCAGCAGTGTTCAGCATAAAGTCCCTGCCCTCTCGGAGCCTGCATGCCAGCAGAGGGGAAGACAGATGAGTGAGGTGACAGAGTTTTTAGTGGTTTTGCACACTCGGGTTCTAACCTTCCTTTTGGGTGCATGACCAAAGGGGTGCCCTCATCTGTTTCCTCCTCCTTAACTCTGTCTGGCCCCTGACAGGTAGGAGGGAAGCCAGGAGACTTCATAATAGTCACACAGAGTATGGCCCAAAAATATGTTGTCGTGTGTATGTTTTCAAATGAATGAATTTAGGATTTATTCATTTCATAGGGAAATAAACAGGAAAGAGAGAGGTGACCCCAAACCTCATAGGCCTCCTAGCTCACATACAGGCAGGCCCCCATGGGTGTCCACGGGTCAGTACTGTTGACCTTTGTCATAGGGACAGGGCTCTGTCCCTTCTGCTGCCCTGAGGGTTGAGAGTCTGGGAAAAGCCAGAAATACTTGCTTCTCTGCCAGGCCCCTCCTGCACCCCTGTCCATCCGTTAGCATGTGTCTGCCTACGGCCTCCCCGGGGACCCTCCTGTTCCCAGGCCCCACCCTCGATGATTTTGTGCAGTGGAGGCCCCTCCACCTAGTTAGCCTCACCTGCACTCTGCAGAGGCTTAGCGGGCTCTCGGCCGCCCTCAGTGGCCTGCCGTCTGCACAGAGTCCGGTGCCCCAGCCGACAGTGTCCAGGAGAGAGTCTTCCTTAACAGAGCCGCACGGACTACATCCAGCACCTGGGCTCTGCACTGGCCAGCCTGAGCCCCTGCTCCATCCCACACAGGGTCTACCGCCAGGCCCACAGCCTACTCTGCAGCTTCCTGCCATGGTCGGGCATCTCCACCAAGGGTGGCATCGAGTACAGCCGGACCATGTGATGCCAGCCGGGCAGCCTCCACCAGGCCCCGTCCCTCAGCATCCTGCAGAGCCCGCCTTCCCATCCATCTGACCCCTGCTGGCCTCCGCAGAGGAACTGGCAGCCACCTGCCGGGCCCATTGGTCTGCTCCAGCTGCAGGCCCGGTGCTACGCGGGCTCGGGAGCAGAGCGCTGTGGGCTCACCCAGGGCGCGCCCCATCTCCGACAGGTATGCAGCACAGACGCAGGGCATGAGAGCCTGGCGTGTCCAGCCACAAAAACAAGGCCCTAGACAGGCACCTGCCGAGCAGGTGGGTCGGAAAGCCAAGGGCTGGGGTAGTTTCTGATCAACTCAGAAACTTCATGAAGGAAAGCAGGTGGCCAGAGACACCTTGAGCCTGTGGCCAGATAGCTTTTCAGATAACTTTTGGAGCTGCTGTTTTTTGTTAAAGTACCACAATCTCATGGTTCAAAAATTGAAGGTACAAGAACACCAAGCCCCTCCTATCTCTATCCCCCAGTTGCTCAGGTTCCCATTGTAAGGGGCGCCCAGTGCACCCGTGTCTTGGGTGTTCTTCCAGAATTCTACCTAGACCTGGGCTCTGACACCAGCACTGCTGCCATCTCCTCTCCACGCGGCTCTCTCAAACCGAAGCTCCATGTCAGCTTCCTTCCCTTGGTGGTCAACTTGTGTGTGAGGGCTCTGCTCAGACACAGCCACTTCTGGTCACCACGAGTGCCCCAGGGAGCAGGTCTCTCCCAGGCCTCAGAACATCAGAGCTGGACAGGGTCGGGGGACTCTAGAGCCCGCCCCCTTTTGCACCAGCACGGCCCAGGTGATTTGGTGACTTGGCCAAGCTCACACAGCAAGCTCCATGGCCACCTGGGCTGCACCCTTAGTTGGGCACCGTCAGTGCCTTTATTTGTGCTGGGACTGAAGAGAGCCTGTGGGCCTGGAGGAGGACTCGTGCTTGAGGGACACCCAGGCCAGCTGCAGCCCACGGGCCGGGGAAGAGTATACCTGCCCCGCCTTCACCTGCCCTGCCCTTCTCTTTCCCACAGGCTCTCAGCTCTCCTTCCTGCTTCTGGAAACCTCTGTCCTCCACCTCCTCCTGGCACCCTGGTCCTGCCTCCACGCGCATGCACCATCCCACGGGGGCGAGGGTGTGGCTGTGGTCACCAGGAAGGGGCCTCCCTCGCCGGCTGCCACCACTCCACTGCCCATGCCTTCATCTTCTTCCTTCAGAGCCAGAGGGAACTTCTGCTGCAAGGGCGGAACACAAGTATTGTGGACATACTTGACCCTAGGGACACAGGAGCCTCAGAACAAGGGGGCACAATAAAGGGAATGCCAGGCCCCCCTCCAGAGCCAGCCCAATGAAGCCTGGAGGGTGGAGGGTGGCCCTGCCCCTCCATGAGGGGCTGGTAAGGGGTGGGCACAGTGGAGGAGGCTTTTCACGCAGTCGCAGAGCTCTGGGGCTCAGCTCCCGGGCACAGGTGGTCAGACGATGGGACAGTGCCCCCTCCTCAGTTCCTCCTGCCGTACAGTTTCCACCTCCTCCAGGAGACGGCCCTTCCCGTTGGATCATGGAATGCTCCATTCGGCTGACCTGCTGCTGGGAGTTGGGCTGAGGGACAGGTGCCGCCGAGGCTCTAGGGTCCTCTCCTCACTCATCCTTCATGAGCCACAGCTGCAAGGCCTGGCCAGAGGCAGGCAGGAGGACGCTGAGCTTGGCATCAGGCCTCTAGGCTGCTGTGGGTCTCATGGGGCTGGCCTTGGGGGCAGCAGGCGGTTACGTGCCTTGCGGGCTCGGCGTCTGAGAGCAGAGAGGCCGTGCCAGTGCCGTGAAGTGTGTTTGCAGCGGACGAGCATCACGCGCTTCTAGCATCCCCTCCACCCCGTGTGCCCCAGGGGCTGCTTGCTGCCTGCCCTGCCCACCAGAGCAGCTGGGGGTGGAGGGCGGCCCCACCCAGTGTAGCTGCAGTGTCACAAGAGCCATGGCAGAGGGTCCTAGTAGTGACCTACTGCAGCTGGAGGAGGAGGAAGAAGGGGGAGCAGCCTGGGCAGACGGAGCCTCCGTGACCCGAGTCCTTCGCTCCCCCAGAGTTTCCCAGCCCGGAGGTCTCAGGGTGCTGGGGCCAGCTCCAGGCCTCCTGGCCTCACAGCAGGGGGACAGGACCCTCAAGATGAAGGCACGCCCCTGGCAGGAAAGTGTCCCCTCCATCAGCAGTGCTGGCCAGTGGGAGGGCCGTGTCGTGCTGACTGACGCGAGCCTCTGCTGATGTCAGCTACCTGCTGAGGTGTCCTTTCTACTCTGAATCAACGGTGATCATGTGATTTTTATTTCTGCCCCATGGGGTAAGGGAAGAGTCTTCTGGAAGGTTCTGCCTTGGACATTCATAACCGAGCTCAGAGGCCTTGCCCTGCCCTGCCCTCCCTCCTGTCCCTGAATCACTGCAGTGTCCAGCCAGCCCAGTGTTGAACGATTGTAGTGTTTTGTCTCATTACAAATAAATAGACCTTAATTGGTCACATCCTGTTCCAGCGCCAGCTGGCTGCACTGAGGGCCTTGCCCTGTGGACTCAGCCTCCGCAGCAGTGCTGGGGGCAGGGTCTGCTGTCACTGGCAAGCCCTAAGGGTGGCTTCCAGCCAGATGAGCTGATTGTGCCATGTCATTAACCCTGACAGTGCAGACCTGGGGAAAGGGTTCTAAAGAGCTGAAAGGCACAACTGTGTTCCTTTTTTTTTTAATCAAGGAGTCCTCAGCAGCTACCAGTCTGTCCAGGTATATCCCCGGGCTCTGGACCTTGAGAGCTGTACAGCTCCCCCTGAGGGCTCTCTCCTGGCTCAGAGAAGCCTCCAACGGAGACTCGGCCGCGTAGTCAGGCAGGAATCCTGGCCAGCACCCCCTCCGTGGAAGGCTGCCAGCCAAGCATGGGGTTGGGTACTTCCACCAGCCTGTTGTTGAAACTGGCCACTTTGCGGGAGGAGGCCGTGCTGTCGTCCCTGTTGGACACATGAGAACTGGCTCTGGGGGCCTAGGAGTTGCACAGGGTTGTGGTTGGTGGCCCAAGCATCCAGCCCAGGTCAGGCCCCCTCTGAAGCCTGCATATGCTGCTCTGTTGACACTGTGCCCGCCTCTGACCTCAGCTGGCAGTCCTGGAACATGCTGCTCCCTAGGGCCCTCCCAGGGACAGGATCTGGGACACCTGCAAAGCGGAGTCTGGCTGGGCTGGCACCTAGGAGGTCAGGAATCTGGACACAGTGGGCACCATGTCGAGGCCTCAGGGCACGTGGAACCACATGAACCGGTGGAGCCACGTACAGCAGTGTCTGCTGGGGAGAAGGCCTTGGTTATGCAGGCAAGGGTAGTGTCCTGTGATGGTGGATCAGCTTCCCAACTAAGGGCTGACTCCTTGGGGCCCTTGGTCAACTGTGTGACCTACTGTCAATTTGCCCAAGTGGGGTTCAAGCTGAGCCCTGCTCTGGAGGCGGCTGCAGCCTCCCCAGCCCTCAGCCTCCCTGCTTCAGTGGGGTCAGGCCGATGCTCCAGGCCTGCCCCTTGCTAAGGCATCCACTGGACTGCAAAGCTGTGCCAGCACAGGCTCCCAGCCCCACGTGGGGCAGAAAGTGTGGGCCCTGGGTACGTGCGTGACCCAGGAGAAGCAGGATGCTCAGGCAGGCAGCAGACCAGCCTTGAAGGGAGCCAGCTCTGCTCCAGGCCTGCCCTGCGATGGCAGCGGAGAATGCCTGCGGGTCTCCTGCCACCGGCCGGACTCCTCCATCCCTGTGCACACCACCCAAGGATCTCCTGCAGGGCTGGGGCTCTGGAGACTTCTCAGCAGTCCACCCAAGGGGCCTTCATACTTCTAGGTCACAGTCTCCCCAAGGACCAAGACTCCTGGTCGCTCAGCTCCCAGCCCACTCCTGGCAGCATCAGCCCAGGCAGGCCGGCAGGGCTGGGGCATCTGTGACTGAGATGGCCTTGCTCACAGAGCTGTTGGCAGTGAGCGCAGCCATGGCTGTGGCGTCAGCCTCGCTCCCTCCCTGGGCTAGTTGGTTCCCACTGTGTAGCAGGCTCAGGACAGTCTATTTATGTGGCCACTGGCCTCCTTGGAGGCGGCTAGGCCTCCTTCCTGCGCAAAAGACACTCACTTCCACCACCTTCTACTAGTAAAGCAAGAGCCAGCCCCCATTCAACAACAGGAGGGAACTTCCAAGGGCCACAATACCAGGACACATGCGTGGCTTGTCAGGGATCACCAGGGTGACCACTGACCACAGCCTGGGCATCCTGACATCTGGACCCTGGGAGGATCTCTGCTCTCTGAGCCTCAGGTCTTCATTCAAAAGTGAGTGGATTTGGCCCCTGATGGTCTCCAGAGACCTTGTATTGCCAGCTTCTGGATGGTCTCACTTCTGCCCAGCATTCTCAGCTGGTGGTTGCAGAAGGTGTCCCTCTGTGTTCCCTTGGCAGCCTCCCTAATACCTGTCCTGAGTAGTGGTCCCTCGGGTCCACCTGGCCTCCACGTCTGTGGGAGAGAAGGCAGCTGCCCTCACTCCTGGTGGCTCATGGGTGGACCACTGGCTGGTTGCATCCTTCCCACTCCTGTCCCAGCACTGGCCACCCTGCGGGAGGAGGCCGTGCTGTCGTCCCTGTTGGACACATGAGAACTGGCTCTGGGGGCCTAGGAGTTGCACAGGGTTGTGGTTGGTGGCCCAAGCATCCAGCCCAGGTCAGGCCCCCTCTGAAGCCTGCGTATGCTGCTCTGTTGACACTGTGCCCGCCTCTGACCTCAGCTGGCAGTCCTGGAACATGCTGCTCCCTAGGGCCCTCCCAGGGACAGGATCTGGGACACCTGCAAAGTGGAGTCAGGCTGGTAGCGTCCAAATACCTGCTCTTACCTGGGGACTGCTCCAGCCTCGGGCTCCCACCACCCAGGGCCACATCCACACTTAGAAGAACCTAAAAACTTCCCAAGAACTGAAGTCCCCAGGATCTAATGTCCCAAGGACCTAGGAGATGTCCAGGGTGGAGCCAGGGTACAGGGAAGAGGAAGGGGGTCAGCTGTCCTGGCACCATCACGTGTTCTGGCAGGAGCCCGAGGGAGGGGCGGTGCTCAGCCCTAGTGGCTGGACTGGCAGGGGGTACTGAGGCAAGCCCACCGTCCCCGTCACCGAGGCCCAGTACTGTAGAGCAAGGGTTTTCAACAGGATTGTAGCCCCCAAGGGACACTAGGTTGTCACAACTGGGAGGAGAGTAGTACTGGCATCTTGTGGGTTGTGGCCAGGGAGGCTGTGGTGGGACTGCCCCCACAGAGAATGACCTGTTCCCAAATGTCAGCAGCTGAGGCTGAGCCACAGAGGAAGCCCACGCCTGGGGCCTGGAGCCAGGCCAGCTGGGAGTAGAAGGGCTTTGATTGTCCTGCCTGGAGGGGCCACGAAGCGAGGTCCACAGAGCAGTGACCTCACCCACGCCCTCGGAGGGGACAGCCTGGGGTCTGGGCCACCATTTCTGCCTGGGCTGCTCTCCTCCCTCAACCAGCTGGCCTTCAGTCCCTCCTCGTCCCTGGCCTTCCTTCCTTCCTCTGCCCCCCAGCCGATCACTGTGCGCTGCATCTGGGCTGCTGAGGCTCTTCCTGCCGGAGAGCCGACACCTGCAACCCGTCTCGGCCCCCCAGCGAGGGTTGGCTTGCTGGAGACACACCCCTGGGAGCCACATGGGCTGTTGCTCTGACTGAATCGGCCTGACGGCAGACAGACAGACAAGAACATGCAGGCCTTGGCTTTTATTGAGACCTGAGGGCTCCCAGGCCTCTCGGGAACCCGATTCTCCGCTCAGCCCGGACTCCCAGGTGCAAGTGGCTGACTTGAGCTCGAGCAGGCTGCAAGGGCACGGCCATGCTTCTCTTTCTTCTGTCCCCCCTTGGGACCTCCTCCTCCCGCCCCCCTCACGTTTCCCCAAGCTGGCCCAGGCTCTGGGGCCACTTGGCTGCCTGGGCCACCTCAGTGTGCAGGGGCTGCTGCTAGGGACTGAGCCCTTCCGATATGGATCTGCCTCCTTGGCCATCCTTCCCCTCCTGTCCCCACGCCTGGCACTGGGGATCCCTACAGCCTCTCCAGGGCCCCAGATCGGGTTCTCTTGCACAAGGGACACGTGGCCTCCTCCGAGGCCCCCCAGGACCTCTTGGGCCTGAGCCCCAAGCCCTCGGGGGGAGTGGGCTGGGAGGGGGCACCTTTGGCTGGGTCCATGCTGGAGCTGGAAGCTGAGGAAAGAGGAAAGGAAGGAGTTACAGGGAGGACCCTGAGGGAGGCTGGAGGGGAGGCTGGCAGCACCCCTAAGGTCCCCAGACCCTGACTTCCTTAAAAACAGAAGGGGAGGGGCAGTAATTCTTCCTTAAAACCCTCGGAGGGAATAGTGAGAGGGAGTGAATGGTTCAAGCTGGAAGGACCCTCATCTAACCTGAACCCCTCATTTTTCAAATGGGGATGAGAGGGAGGGAGAGAATTATCTAAGGTCCTGCATTGAGTGCAGAGCTGGGACAGGAACCTAGAACTCTGTTCCAGAGCCTCCCGTCTGCCTCACAGCCCCTTGCCCCCGCTGGCACAGGGTGGTAGCAGATTCGTTAGCAGATTCGTTGGCCTCCTAGGGTGTGACATCACGGTGGGGTGTCCTGACTGATAGTCTCCACCAGGCTCCCTCCATAGGAGCCTTGGGAGGGGAGAAGGTCCACCTGAGTCCCTGGGGTCTTCCCCTCTGTGCCAGACCTGCCCCAACAGAGCTCACCTGTGTTTCCCAGGCTGTCCCTGGGCAGCTGGGCTTCCAGAAGGGCTGAGCAGTGGCTGTTACCTGGGCCCAGAGTCCTCTGTGGCAGGTGCAGGGGCCACGCTGTGCCCTCAGGCTGTGGCAGGCAGCCCCCTGCCATGAGCCGGCCCAGCCAGTGGCTCTCGCACTGGCCGGCGGGCTGCATGTGGCCTGGCAGGTAGAGAGCCAGGCCCCGGAGGTGGCGCAGCCGGAAGTTCTTGGGCTTGCTTCCCTGGGCACTGGGGCACTGCTGCTGCTGGGCCCCCAGCCCCCCCTCGTAGATGTTGGGCGGTGTGTCGGGGTGGCTGGGGTGTCCACGGGCCCAGCTCACTGCATCTGCAGAGGGGAGAGCAGGAGGGTGGTGGCCAGCCGGCCGCAGCAGCTGTGACAGGAGAACGCAGTCACATGCCTCTGAGACCAGCTCACATGGGGGGCTCCACCCCTAGTCTGCCCAGCCTCGCCTTAGCTGCCTGTCAAGGGCTCGGTCCCTTCCCTTCCCACTGCCTGTGCCCAACACACTGCTCCTCTTCCCTCTCTCAACCAGCAGGGAGGTCTGTGAGGCCTAGGACCTTGGTACCAAGATCGCTTTTAGGACTTGGAGCACTTTATTCCACCCTGTTGTGCCCTCTGCCCTAGAAAGAGTACTCTGGTCCCAGGAGAGAAATTGCACAGTGGGTTCAGGAAGGTTCAGGGGTTCAGGAGGAAGTGACCAGCCCAAGCTCACATGGCCTGGATCAGTGACCACTCACTCCCCTCTCCCAAGCATACATGTCCCTGAGGCCACCCCAGTGGCTTTGGGGCCCAGATAGGGACAGGAGGACATCTCTTCTCCTGCCATTGCTCCCCACAGCCCAGCACCTTCTCTTATGCGCAGCTCAGAGAACGCACAGACCAAGGCCTCCATGGAGGGCCGGTATGGTGGGGGAGGAGCGGCCAGGCCTCGCGTGCAGCAGGGCCCTGCTCTCCCCTGCCTAGGGGGAGAGTCTGAAGGTCTCCCATGGCAACTGGCTCTTATGACGTCACAGGGAAGACTCTGGGCCTTCTAGTTTGGGGGAGGATGATGCCCAGGGCAGGGGCAGGGTAGGAGGAGGGCACAAGAAGGCAACAGAACCCCAGGGAAGCATTGGTCCCTGTGGCTTGGGACAGGCCACAAAAAACAGACAGCTCTGGCTGGAAGTCACTCTCTAGGGTGATCTCTCTCTCTGGGTGCGAAATGAGTGTTTAGGGATACAGACCTGCTGAGACCTGAGTCAGTGCTTTGAATATGCTGAAAAAGTAATTCAGAGTGACTGGGCAAGTAACTTAACTTTTCTAACTCTTCATTTTCCCATAAGCCAGTTACCATGTATTGTGTGGGTCACACCAACTGTTTACAAGGATGTGGAGGAGCTGGAATTCCCATACATGCTGGTGGGATTGTAAAATGGTACTACCACTTTGGAAGGCATTTTGGCAGTTTCTTAAAACGTTAAACATTCAATTTTCTAGAATCACAGATGACACGATCTTGTATATAAAAAAAACTAAAGAATCCACACTCAAAAGGAAAAAATAAACCTAGTAGAGCTAATAACCCAGTAGAGCTATATTACAGCTAATAAAGTTCAGAAACACCTCAGAATATAAAATCAACACACAAAAGTTAGCTGTATGTCTAGACAGACACTAGCAAAGAACAAAAAGGAATAAAACAGGAATAAATTTAACCAAAGAGGTACAAGAGTTAACTCTGAATACTACCAAACATTGCTGACAGAATCTGAAGAAGACTTAAATAAATAGAAAACCATCCCATGTTCATGGGTTGAAGACTTAACATTGTTAAGATGGTGATACTCCCCAAAGTGCTCGATGTAATCCTCAGCAAAGGCCAAATGGCCTTTAGGCAGCGTATTCGAGCTCCTCAGAGAAACAGATCAATAGGATAGACAGGTAGATAGTTACTTACACAGAGAATATTTATTAGAGGATAAATAAATCTCTTTAGATAAGAAAAGATTTATTAGGGGAATTGGCTTACATGATTATGGTGGCCAAGAAGTTCCACAGTCTGCCATCTGCAAGCCAAAGAACCAGGAAAGACAATGGTCTAATTCGATCTGGACCTGCAGGCCCAAGAACTGGTGATGGTGACGGCTCGTGTTAGTCTAAAGGCCCAGGAACCATGAGCTGCAATGTCCAATGACAGGAGAAGGATGTCCCAGCTTAAGAAGAGAGAGCGAATTTCTCTGTCTTGTTGTTATAATCAGGACCCCGATATTGGGTAATGCCATCCACATTGGTGAGGGCAATTTTCTCTACTCAGTCTACCAGCTCAAATGCTAATCTCTTCTGGAAACACTCTCACAGGCACACCCAGCAATAACGTTTTACCAGCTATCTGGGCATCCCAGTCAAGTTGACACATAAAATTAGCCAGCAAAGGCAGAAATGGAAAAGATGACCCTTAAATTCATGTGTAATTATAAGGCAGCCCAAATAATCACAATCTTTTTTTATTTGTCTTCTTTAAAAACCTTTTTAGCATTCTGTACACTGACATAAAGGTAAAAGAAAATGACTGAGACTTAAATGTGAAAGATCATTTCACAATTAAATCCACAATTTTATACATTTATCTTATTCATAAGTCAATGAAAATTGATAATTATTATAAAACCAGGCCAAATTATGTCATGAAATAACAAAAAAAATAGAAAAAAATTCATAAAAATATATCTAACTATGAAAAGTATTGCTCTCTTGGTGTCTTCGCATCCTTCTCTTCTCTATACTTATGCACAACATGTTTTCTGGGAGAAATGCATCCCCATGGTTATGCTTCACTTGTCCATTTATATATCTTGCTGTCTGCTCCAGGGCTATATTCATGTAGCCATCCAGGAAAGCCAGGACCCTTCGATAATCCACTCCAGAATTTTTTTTTAATTATTTAAGACCTTTATTAACAGGTGCTGCTCCAGAATTTAATTTGACCACAACTGGCCATCAGATGATTTGCTTTAAGAAGTCACTTGGGGTTTGCTTCTGAAGATTAATTTTAATACTCCCTGAGGCTGGGACCGAGAACCCTTACTCCAGGCGCCACACAAGACCAGCCTCTGCAGACGATGTCAGTGAAAACCCAGCCACAATAATTTTGAAAAAGGAAAACAAAGTTTGAGGACTCACACTTTTTGATTTCAAAACTTACTGCCATCTACAGTGATCAAAATAGTGTGGAACTGGCATAAAAGGATAGACATCTAGACTAGTGGAGTAGAATAGAGAGCCCAGAAATAAACCTATACATTTGTGGTCAATTGATTTTCACAAGGGTGCCAAGACCATTCGGTATAGGAAAGAATAATCTCTGCAACAAATGGTGCTGGGACAACTGGATAGCCACATGCAAAAGAATGAAGTTGGACCTCTACCTCACACCCTGTACAAAAATTAACTCAGAATAGATCAAAGACCTAAAAGTAAGAGCTAAAATTACAAAAATCTTTAGAAGAAAATGTAGAGATTTGGCAATAGATTCTTAGATATGACATAAAAAGAAAAAATAAATAGGCTGAGTGCAGTGGCTCACTCCTATAATCTGAGCATTCTGAGAGGCCAAGGTAGGAGGACCACTTGAGCTCAGGAGTTCGAGACCAGCCTGAGCAAGAGACCCTGTCTCTACTAAAAATACAAAAAAGCCAGCTGGGTTTTGTGGCATGCACCTTTAGTCTCCCAGCTACTTGGGAGGCTGAGGTAGGAGGATGGCTTGAGCCCAGGAGCCCCAGGAGATTGAGGTTCCTGTGAGCTATGATGATGCCACGGCACTCTACTCAGGGCAATGGAGTGAGACTCTGTCTAAAAAAAAAAAAAAGAAAGAAACTGTCACAGTCCAGAGGAACCTAAAGATACCTGACAACTAAATGTAATGCAGGGTCCTGAACAGAAAGAGGACATTAGGTAAGAAGTCCACTAAAAATAGACTTTAGCTGACTATAATGTATCCATATTAGTTCATTAGTTGTGACAAATGTATTCATGTAAGATGTTAACAATAGGGTGAAGGGGAGGATAGATGGAGTATAGGGAATTCTCTATACTATCTTTGCAACTTCTTTATAAATCTAAAGCTATTCTAAAATTAAAAGTTATTTAAAAAGAAAAACAACATTAAACATTCACTTGCCTCATGACTCTAACATGCCATTCTTTGGCATTCAAGAGAAAAGAAAAGAAAGAGAAAAAGTGTGTGTCCATACAAGGATTTCTACATTAATATTCATACCAGCTGTATTTACAATAGCCCAAACCTGAAAATGCCCCAAAACAGGTGATAGGTAAATAAACTGTGATATGTCCATACAATAGATGTATTATTCAACCATAAGAGGAACAAATTATTGAAACACACTACGATATGGATGAATCTCAGTGATGCTGAGTGAAAGTCACCAGACGAAAAGGAGCATGATGTAGCATCATTCGTTCACAAGAAACTGTTCACAAGCAAATCTATAGTGACAAAAAGCAGAACAATGGCTGCTTGGGGATGGGGGGATGGCAGGGAGGGCCAGAAGAAAGGAATTTCCAAGTGGGGGCACGAGGAAATGTTGAGGCTTTAGGTTTAGGTTTCGGAACCATTTTTAACTGATTTTTGTATATAGTGCCAGGTAAGAGCAGAGGTTCATTTATGCAAATGGATTTCTCCACTAAGTGCTCTGTCACCTCTGATTGACTGACCACCTATGTGTGGAGCTGTGTCTACTACTTAGCCAATACCACCAAGGAAACGGTAGAGGGCGTCTGCTGGAAGATCCGCCTTCCTATCTATGAAACAACCTCTATAAAAATAATGTAAGCCCATAAGGCAGGAATAATGATAAAACAATGATTTCTGTAGACGTACAGATATAGTTAAAAGTTAGCCAGCCATTGTTTCCTAACTTCCCTACTGCTGTAACTGTTTCCTGCTTAAGAGTCACATATTCTTGACAGATGCAAGATTTATGACTGCCCCAACCACTTCTATAGATAAGATGGCTATTGTAAAACCTATGACTGGTCTTTGAGATAAATTCCAGACTCTGCATTGGGGTGGGGGGGATTGGGGACCAACTGACGTCAATGAAATGACCCAACGAGTCCTACTGCCCCCTACCCAGGAACTCCCTGTTTATCAAGAAGACAATTTCTGCTTCCCAACCCTATGAGTTCATCCCCAGCCAATGAGCAGACCCAATTCCCTAGCCCTTTATTCTCCAAATCACCTTTAAAAATATTCGTCCCCAAATTCTCTGGGAGATGGATTTGAGAAATTACTCCCATCTCCTGCCTGGTGCCGTGGGATATTAAACCCTTTCTCCGCTGTAACTCCTGCTGCCTCAGTACACCGGCCTTTATCTGGATAGTGGCCGAGGGAACATCTGCCCGCCCTGCCATGCGGGGCTCATTTCGCCACCACCTCCAGCCCTTCTCTGTCTCCTCCTTCCCCTCCCTCCTGGGGTAGCCCCTCTGGGAGGGCTCCCTGCTAAGCCCCGGGCAAACCCCGGCCACGCGCTCAGTGGGTGCTCCGCCTTGCTGCCCTCCCGCAGCCAGACGCAGGGACCCGCCCCCCACGGAAGAGGCCGCGGGCTCCAGGGCGGCGCCTGCGCGCAAGGCTCCCGCCCGACTTCCGGCTGTCGCGCAGCCCGAGCCAGCTGCGCGTGCGCGGGAGGCAGGCCGGGTCCTCCCTGGTCTCCCATCAGCCGGAGCCTCGTGCTCTGGACGCCGCGGGCCGCCGGGCCGGCAGTCTAGCAGATGCCAGAGAGGAAGCGTGCTGTGCGCAGGACCCGGGAGGGATCCCCGCCTTCCTCAGATTACAGCACATTCTTTAGAGAAGTGAGGAGGAAATGAGAAGCAGCATGGAAAGCGCTTAGCACAGTGTCGAGCACATAGTAGATACATGCTCTGAGCGCGTCGGTCAGTGCCAAATGTCTGCAAAGTGTGGAAAGAGGGGCCCGAACGCCGCAGTGCTCGCAGTCCCCCACAGAGGCCGGCAGCGCCACACCCACGGCGTCTCCGGAGTGCCCTCTGCTGGCCGCCCCTTCTCGCGCGCATGCGCACGCTGTGGCTGCTGCGCTTCCCGTCCTGTTTGGCCCCGGCCGCGCGCCGTCCTGGCCTCCGCTGGTTGTCATAGAGACCGGTGAGCGCTGGACCCGAGCGCTCTGGAGCGAGCGGCTGTGACCCGTGGCTGCTGTGGACCATGTCTTTCCGCGACCTCCGCAGTAAGGCAGCTCCGTCCCCTGTGGCCCGTGGGTCTCCCAGAGACTAGGGGCTCCGGCCCGCCGGGTCCCCTGAGGGCCCGGCTGAGGCTGGCGCCGCCGGGAGTCCCCTGTGCCCGGCTGCCGTGCCCCGGGCCGAGTGCCCGGGCCTGCCCAGCGGCAGGCACTCTCTGCGATGGCAGAACGTTCTCCAGCTGCTCTGGCCGCGTGTGGCTGCAGAACGCTTAAAATACGGCTAGTGTGGGTGGGGAACTGCATCTTAAATGTTGTCTCATTTTAACTCATTTCTATTTACGTAGTTACATGGCGTTGCTAGCTACCGTATTGGAAAATGCATGGAAAATTCAGAGACTATTTTTGAGTTGGGTTAGCTGAGCACTTAGAGAAACGAACAGCTACAAACCTGAGGACGGGGCTGGATGATAAAGCTGCTGCTTTATTTTCTCTCTCTCTTCAAATTTCCCAAAGAACAGTCACGGAGTCCCTTTTGTGACTTTGCTCTTTCCTGTGCTCATGCCTTCTCTTCCATTATGTGACAAAATCTGACCTAACTTCCAGAGTCCTGGTAGGTTATTCATAATAGGAAGAGTGCAGGCAGACGTTGCTGGAAGTTCACTGAATGTAGGTCTAGGCACATCATGGGAACTCGGACAATGTTATGTTTGTTTCCAAGTCCTGCTTTCCTGAAAGTACTGTAGCTTTTCCTGAGGTGACCCCAACCTGCGATATTAATAAGTATTAGTATTACTATTTGTTAATCTGTTTTATAGTAAATCTAAATATTGCTCTATATTTCAACCACTCTCTTTAAGATTTCTCTAAATACAAGGCAACTAATCTTTAAATTTTGTATTTTTAAGGCCATGTATGCTCACTAAAAAAAAAAGAGACAACTCAGAAACATGAACTTCATCCTTCTTACCCCCCAAAATAACTACTATTAATATTTAAAAATATATATATATTTGTTGAGACAGAGTCTCTGTTGCCAGGGCTAGAGTGTGGTTTTAGCCTAGCTCACAGCAACCTCAAACTCCTGGGCTCAAGCAATCCTTCTGCCTTAGCCTCCCTAGTAGCTGGGACTACAGGCATGCACCACCAAGCCCAGCTAATTTTTCTATATATTTTTATATATAAAATATTTTTTCTTCACAACATTTTTAAAACCAGGTATTTCTTATTTCAAGTGGTAAGGAGAAATGAGATATACAAGAGAGAAATTAAATTCACAAGTAATCCCTAAATTCCATTTATCACGTATATCATCTGCTTCTCCCATGGAACTGAAATAGATGTTTTTCATAGCAGAATAGGTATTTTCAATTTTATTTCGTTTTTGCTTTCCCTCTTAGAGAGTAGATAACTAGTCCCTCAAACTGTCAGTAGGTTGGGAATAAGAAGGGAAAGCAAAGATAATATCTAAGTTAATAAGTAGTTGCTGTGTGACGGGGAACTGACTGAATTGTATTTTGCCTTGGACAGACTTCACAGAGATGATGAGAGCCCTGGGTTACCCTCGACATATTTCTATGGAAAATTTCCGCACACCCAATTTTGGACTTGTATCCGAAGTGCTTCTCTGGCTTGTGAAAAGGTTAGAACTGCACTGTTTTGGAGTCTTAGAACGAATACTGAAATTTATTGATTAGCCACGTAGAAACAGGCTACTGTTGTGATGCAAAAGGAATAATTCAATAAAGTTTTGAGTTTGACAGACTCATTTGCAACCTGTTAAAAATCAGCTGAGCTTAAAGAGTGCTGTGGGAGTGGGAATATAACAGGCAGTGAAGAAAGGCTCCTCTTCATGCCCTCACCACAGAGTGACAGGGACCTCCCTGCACACTCTCATCAGGACCCTGGATTAGAAATAATTTAGATTTCTTTTTGTGTGAAAAATCTAATATTCTTGGTTGGCAACTTTTTATGTTAAGGGCCATATAGGAAATACTAATATTTTACATGTTGTTACACATAATATTCAGAGACTACGTAAAATCTCTGTCGCATATTTTTTGTTCTTAAAATGTAAAAATAACGTTGAGTTTGTGGGCTGCACAGGTTGAGTGCTGCGGTCTGCCGCCCTCTGGTGAATTCTCAGTAACTTGAAGAAAGTAATTTAACTTCAACAACTCTGCTGCTTCTCAGAACTAGCTAATTGGCCTTCACGTTTATCTCTGAATCAAGAGCTCTCAGCTGGGGTGACAGTTCTGATTATTTATTTATTTTTTGAGACAGAGTCTCTTTGTTGCCAGGCAAGGATGCCGTGGGTCAGCCTGGCTCACAGGAACTCAATGCTCTGGGCTCAGCGATCCTACTGCCTCAGCTCCGAGTAGCTGGGACTACAGGCATGTGCCACATGCCTGGCTAATTTTTGTATATATATTTTAGTTGTCATTAATTTCTTTCTTATTCTTAGTAGAGCGGGGCTCGCTCAGGCTGGTTTCAAACTCTGACTTGACATCGCCTGCCTTGGCTTCCCAGAGTGCTAGGGATTACAGGCGTGAGCCACCACGCCTGGCAGTTCTGATTATTTTTATGAAACTTTGAGGTCTGAGATAGATTTAATTTTGTCAGCTGATTCTATACATTTGGTTTGGAAATCAGTTAAACTGGTTCGGCGTGGGATTTGCTCCTCTTGGTATTTGCTGTGTCTCTTTGAGTTTGTGGGTTTTTTTGGGTTTTTTTTTAGACAAGAGTGCTCGCTTTGTGCCCAGGTCAGAGCTGAGTGCCATGCGTCAGCGCTACAGCTCAACAGCCCTCAACGATCCTGGGCTTAAGCAATCTTCTTGCTCAGCTCCGACGTCGCTGCTCCAGGCATGCACCTACATCGCCGGCTTCTTTTTGTATATCGCTACCTTAGTTGCCACTTCTTTCTTTCTATTTATAGTAGAGCGGGTCTTCACCTCTTGCTTAGCTGGTTTTGAACTCCTGACCTCGAGCACGTCCGCTGCCTCGGCTCCAGACGTGCTAGATCTTACGGCGTGACCACCAGGACGCCACCTGCCTGAGTCTTAATACCTTAGCGGGCTGGAAGAGTTTCTGTTATAGATCCACTGTCCTCTCACTTGCCTTTTTCTCTTTAATGGACTTTCTACTTGATTAATTTGTGTGTTTCTCTCTCTTTCTGATAGGTACGAACCAAATGATATCCGCCTTCTGATGTTTGAGATGAACAAGGCGAGTTTCTTCATTAAAAGCAATGCCAGTTCATCCGGTTACGTTGAAGCTCATTGTGGAGTTGTTAAGCGGAAAGGGCGGATTCCTAGGTAAGGGTTTTCGTCAATTGGTTATTTCACTTCTAAACCATTCGTTGCAGGTTCTGGCAAGCTTTTGTTTATTCATCTTTACTGATTTTTGTTATTTGATATATATTCTTGTCATCTTCAAAAATAAAAAATATCATGAACCGGGTAGAGTAAAATGACTTTCTACCAGTCGCATCGCCGTTCCGTTCAGGGACTATTATTGTAAAGTTATTCATAGTTCTCTGCTTTCTACCTGTCTGCTCACGGCCAGCCCAGTCCGTTCCAGCGACTGTTATTGTAAATTTATTCTAGTTTCCTCTCTACGTATATCAAAGCGCGACGAAGAGTATAGCCATCTTTTCCTTCCTTTTACATAAATGGTAGTGTACTGTACATACTGTTTTGTATCATGCTTTCTTCACTCAATGGTATATTTTGGAGAACTTTCCAAATACAGTTTCCTCTTTCTCTTACACCTGAGTAGTATTGCTTTCATGGATATATCATAATTTATGCAATTTATATAGGTAGGGATTTAGGTTGTTTCCAGCTTTGCTCTTTGAAACAATGCTGTCACAAATAACCTATACTTATTTTTGTTTATGTGTGAGTACATCCCTAGAATAAGTTCTTAGGATCTAATTGCTGGGTCAAAAGATATGTACATTTGTAATTTTGATGTCCTTTACCAGATTGCTGTCCATTGAGACTGTATCAGTTTACACACCCATTCACACTGTATGAGTCAGATGGATCCTGTACTCTTTGTACTATTAGGTTATATCCCAAATGTCAACAGAGACATTTTCAATTCACCTACATGAGATTATGGGATTTGGTTTAGACATTACCTGGAAAGGTCCTTAAACTTTTTTTTTGTCTAAAATAGGCCACCAAGGCACATATAAAACTCAATACTAAGAAGCTTTATCAAGCAGATGGGTATGCAGTGAAAGAACTACTGAAGATCACATCTGTCCTTTACAATGCTATGAAGACCAAAGGGATGGAGGGCTCTAAGATTGGAGAGGAAGATATCAGCAAATTCAAGTTTGATCTCGGCTCAAAGGTGAGGACAATGAAAGGCTGTAGTGAGGGACGGAGTGTTTTATTCCTCAAACTCTGAAACAGAAAGTGTTGGTTACTCTTTCCTTACTCCTTGACTAAGGGTGATTTGTCACTTTTGTGCTCATCAGGATTTGGATAAAGAAAGCCACAGTAATTCATTTCACTGTTGAAAGTGGGGTATTTGCTAGGTAGTGTTCAAGCACTAGGAATACAGCTGTGAATAAAAGGGACAGAAATTGTGTGTTCCAGCCGCTCACTTGGAGGAGTGAGCCTTTGAAGGGCAACGCAAAGGTGTGGAAGGTCAGAGGCTGTAAGTGCTGTGGAGGATCACAGAGCAGGGTGGGTGTTGTATAGGGTGACCAGGGTTGGGCAGTGTTTTCAGCAGGGACCCAAGGGAGGGAAGGTGAGGGGTAGGAAGAGTGTCCTGTGATGGGAATGTTTTGTATGTTAGAGGAACAGAACAGCAAGGAGGCTGTGTGATGAGAGCCAGCAGGGAGGTAGGGACAGACCCTCTGGCATCTGGGAAACTTTTGGCTTTTACTCTGAGGTAGAAAATTGTTGGGTTTTGAGCAGAGACCTACATGTTTAGAATTTCCTATAAAAAGGATCACTCTGGCTGCTGGGTTCCCTGAAGAGGGCAGCGCAGGGGAGTTAGAAAGCAGGTGACAGTGACTATGAGCAGTGATGTCAGGGGGGCCAGTGTCAGGAGCTCAGTGGACTGTCAGGTGTCAGAGGAGCCAGCCACAGCAGCCAGTGAAAAATGAAAGTTAAGCCTTTAACCACTTACTGTGATGGTGTAAGCAGGACTCTAAAACTGAGCTGGGCGTGGTGGCTCACGCTTGTAATCCTAGCACTCTGGGAGGCTGAGGCAGGCGGATTGCTTGAGGTCAGGAGTTTGAAACCAGGCTGAGCAAGACCCCATCTCTGCTAAAAATAGAAAGAAATTAGTTGACCAACTAAAAATGTATATACAAAAAATTAGCCGGGCATGGTGGCACATGCCTGTAGTCCTAGCTACTTGGGAGACTGAGGCAGGAGGATCGCTTGAGCCCAGGAGTTTGAGGTTGCTGTGAGCTAGGCTGATGCCATGGCACTCACTCTAGCCTGGGCAACAAAGTGAGACTCTGTCTCAAAAAAAAAGTAAATAAATAAAATAAAATAAAACTGGAGGAAGCACCAACTTCTCCTGTTCTGTTTTCTCCATGGAACGGCCACAAGTAGAGGGTCAGGTGGATCCATGCAGACCTGGGGTCGTCCCAGTATTGAGGGAGCCCCCAGCCAGAGGCGCCAGCAGTTTTATGGACTCTGAGTTGGGGAGAAGGCCAGGGGGAAGAACTAGAAGTGGAAAGTCCTGGGTCCTGAATCAGGGTGGGAAAGGTGGCTTCAGGGTTGCCCCCTCCTCCCCACAGAGGCCTCGGCCCAAGCCTCAGAGGACCTAGGAATGAAGGCACCAGGGCTAGGCCAGAGGGCCTGAGTCCTCAACTGCAGCTCCCTCCCAGGTACAGGGCACTGGCTGTGCCTCAGGCTGGCACAGGGAGGGCAGCTTCCCCTGAGAGGCTGCCAAGCACAGCCTTGACATTACCTATGGCTGGGCCTGAAAGATCACATGTGGCTTTTTAACGAGGAGCCGGACTTTTCAGGGGAGAAGTGGCTGGATGTTAGGACATATTCTGGTGCTAGATCTCATGGGATTGGATGAGAGTTGAGAGCAGACGAGACAATACAAGGAAGATCTTGAAGCAGCACCGTGCGGTCACACTGGCCATGCTGGTGGGCTAGGTGGGCGAGTTCTGTGTCTCTGCTGTGCTCTGCGAAACCACTGGCCACATGTGGTGAGCACAACTGAGGAACTGAGTTAATTTAATTTTTAGACAATTTAAGTGTGAAAATGGCTACATGTGGCTAGTGGTTCCGGTATTAGACATCACAGCTCTAAAGTTGTGGGCTGAACACCTAGAAGGATGAAGTTATCAAAATGGAGAAGTCTGGAAGGGTGTAGGTTTGGTGGGGAAGATTAGGAGTTTGGTTCTGAGCGTGTTGTATTTGCCATGCCTGTTGGAATGTCAGATGGAGATGCTGAACAGGAAGTTGGTGTTGAGACTAGAGCTCAAGGGAGAGCCGGCTGGCGCTCAGGGCTGGGAGGCACAGGCATGCAGGCGGTATTGCAGCTGGGAGGTTAGGGGAGTGCCAGTAGAAAAGAAGGGAGGTCCAGGGACTGAACTCTGGCACTCTCCACTGTTGGCAGATGGGGAAGGTGAGGAGAATACTACAAAGAAAATGAGATTTGCTGCAGGAAGGGAGGAAAAGCAGCTAGAATTGGAAGGAGCTGAATCCTGGGGATGAGGTAGTGGAGCTGGAGTGAGCAGTGCCCTGGGCAACTAAGGAAATGGGAAGGCCAGGCGAAGTGGCTCATGCCTGTAATCCTAGCACTCTGGGAGGTCGAGGCAGGGCGGATTGCTCAAGGTCAGGAGGTCGAAACCAGCCTGAACAAGAGCAAGACCCTGTCTCTACTATCAATAGAAAGAAATTAATTGGCCAACTAATATATAAAAAAAAATTAGCCAGGCATGGTGGCACATGCCTGTAGTCCCAGCTACTTGGAAGGCTGAGGCAGTAAGATTGCTTGAGCCCAGGAGTTTGAGGTTGCTGTGAGCTAGGCTGACTCCACGGCACTCACTCTAGCCTGGGCAACAAAGCGAGACTCTGTCTCAAAAAAAGAAAAAAGATAAAAAAAAAAAAGAAAAGAGAAGGAAATGAAAGAGAGAAGGTGGGAATTAGTTGTTTAGGAGGGAGGGAGAATAAGTGTGGAGCAGGGAGATACTTATGTTTAAGCACTTTGGAAAATTTGGTGTATTCAAGGCAGAGGAGGTGACGTGCACATCCTAAGAAAGAAGCCTGTGCAAAGGGCTAGGTGCTAAATTGTCATCATGGTTGTCGCCATCGCCTTCCTGGCAATAACTCCCCCACATGGGAGCCCAGAACTGTTGTAAGTACTCAGTGGATACTGCCCCATTTGAGCCTCACAGCAACCCTAGGGAGGAAAGTCCAAGGCAGAGGAGGAGGGGACAGGGGAAGATTGAACATAGGGCATCAGGATGCCATGGTAGGACATGTGTCCCTCAGGTTGCCCCTTCCTTTGGTCACTGCACTACTGTCAGGGTACCCTGTTGTGACCTAGTCCAAACAGGAAGCATGTCAGCTTTCTCCCACCCATAACTCCTGGTTGTGGGTTCAGTTTGGTTTTCAGAGAGACCCAGATGTCTTGGAATTGGTCTCATTTGTGCTTAGAGCATTGCTTCTTAACCAGGTGTCCTGGGAGTGCTCTTCGGCAGCACATGAGTGCTGCCTGGCGAAATGCAATCTTTAGTCAGGTGTCCCACCTGGAGGTAGGACTTGACATTAACAGACTGGTGATTGAATGCCTAATAAAAATCTGCTACTGAGGTTTCTGGTTTTGATATTTTCCTTCCAGATCGCAGATTTGAAAGCAGCCAGGCAGCTTGCATCTGAAATCACCTCCAAAGGAGCATCTCTGTATGATTTGCTGGGCAAGGAGGTGGAGTTGAGGGTAAGCTGCATTCAGATAAAATAATTACTTTCTTAGTTATGCAGATTTTCTCTTCAGGGTTTTGTTTTTCAATCCTGTTCTCCCTTTTCAGTTCTTCTGATGTAATTAAACATACCTGATTAAATGAGGTAATGTGTGGGAAAGTGATACATAGGCCGCTAGCTGCTTTTCTTCTAGTGAGTGCTCATCCACTGGTGCTAATGCATTTAGCTCCTAGTTTAGGAATGGCAGGTGTGTGGCACGTGGCTGAAACTGTCCCCTTTGTGTCCATGGTAGATTTTATTGATCATGATGCTTTTTTCTGGTGTTTTCAGCCTCGGCATTCTTCTCAAAAGTGCTATTTTCTGAGCTTGTGGTTCCCAAACCTTGCTGCCTAGTGGAATCACTTGGGGATCTTTAAAAGCTCCTGAATCCTGGCTTGCTCTTTTCTTTTTTGGAGATGGGATATTGCTCTGTTGTCTTGGCTGGAGTGTGATGGCACAGTCACAGCTCACTGCAACCTTGAACTCCTGGGCTCCACCAGTCCTTCTGCTTCAGCCTTCTGAGTAGCTGGGAGCATCTGCCACCATGCCCGACTATTTAAGAGATGTGGTTTCACAGTGTTGTCCAGGCTAGTCTCAAACTCCTGGGCTCAAGTGAGCCTCCTGCTTCAGCCTTCCAAAATGCTGGGATTATAGGCGTGAGACACCCTACCTGGCCTCAAACCTGGCTTTGTGTTATCATTGTTATGGAATGTGACCTGGGCATTGGGAGTTCTCAAAGTCTCCTGGGTGATTCTCACATTCAGCAAAACTTGGGATTGTTGTTATCTTGGCAGTCACTCCAACTAAACTGAAGTTCATGTTGCAGTAGAAACTTATTTGCAATCCTTATTCTATCAAGTGCCAATCAAGGATTACATGCCATCACCTACAGTTAAGCAGCTGTTTAACTACTTCAGTATGAGCGTCGACTATAGTCAACAGCCACAGATGAACGTGCACAGCCCAGCGTTGACTATAGTCGATAGCCATAGATGAACCGAGCATCGACTTTAGCCAACTTTTCTAATTTTTCATTTATCGAAATAAAATTGTGAACATTTAAAAATAATGTAATGAAAACATATATGTATGTTACCTATTCTGAATTTACATTACAAGTAAAGCTGCCTGTAAAGTAAAACAAGCTTTCAGTGCTTTCAAGCTTTCCTCATCACACAAGAGCAAAACGGATTTGTCATCAATGCACAGCACAAACTATTGTGTGGACTGTGAGTGCTGGCTGTGGGCAAGGTTTCGCTGCTGGTGACCGCCATACCGGTGGTTAAGAGTGGTTAAGAGTGTGTGGTTCCTAAACTTTGCTGAATGTTAGACTCACCTGATGTCCAGGTTTTTCCCATACTAATGAATCAGAGTGTCTGAGACTAAGAACCAGTTTTTAAAGGTTTCCAGTTGATTCCAACGTGAAGCAGAGTTTGGGAACCACTGGTTTAAGAAGAAATGGAGTGGTATTTAATCCTTACCTGTAAGTATTTTTGGCATTGAAACATACACGTTCGATCTAATGTTTTAAAATTAAGTGAATTTAGGGTCGGGTGTGGTGGCTCATGCCTGTAATCCTAGCACTCTGGGAGTCCAAGGTGGGTAGATCCTTTGAGCTCAGGAGTTCAAGACCAGCCTGAGCAAGAGGGAGATCCTATTTCTACTAAAAAAATAGAAATTAGCTGGACAACTAAAAAATACATATATATGAAAAAAATTAGCCAGGCATGGTGGTGTATGTCTGTAGTCCCAGCTATTCAGGAGGCTGAGGCAGAAGGATTGCTTGAGCCTTAGGAGTTTGAGGTTGCTGTGAGCTAGGCTGATGCCACATCACTCTAGTCCAGGCAACAGAGTGAGACTCTGTGTCAAAGAAAAAAGAAAGAAAGATTGTAGAGGCCATCAGGGGATTTGGACAGCAAGTTGTCCTGTGCTTAGTTTGGGAATCATCTGTATGGAATACGGATAAGGAAACAAATTTGGGAGAAAACATAACAGAAGCTGAGTCTAGTTTTGCCCGTGGAGATAGGGGCACATGGACCTCTAACAGCAAAGGAGGCCCCCAGGTCTGGAGAAGGGTCAGGTTACGGAAGAGGTTTGTAGGAGAGGTGATGGCAAGGAGTGTTTTTGTATGAGAGATCCATGTTGTGATGAAACTTCTGAGACTCAGTCCATAAGCCATATCTAGTTCTAGGAATATTGGTTTTGTGAACTTCTTTTCTGAAAATATAGGTAAATGATTTTATGGTTTCCTCTAGGAAATGAGAACAGAAGCTATTGGCAGACCTCTGGAAATAAATGAGACTGAAAAAGTGATGAGAGTTGCAATCAAAGAGATTTTGGTAAGATTATTTAAATGTCTTTATGCCTGGGACTCAAAAACACCGATTTCCTGCCTGCACAAGACAGAACACCCAAGGCCTCTTAATAAGGATATGTTAGTGGAGAAATTAAAAATTCAGAGGAATATCTAGAATAGGTAACCTAGAATATCTAGGTTACTACTATTGTTTTTCCCCTCATTATAAATAAGAACAATTTCTCATGTTATTAAGAATTCAGTTTTAATTTGATAATTATTTTTAATTCTTTAATAATTTTAATAAATAATGCTCTTATTTAACCGTTTCCTCACTACTGAACATTTGAATGATTTCCAGGTTTTAATTCTAGAGAGACTCTAATAAATAGAATGATCACTAACCTTCACTACTCACCCACGCTCAGTTGTTACTCCTCTTCTCTAAACTATTCAGGTGCAAGGGAGATGACAGGTGGACGCTAAACTCAGACTGCTTAGGTTTGAATTCCACTGTGTGATCGTAGGCAAGTTACCTAACCCCTCTGTGCCTCACTTTCCTCATCTGTAAAATGGGGAGAACAGCAGTGCCAACTGTATGAGGTCCTTAGTCCTTATGAGCATTCATCACAGTGGTGTGTGTCAAGCTTGGTCTTGGGCTACATGGATAGTCAGTCATCATAAGAGATTTATTTTATTCAGTAGACACAGGCAAGGGGACTTATGTAAATTAAGAGTAGGCATAGGCCGGATGTGGTGGCTCACGCCTGTAATCCTAGCACTCTGGGAGGCCGAAGCGGGTGGATTGCTCAAGGTCAGGAGTTCGAAACCAGCCTGAGAAAGAGCGAGACCCTGTCTCTACTATAAATAGAAAGAATTTAATTGGCCAACTAATATATATAGACAAAATTAGCTGGGCATGGTGGCGCATGCCTGTAGTCCCAGCTACTCGGGAGGCTGAGGCAGAAGGATTGCTTGAGCCCATGAGTTTGAGGTTGCTGTGAGCTAGGCTGACTCCACGGCACTCACTCTAGCCTGGGCAACAAAGCAAGACTCTGTCTCAAAAAAAAAAAAAAAAAAAATAGTAGGCATAAAACAAGAATTTGCAGTGAGTTGTATAAAATTCTAAGAATCATAGGTTTTTTTGTAATTTCCTTGTCATTAGGCAATAATACTCCCTGGGCAGCCCACACAGGGCATCTGAGCCACATGGTGAGAAAGGCATGGCAACGCGGATGGGAGATTGGTTACATATAGGTTTGATTGATCAGATAAGTAATACATTAAGGATATAAGAGCCAAGTTCCCCACTGTTGGAGAAGAGAGTTATAGAAAGGGAAAGAGAGAAAATTAGAATGAACTCTGACATTGAAGGTGTTGGGTAAATACGCATAGCTTTTTAGATAGATAGATAGATAGATAGATAGATAGATAGATAGATAGATAGATAGATAGATAGATTTTTTTAACATGGAACACTTCATGAATTTTTGTGTTATCCTCGTACAGGGGCCATTCTGACCTCTATATCATTCCAGTTTTAGTACATGTGCTGCCAAATCAAGCACCAGAAATAAATTTTGATATATTTTAATATATGTATGTACTTATAAGGAATATGTGTGTATGTGTATATAAATGTCATATATTTGTATGCACACACATAAACACACCCACACTCACACATTTCTTAGTTCTGAGCACCTCGATCTTGGCTTCTAAATGCCATTCTCCTCCTCCTAAAAAGAACCGGAGCTCCTAGGGAAAAATGGCTGATCCCAGAGCTGGGACAGAAGTGCAAGATCTTGTTGTGCCAGAAAGTGAGGAAGTGCTCAGAGGATGAAAGAAGGCTGTCAAAAGGCCACAGAAGCCAAATTGTATGGGCCTCCCCTGGCCAAACCAGGGATAATTTAAGCATCAAAATAAGTAAGTTATAGTGATTTAGTTAATAGTATAGTTGAATGAAATGGGAAACCATATGATGAGAAGCAAGTTATTCACATAGTTTTGAAGTAGTTCCCCACAAAATGCTTACTGATTACAAAAAGGAAAAGAGTAACTTCTAATGGAGAAGCCTGGCAGTCACCCCCTTAATCAAGTGATCAAAATGAACATCATCATAATGGAACAAATCAAAATTATGCATGCCCGATAGGATGCAGTTATTGCTGAGATATGGCTGCCAAAGATGCATAATCTGAATCTAATCAGAAGAAGCAAATTGAAGGGCATTCTATAAATTAACTGGCCTATACTCTTCAAAAGTGAAAAGGACATAAGAGTCAAGGCAATCTGAGGAATATTCCAGGCTGAAGGAGTCTGCAGACGATGATGCCTGAATAACTCAGGTGGCTCCCGTCTGCTGTTGATGACTTCACTGGGACAAGTGGGGACGCTGAAATGGGTCTGAGGATTAGGTGGTGGTGCGTCGGGGCTGAGTTTGCGTTTTGATGGTTGTATTGCGGTTGTGTAGGAGATTATTTGTATGAAATATGCACTGAATTATTCAGGGTGATGGGGTACCTTGTCAGCAGTTTACACCTAGGTTGGGAAAAATGCTTTGCATTATACTCTAATTTTTCTGTAAATTTTCATTAAAAAATAATGTACTCTTATGCTTATCAGCATTCTAACTGAATCTAGTGAACATGGCATAAAAGTGCCCTTAGCATTAATACATTAAAAATAAGAATATCCAGAAGAGGGGACAATTAATTTCTTGGTGAATATCTCTTAAGATATCTTTCCATTGTTGGAAAACATCCATGATGTTTGCTAATTCTGAAAGTAAAACCAAAACAATACCATGAGTACTTAAAGAGGGTTATAAAGTATAGACCGTGTATTTCAGGAAGCCAGGGAAAATTACTTAGGTTTATATGTTGATCTTTCTTGTTTGAGGAACAAATGCCTATTTTAAAATAGTTTTTATTTTTTAAGGTCACATAAATTCACTAGGATTTAATCTGACTTTGATTCAGAGAAATAGTCTCCATCAGCTTGAGTTGTTCAGAAAGGAGGCCCAGCTTTCTCTCTGTGAGAGTGAACTCACATGTCTCCTGGTGTCTTTAAAGCACTTGCATTTTAAGGCATCTGTTGAGGAAGAAAAAAACAAAAAAACAAAAAAAAGCACTTGCAGCAAATGGCTGATTAGTCATATGATTATTTTAATGAAATTGCCTTAGGAATTGTTAGTGTACTTAGACCAAAAAAAATTAAATCATTAATTCATCATCAGTAACAGTGGTTGCTTACAAAAATGCACCGTGTCTGAGAATCTGTCCATCGACAGTGTCTGGATTTTTTAGGTCCTTTCTTTGTGGACCCCATAGCTTTTCAGAGACCTTCAGGAAAACAGTAATGCTTTATGGGGTGCCTACACACATGTAAAGTACTAGAGGAGAAAACCCCATGGTAGCCATCAGGAACTAAACACAGGGCTGGAAAGTTGGCAGTTGAGGAGGCAGCTCATGTACTCAGCTGGGTTGCATTCCAGATTCCTACTGCAGCAGACTGGAGCTGAACCACAGGGCATCTGACCTGGCCAGCTTCCCAGACAAGATGAAAACATAAGTATGAAGAGACAGTGCATTTCCTCTGCCTCTACCTGCTTCAAATGAACTTTCTTTCTCTCTTTTTTTGGAGACAGAGTCTTGCTCTGTCACCCAGGGTAAAGTGAAGTGGCATCATCATAGCTCTTTGCAACCTCAAACTCCTGGGCTCAAGCAATCCTCTTGCCTCAGCCTCCCGAGTAGCTGGAACTACAGGTGGATACCACCACTCCTGGCTAATTTTTTTCTATTTTTAGTAGAGATGGAGTCTCACTTCTTGCTCAGGCTGGTCTCCAACTCCTGGGCTCAAGCAATCCTCCCACCTCGGCCTCCCAGAGTGCTAGGATTACAGGCGTGAGCCACCATGCTGGGCCATATGATCTTTCTCTTATGAGTGGATAGGAACATCTGCGTTGTTTCCAATGGTCTCTTGTTCCTATCCCTTTCTTTACTTAGCCCCATTGCCCAAGGGCCTCTCCCCCACTGCTGCCCAGGCCCTCTTCCAAAGGCTGACAGACACCAATGTGGCCGTTGCCACTGCAGGAGCTGCTTCTGTGCTGACTTCAGGGTGCTCGCTTTGTTTATTTTCAGTCCAGTCTGTAGTCAAGCTTCTGTTGCCAGGGAGAGGGAAGGGGAACCTTTTCCCTCAATCCCAGCAGGCAGTGGATGAGGGCCACTCATGTTTCTTTCTGTCCCCCCTAGTAGAGCTATACTTGTGTGTGCATTTATTCCCTAAGTCAGGTGGGGTTTTTTTGTTTTTTTTTTTAAGTCAGGTGTTTGTAACTAGGCATAGCCTGAACAATGTAAAGGCAGACTAACCGGCTGGGCTCAAGCTGTCCTCTTGCCTCAGCCTCCTGAGTGCACCCAGTTCTCACAAGCAAGCCGGACAGACGAGCGTGGGCCTCTCTCCATCTTGATCAGGACACTCTTCTTTCCATCTTCACTTATTTCCCCAGGCAGAAAAACTCACTTTTTATGGGGAAAAAAATATTTTTTTCTGGATATTCTCCCTGTAATAGTTGGTTAAATATGCCATTGTTTGGGGGAGTGTTTGCTTTGTTTACTTTTGTGATTGTTTAGTGTGATGTTGCTATGCCTGAAGAGCTGAAACATCCCTTTCTTCAAAGAGTCAGGATGGCGGTCCTTATTGGCACATTGTCTCATTATTTCCTATTAAACGTAGGCACAGGTTCAGAAGACTAAAGACCTGCTCAATAACGTGGCCTCCGATGAAGCTAATTTAGAAGCCAAAATTGAAAAGAGAAAATTAGAATTGGAAAGAAACCGGAAGCGACTGCAGACTCTGCAGAGTGTCAGGTAGATATGAACACCTGAAGAATGTGTACAAAGACATCTTTGGAAGTTACAACAAAGACTAAGAGGATATAACATGATACTAACTCTTCAAGCATGAAAAAAGCTTTACATAAGGTTATCTCTACTTCAAAATGTGTGTGTGTTGCCTATCATAACAAGCAGACTGCTAAACTCATTCTCTTTATTGCTTTCAATGTGTCTGGAAAACTGCTTAATTCCTTGAAGTGCCTTTTAAGCTTTTATAGCTTTTTGGAACTCAGAGCAAAGTAAGTAAACCCAGATGGTGAAAGTTACATGAGGCTTGGTCTCCTAAGATATTGCCGTAAATCAGATAGAAGCAGAAACATACTCCCATCCTTGGTTTGTGTAAATTTTAGAATTTATTTAGACTTTGATAATTCCTCACCACTCAGTAATTCATCTTTCTTCTTATTACACTTTGCCTCATTGGAAATACATTTCCAAGGAATATGCATGGATAATAGTGGCACAAACTACCTTCTGGGTTAGTGGAGCCTTTCAAGTGTGTCCCTCACATTTCTTAGAGCTGTTTCTTCTCTTTACTTGTTTTGTACCCTCCTTCCTTTGCTGTGTCTTTGTTTTCCTTTCCCATGTGCTGCTGTTCTTTCTCCCTTTTCATTCTCCCTTCTTTTTCTTTTTTTAATCGAGCAGAATCGTGTTCTGTCACCCTGGCTGGAGTACAGTGGCATCGTCATAGCTCACAGCAACCTCAAACTCCTGGGCTCAAGTGATCCTTCTGCCTCAGCCTCCCAAGTAGCTGGGACTACAGGTGTTCACCACTATAGCTGGCTAATTTTTTCTTTTTTCTTTTTTTTTTTTTTTTTGAGACAGAGTCTCACTTTGTTGCCCAGGCTACAGTGAGTGCTGTGGCATCAGCCTCGCTCACAGCAACCTCAATCTCCTGAGCTCAAGTGATCCTCCTGCCTCAGCCTCCCGAGTAGCTGGGACTACAGGCATGCACCACCATGCCCGGCTAATTTTTTGTATATATATTTTTAGTTGGTCAATTAATTTCTTTCTATTTTTAGTAGAGATGGGGTCTCGCTCAGGCTGGTTTCAAACTCCTGACCTTGAGCAATCCGCCTGCCTTGGCCTCCCAGAGTGCTAGGATTACAGGCGTGAGCCACGCGCCCGGCCTTTTTCTATTTTTTGTAAAGATAGGATCTCCCTCTTGCTCAGGCTGGTCTCAAACTCCTAACCTCTAGTGATCCTCCTGCCTCAGCCTCCCAGAGTGCTAGGATTACAGACATGAGCCACCATGCCCAGCCCATTTTTCTCTTTCCTGACTCCCTCCTCTTCCCGGCTAGTAATCTGCTCTGAATGTGTTTTGCCTTTTTGAGGTACTGGTCACTAGCCCTCACTCTGGCTACTGCCCTGAGACTTGTGGAAAGGCAGACCTATGGTGACAGAGGGTAACCGCAGGGAGGCATCAAAGGTGTCCTCCCAACCAAGGGAAATCAGTGTTGCCAGATAGATTTGTCCCCTTGTCCCATTCTGCCTTTAAACCATAAATTCACTTTTGTTAAGCTTCAGATCCTTTTTTTTTTTTTTTTTTTTTTTTTTTTTGAGACAGAGTCTCGCTTTGTTGCCCAGGCTAGAGTGAGTGCCGTGGCGTCAGCCTAGCTCACAGCAACCTCAAACTCCTGGGCTCGAGTGATCCTTCTGCCTCAGCCTCCCGGGTAGCTGGGACTACAGGCATGCGCCACCATGCCCAGCTAATTTTTTTTTATATATATATCAGTTGGCCAATTAATTTCTTTCTATTTATAGTAGAGACGGTCGTTTCGTCTGCTCAGGCTGGTTTTGAACTCCTGACCTTGAGCAATCCGCCCGCCTCGGCCTCCCAAGAGCTAGGATTACAGGCGTGAGCCACAGCGCCCGGCCCAGATCCTTTTTTTTTTTTTTTTTTTTTTTGAGACAGAGTCTCACTTTTGTTGTCCAGGCTAGAGTGAGTGCCGTGGCGTCAGCCTAGCTCACGCAGACCTCAAACTCTGGGCTCAAGCGATCCTTCTGCCTCAGCCTCCGAGTAGCTGGGACTACAGGCATGTGCCACCATGCCCGGCTAATTTTTTTTATATATATATATCAGTTGGCCAATTAATTTCTTCTGTTTATGTAGAGACGGGTCTCGCTCTGCTCAGGCTGGTTTTGAACTCCTGACCTTGAGCAATCTGCCCGCCTCGGCCTCCCAAGAGCTAGGATTACAGGCGTGAGCCACAGCGCCCGGCCCAGATCCTTTTAATAGAAAAATTTTTGTTTTGCCCCAGTTCAAAAGATTATAAATTATTTTTTAGTTTATTTTTTTTATTTTTGAAGGAGCAGAATTTTCTCTTTAAGATCATTAAGAAGGAAAAAAAGTAAAATTCAGCAAATCAGTTGAAACAAGTTTTTATGTCATGGTTTTTATTTTTTAACTTTATATTATTTAAAAACAGCTTTAATTTGTAGCAACCTATGTTTCCCTTTTTAGAGAACTGATAGAATATCAAGACAGTGGACTATTATACCTAAGAAAATGTATATATGTAATTTATCAATTTTGAGAGAAGTATATGGTATATGATTATTTTTGAACTCTACTGAAATCTATTATATACTGAAGTTAAAAAAAAGACTACAAAACTTTATGGCAGGCACGGCGCAGTGGCTCACGCCTGTAATCCTAGCACTCTGGGAGGCCAAGGCGGGCGGATTGCTCAAGATCAGGAGTTCGAGATCAGCCTGAGAAAGAGCGAGACCCCATACTAAAATATAGAAATAAATTAATTGGCCAACTAAAAAAATATACAGAAAAAATGAGCCGGGCCTGGTGGCACATGGCTGTAGTCCCAGCTACTCGAGAGGCTGAGGCAGGAGGATTGCTTGAGCCCAGGAGTTTGAGGTTGCTGTGAGCTAGATGCCACGGCACTCTAGCCCAGGCAACAAAGTGAGACTCTGTCTCAAAAATAAATAAATAAATAAACTTTATGGCAATATATTTAATTTTTGTTTAAAAATGCATTCTTATCTGTACCTATACATAGAAAAGTCTGGAAAGATATATGTCATATATTAAGTGCTTATACCTAGTGATGGAATTATGAATAATTTTTTCATCATTGTTTATACTTTCAGGATTATTTCAAGTTTTTACAAAGAACACATCTTATTTATGATTTAAAAGAAGTATGTTTGTCTTGGTGGGCAGGAGGAGAAGAGGGCAATTAGTGTTAACTAGTTACAAGAGTGAGGAATTGTGTCTAATTAAAGATTTCCAAAGAAAGCCATGATGGAGTCTGGAGTTCTCAATATGAATTTCAAAATACTGTGTGTTTAACCTTTCACTTTTTATTTTATTTGCTTGCTTTAGGCCAGCCTTTATGGATGAGTATGAGAAGATTGAAGAAGAATTGCAGAAGCAGTATGACATTTATCTAGAGAAATTTCGAAATTTGACTTACCTGGAACAACAACTTGAGGACCATCACAGGATGGAGCAGGAGAGGTTTGAGGTGAGTGTTTAGCCTATTCTATGCAGACCATTCTTTCAGTTTATAAATATCCTGAAAAAAAATACCAGTAAATGTATTTTCTCCCTGGTCAGTCTGAAGATTGCTTGTGTAATTCTTTTGTTTTGCTGGCAATGTAGCCTGGATTCCAAGGTTATCAAATCTTTTTCTTTTTTTGAGGGGACAGGGTCTCACTCTGTTGCCCAAGCTAGAGTGCAGGTGATTATCATATCACTCATCTGGCTGTATTGTAGAGAAAAAAAAAAATAATAACTCCCTGCAACCTCAAACTCCTGGGTTCAAGAGATCCTCCTGCCCTAGCCTCCTAAATAGCTGAGACTATAGGCATAGCCACCATGCCTGGCTAATTTCTCTTATTATTTTGTAGAAATGGTGTCTCGCTATATTGTCCAGGCTGGTCTCAAACTTCTAGGCTCAAATGATCCTTCTGCCTCAGCTTCCCAAAGCATTGGGATTACAGGTGTGATCCATGGTGCCCAGCCTCAACTCTTTTCGAACTCCTGACCTCGAGCAATCCGCCCGCCTCGGCCTCCCAGAGAGCTAGGATTACAGGCGTGAGCCACCGCGCCCGGCCCAAGCCTCAACTCTTTGATGTTATGTTTTCATCAGGATTTAGTCAATTAGTAGTACAGACAGGGCAACATGTGACCTGTGCTTACTTCCATGCTCTGCTGTTACTGTCCTGAAATTTGTAATCATTTTAAAGTGCATTTTATTTTGCATTGATCCCCACAAATTATGTAAATGGTCTTGAATACAGATCTAAAAACTTGCTTGGTCAGTTCATGTAAAGATTTTCAAGCCTTAGTTGATTGAATCATAAACTAGCTCATTGGAGACTGCTCTGTGAAGAGGAGTAGCAGGCTATTGATCGTGGGAAACACGTGTAACCCAGAACTTGACCAGCTCTTTTGCGGTTCCTGTCATCCCAGTAGGTAAGGCCATTTAGGGAAGAGAATTTGAGATCCCAGCGTGAGTTCACAAATGTGGAATTCAGAACAAAGGAAATTGGACCAAGTTACAATCATTTTTTGAATTGACCTTGTCTCTTGGGATATTTCTGCTTAACCTAAGAATGGTCATTTAGAATCTGTGTTCATGACGAAATTGGTCTACATTCTCCCTTTCTCACACTGTCCTTGACAGCTTTCGGTATTGAGGCTGTGCTGGTCACTCTCATCTGTGTGTTCGAATAAGGCAGGGCTATTTTCTTGTCCAGGAGGGCTGACTGGGAATAACCAATGCATTCGTATAGGCACACGTCATCTTGAGAGTAACTTGTCACTAGCATTACTCTGTCGCAGAGAGGCAGGCCATGGAGAAATAGGGTATAGGACAGGCACATTTTTAGGGCAACAGGAAGAGCCTGGATTTTAGAACATTTTAAACATTGGGTACCTGGGAAGGACAGTAAAGGGCCAGTGAAAAGAAGCTTTGACCGTTTTGTTGTATCATCTGGGGCCACCCTGGGTTCAGAGAACATAGTGAAGAATATGGCTCAGGATGGCTTGTAGGTGCCCGAGTGAGTCACTGCTGAGGATGTGCCTTTCCTAACCTGCCTTCAGCAGATATTTCTCCTCCTTTCCCCTCACTCAGTCCTACTCTCTCTCCTTAATACCTGTTCCCTTGAGATATCCCATGCCTGAAACACAGTGATTTCTTTTCTTTTTTTTGAGACAGAGTCTCACTTTGTTGCCCAGGCTAGAGTGCTATGGCATCAGCCTAGCTAACAGCAACCTCAAACTCCTGGGCTCAAGCAATCCTCCTGCCTCAACCTCCCAAGTAGCTGGGACTACAGGCATGCTCCACCATGCCCGGCTAATTTTTTCTATATATTTTTAATTGGCCAATTAATGTCTTTCTATTTATAGTAGAGATGGGGTCTCACTCTTGCTTAGGCTGGTTTTGAACTCCTGACCTTGAGTGATCCACCCGCCTCGGCCTTCCAGAGTGCTAGGATTACAGGCGTGAGCCACTGGGCCCAGCCGATTTCTTTTTAATTTTTAGAAGGACAACACAATGAGAGAGGAAAGCTGATTTCCATTCCCATTCTCCCTCTTGACAATAACCAGGGCCGCATTTTATAAGTGTTAACCTCCTTCCTGCCCCGTCCCAGGAAGTAAGACTAGTTTTTCTTTCTTTCTCTTCTCATTGACCTGCCCCACACCATTTGGCATCTTTCAAGACTGGAATTTGAAGGCAGTACAGGGCAAAAAAATTATAAAATCCATGCTTTCCTCTTTTGAGAGCAAGAGGTCTGTCCCTGTCCCAAAGTTAGGCGCATCTGCTCTTTGTCCACAATTGTCTCGGCACACACAATGGGCATTTAGCTGTGTCATTTGGTTCTCCTCAGAGGCAGAGAAGTGTCACAGAGCCGCTGGTGACCTCAAAGAGAAAGGGTGCCAAGTTTGTGGACCCTAGAGCTGCTTAAGCAGTGTTAGTTCTCGTCCCCTTCCTTGAGGTTGGATCTTTTCTTGTTCTGTATTACAAACATAGTAGCACTTACACAGTGGTGAAGAGTAGAAATGGTCCACAAAAGGATCATCTCTTTTGAATCTTTTTACTTTTCCACAGGAAGCTGAAAATACTCTCCGTCTGATGCAGAACAAACTAAAGGAAGAAGAAAAGCGACTACTCAAGAGTGGAAGTAAGGCCGTACTTTGTAGACAGTGTCCATTCTGGACAAGCATTTTTAGCCTTGAAAATTTTACATATTTTTTAAAAATATTTATATTCTTTTCTTCTTTTGAGACAGAGTCTCACTCTGTTTTACCCAAGCTAGTGTATTGCAGCATCTGTCTATTTCACAGCAGCCTCAAACCCCTGGGCTCAGGAGATCCTCCTGCTTTAGCCTCCCAAGTAGCTGGGACTGCAGGCACACACCACCATGCCTGGTGAATTTTTTCTATTTTTAGTAAAGACACGGTCTTGCTCTTCTTGCTCAGCCTGGTCTCAAACTCCTGAGCTCGAGCAGTCCTCTCACCTCGGCCTCCCAGAGTGCTAGGATTACAGGCGTGAGCCACTGCGTCCGGACAGCCATACTTAATTTTAATACGCCAATAACAACTCAGTATCAGCATGCATTGATGTCTTAGTCTGTTTTGTGCTGCTATAATAATACCTGAGACTGAGTAATTATATATTTTACATGTATATCATATATATAATGTTATCCCTCAGTATCTGGGGGGTATTGGTACCAGGACCCCCTGCGGATACCAAAATCCCCAGATGTTCAAGTCCTTTATATAAAATGCATAGTATTTGCATATATCTGTGCATATCTTCTCATATACTTTATTATTTTTGCTCCCCCTTCCCATATACCTTAAATCATCTGTAGACTACATAAAATACTTAATACAGTGCCTACACATTGCTTCATTCACGTGGATTCAACATAGTACTTGGCATGAGGCAAATTCTAATTTTGCTTTTTGGAACTTTGTGGAATTTTTTTGTTTTGTGAATATTTTTGATCCATGGTTGGCTGAATCCATGGATGTGGAATCCACAAATACAGAAAGGGCTGACTGTGTGTATATATACACATATAGACAATATGTGTGTATTATATAATGTTACTATTAGATTATTATTATAAACAGAAACTTATTGGGTCATGGTTCTGGAGGCTGGCAAGTCCAGGATCAAGGAGCTGCCATCTAGCAAGGGCCTTCCTGCTGTGCCGTTCCATGGCACAGGGCAAAGAGAGGGTGAGAGAGAGCTTAACATGGAACTTGCAGCCTCAGGCCCTTTTATAATCAGCATCAACTCATTCGTGAGGGCTCCACCCTCATGACCTAAGGCCTCCCTTTAGGCCCCACATCCCAATACTGTTGTACTGGGGATTACGTTTCCAGCACATTTTGGGGGAGACACATTCATACCATAGCCATTAACTTTAGCTTACCTGCTCAGTTCTTAGTCTGTATTGGTTTGAGCTGTCAGAAAAAAATCTCATTAAGCCTGAGAGATATGTATTTCATTTTAACATTCATTGTATCATTTGATTTGCATTGCATGGGGTAAGGATTTAATGTCATAATTATCCTGGGTGAAGTAAAAAGTGAACTAAGCTGAATAGTGATTTCATTTTGTAGTTATTAATTTATGTTAATACTTAATCATATTATCTGTAAAGACTTTTGGAAATAGTGGTTTTCAAATTAATTGTGTTGAAGCCCTTGAAGGATGCTATTATGGCCTCTCCAGCTCCCAGGTTTGCCCCCTCTGTACTATAGAGCACAGCTCTTCTCTCCAGGGCTAAAGAGAGCAGAAACTGAACCATCCCTCAGCACTCAGCCAGAGTTAGCTACCATTCCATCCCTCTTATAGCAGGGGCAAAGCAAAGTCTCTTTTTTTTAGAGATAGGCCCTTGCTTTGTCACCTTGGCTGGAGTACAGTGGCACAATAGTAGCTCACTGTAACCTTCAACTCCGGGGCTCATGCAATCCTCCTGCCTTGGCCTCCCAAAGTACTGGGTTATGTAGGCGTGAGCCACCATGCCTGGCCTTGGTAGACTAACGATTACTATACTTCCACACTAACTTCTGAGTCAGTAATCAGCATAGCAACTGCAGACTCCTCCAATTCCATTTCCCTAAAACCTGCAGGCTCCCTGGGTGCAGATATGTCAGATGCCAGGCAGTGAAACCCCCTACCCCCAAACCTCCAACACTTTGGAAACTCTCTTTCTGTAAGTTCCCTTTAGGAAGTATTCTACCTGCAGGCACAAGACTCAAAAAAAGTATTTAAGAAATGAATATAGGGCTGGGAGTGGTGGCTCACACCTGTAATCCCAGCACTTTGGGAGGCTGAGGCAGGAGGATCACTTGAGCCCAGGAGTTTGAGGCTGCAGTGAGCTATGATCATGCCACTGCACTCCAGCCTGTGTGACAGAGCAAAACCTTGTCTCCAAAAAAGAAAAGAAAGAAAATAAAAATTAATATAAAGAGCTGTTGTGCTGAAAACAACCTTTTAAAATATATATCTTTATGATGGGATATATATCTTTATGATGAAATTTTTTTGCAGATTATGATAGTGTTTTTTTTGTTTTTTTTTATTAGAGACGGGGTCTCGCTCTTGCTCAGGCTGGGTTTGAACTCCTGACCTCGAGCAATCCACCCGCCTCGGCCTCCCAGAGAGCTAGGATTACAGGCGTGAGCCACCGCGCCCGGCCATGATAGTGTTTTTAACTAATACATTTGACCAACTTTTTTCTTGCTTTGGAGAATTGATTTAAAAAAAAAACACAGCCTATCATTGTCTGCATTAACTCTTCACTAAGTATCTACAGGCAAATCCAGAGTCTCATAAAACCTAATGCATCAAAAGAAAGAAAGTAAAGAAAGAAAGTCTATGTAAAAGACTTTTGTGTGCAAGCCTTGCTGGACAGAAGCTGTTTTAGTTGTAATGACAGAGCCACTCTTTTGTTTGTCAACTTGTGTTCCTGCCAGGTAACGATGGCTCAGACATAGACATCCAGGAGGATGATGAATCCGACAGTGAATTGGAAGAGAGGCGACTGTCCAAGCCACGGACAGCCATGGAAGTACTCATGCAAGGTACCACATCTTCTTTCATTCACCCTCCTCCTGTGCCCTGCTCTCAGAACAGCATGGCCAGAACTGGGTCAGGGCTGCTTAGTATTAAGGGTCACAGGCACACTGTGAATGGCCCTTGGGAGCACTTCTTCCTTCAGGTTTATCCTGCCCTGTTTTTTTTTTTTTTTTTGAGACAGAGTCTGTCTTTGTTGCCCAAGCTAGAGTGAGTGCCATGGCGTCAGCCTAATTTGTAGCAACCTCAATCTCCTGGGCTCAAGCAATCCTCCTGCCTCAGCCTCCTGAGTAGCTGGGACTACAGGCATGCGCCACCATGCCCAGCTAATATTTTTTGTATATATATTTTTAGTTGGTCAATTAATTTTTAGTAGAGATGGGGTCTCACTCTTGCTCAGGCTGGTCTCGAACTCCTCACCTTGAGCTATCCACCTGCCTCGGCCTCCCAGAGTGCTAGGATTATAGGCATGAACCACCGTGCCCTCCTCTGCCCTGTTATTGATCAGGATTTGGTCCTTATACTGCTCAGTGGTCATCTTTGCTGCTAATACTCTCACCTGTGATCCTGAGAGTAGCTGATTCATACTTGTGGTTTGGTGCTTCTCACAGAGGCCATGGGAACACATTGCCTCTGCAACTGAGCTATATATCTAACCCTTTTTGGGTCCTAAACTGATTTCAGTGCAATTATATTCCTTATGCCCAAGAATTAATGCACGAAGAAGAGACTTTTGTGAGCATCTCTGCCTTAAAAAATATATTTTTGTAATTTCTTTCTCATTGCAAAAGATTCAAGCAACAAGGCCAAGTGCAGTGGCTCACCTTCAGTCCCAGCTACTTGGGAGGCTGAGGCAGAAGGATCGCTTGAGTCCAGGAGTTCAGGGCTGTAGTGTGTTATAATCACACCTGTGAACAGTTACTGGACTCCAGCCTGGGCAACATGGCGAGACCCCATCCATTAAAAAAAAACAAAAAAGACTCAAACAACAAAGTTTGTGGAGCAAACGCAAATGCCCTCTGGGGTCTTCCTCATGTCCCAATCCCACCCTAGAGCAGTCACGGCTAGTACCTGGGAGAGAGGGTCTCCTTACAAATTGCCTTTCTGTATATATACATATGCATACACACATGCATGCACATGCATACACATACATACCTACACACATACAATCAAACATAGATACAAAGATCACCTAAGAAAATTTTAATCTAAATGGAACAAGACTATACATATGGTTCTGCAACTTGCTTCTTTTTTTTAAATTACTTACAGTGGAACTCTTCTCATGTCAGTAAAGTATAGTTCTGCTTCATTCTTTTTAATGGCTATATCATATTCCATAGAATGACTATACCCATAATTTACTTGGGCATTCTCACATGGATATTTATTTCCACTCTTTCCCTCGTATATACATCTCCCGCATATCTGCAAATGTTTCTTTAGGTTTCATCATTAAAAGTAGAATTCTTTAGTCAAAGGTTGTGTATATTTATATTTTGGTAGATACTACTAGATTGCCCTATATTTGCCTTTAAAAACATTTCGTACCTACCATCTGTTAATGTTTGGAGCACAGTTGCATTTTTTTTTAAAATCTGAATAATTTATTCTAACAAAAGTATAAAGTATGGAAAATTAGTGTATTTGAATCATTTCAAAGAGTAGAGCAAGTTTCACATTAGCAGATTTCAGCTTTTAGCACCTTTGAAAAGAAATATTCAGAGTTAAGACAAGTGACAATATAGGCTTCAGACTACACACTGCAAATTATTCATCTGCGTTACGGTGTACAGTTCACATAACAGTGCAGTCATTTGGTTTTTTTCCTCTATATTTTGAGAGTGCCACAAAACATACACTTAAGGACAAGAAAGGTGTTCATTTGAATTCATAGTTGGTGGTTAGAAAATGGAAAAGAAACGTTGAGACAGAGGTGAAAGATCACAGGCTGGACTAGGAGGTCAAATGGACAGTCCAAAGGCGCTGACAATGCAGTACATGGTCTTGTTCTCCCATCACATGGTACAACTCCCATCAGTAGAGCTGTCCCAGAAGCAGGAACTTGCTGTGTGTAGTCCAGCTCCATTCTTCTGCATAATTACACAGGTCACAATGTATTTAAATGGTTTTCCCAGCTTGGTGAGTTGGCTTAAAGTTTGTTCTACTACATTTGTGGTCCACTGGTTGACTTTGTTGTGTTAGTAAGTGTTACCGCCGATCGCACTTTCTTTTTCTTTCTTTCTTTTTTTTTTTTTTTGAGACAGAGTCTCACTTTGTTGCCCAGGCTAGAGTGAGTGCCGTGGCGTCAGCCTGGCTCACAGCAACCTCAATCTCCGGGCTCAGCGATTCTACTGCCTCAGCTCTCCGAGTAGCTGGGACTACAGGCATGCGCCACCATGCCCGGCTAATTTTTTGTATATATATTTTTAGTTGGTCAATTAATTTATTTCTATTTTTGGTAGAGACGGGGTCTCGATCAGACTAGTTTCGAACTCCTGACCTTGAGCAATCCGCCCGCCTCGGCCTCGCAAAGTGCTAGGATTACAGGCGTGAGCCACCACGCCCGGCCCAATCGCACTTTCTATAGCCTCTTTTACATTGTTGCTCACTTCATCCACAACAAAAGTAGTCTCCTCGGTAGCCTGGTAGTCTTCCATCTTTCCACCTGCATTTTTATCATATATAAAAATTTAAGGGGTAAAATCATCTTTCTTTCATCATTTACATTAGCTTTTGTTATTAACTGCTTTCACGTTCTAGGCTCAGCTATCTTCATTTACGATATTTTACTTTTTCCACAGGATAATTAGATGCTCTGATTTCCTTTTTATTCCTTTTACTTTTTAAAAGCTTCATGAGCTTTAAAAGGTTTAAAGGCTTCAGAGCTTATTAATTATGATTCTCATTTGATGGACAGGAGCCAGGGCAATAAAAAGGTGTGCGATTGGCTCAGTATAATCTAGTAAAAGCACTGGTTCTGCAAAATTCTGCTGAGCGCTTAGCCTGCAGAGTAAATCACAGTCCTTTTGCAAAAACTATAAATAAGGTCTTCAAACACAAGATTTTGTATTTTGTCTGACCAAGGGCAAGTTTCTGTAAATTAGTGCCCAGTCATCTGTCTCCAGGTCTGTCCTGAGCCAGCTTCTATCTGTGCTGCCTTTCTCCCAAAGCCGGGGCCTGCAGTCAGGATCACTCCTTTCTCAGCCTTAGGGTATGAGTCTAGTTCTCTGTGCCCCCTCCACCCTGCCCCCGGTAAAGGACAGCTGAGTTTTTGCAGAAATCACATACAGTCATTTTTGACTTGCAGAGGAGGAATAGAGAATCCCTTAGATAATGATGGTGTTTGAAACATGAACTAATTATTGTACTTAACATGTTTTTTCAATTTTTTTCTCTCTGAAGCTCATATATCCAAATACAAGGGAGAATATATATTTTTTTCAACAGATAGCATACCAGTTGCACTGCGTATCAACTAGTAATGGGCTTCAGTGATTTTTCTTTAAAACAATTACAAGGTGCATGTTTATTTTGTTTGTTTGTTTGTTTTGTTTTTTTGAGACAGAGTCTCACTTTGTTGCCCAAGCTACAGTGAGTGCCGTGGCATCAGCCTAGCTCACAGCTACCTCAAACTCCTGGGCTTAAGCAATCCTTTTGCCTCAGCCTCCCGAGTAGCTGGGACTACAGGCATGCGCTACCATGCCCGGCTAATTTTTTCTATATATGTTAGTTGGCCAATTAATTTTTCTATTTATAGTAGAGACGGGATCTTGCTCTTGCTCAGGCTGGTCTTGAATCCTGACCTCCAGCAATCCGCCCGCCTCGGCCTCCCAGAGTGCTAGGATTTCAGGCGTGAGCCACTGTGCCCGGCCTTGTTTATTTTTTTAATTCATGATTTGCACTTATATTTTATTGTCTGTTTCTTTTTCTCAAGTGGAAATGCAGAAAATCCATTACTGTTTGTTGACAGTTCTGATTAATTAGATGCTACCTAAGTAAATATTTTGGTGTGCTTCTTCTTCCTAATTTTCTGAGGGAAAGCAAATCTTGAATGTTATTTACTGCCTTATTTTCCAAAGTTTTTATGATTTTTTTTATGCTTTTGTTCACAGGGAGACCCGGCAAACGAGTCATGGGCACAATGCAAGGTGGAGACTCCGATGATGATGTGAGTCCTGACCAACTCCCTGTAGCAATTCTGTGCTTTCTGTTCTCGGGCCGTCCTCATAGACTAGAGACCAGCTGAGATGCTGCCAGCAGCCAGGGCACTGTCTGTTCTCAGCCCAGCCTACCGCTTGGTTTATGGCAGAGTTTGGCCTCCTAAGGTGCTGGACTCTTTCTTCTTTTCTTTGCTTGTTGATGGCTCATTTCTTTTCAAATGAATGTGCTTGTTCTACTTTTTTTGCCTTCTCACTGTTCTTTCCATTCTTGCTTTCCAAAGATGGAAGCAGCACCAGCTCTCTTAGGTAAATGCAAGACTTCCAGCTCCAAGAAGCAGGTTGGTTTCTTTTTTGCCTCGTCCGCTTGTTGGTGTGTGTCAGCCTGCTCAAGGCCAGCAAGGGCCTTTCCCCAGGGTGATGCTTCCTCTGTCCTGGGCAGGAAGCCACTCAAAGTGGATTACAGTGTGGGATGGAATCGACCGAAGATCCCATGCTAAGGAGAGGCAAGAGCACTGACCCAATAGATGAGAAAAGCTGTGGTTGGGGGGTTATCAGGCACCGTAACCTAGAAATGAAGGGATAATGCTGCCCGCTGTGGGTCAGGACCAGGCCTCTCTTCTGCTCTGTTCTGGGGAGGGAACATGGAAACAGCACTCTCCCCAGACCAGGGTCTCAGGGAGGCTGGGCAAGAGGGCGAGCCATCAGGCTGCTGGCGCCTTGAGCTTTATTGGGTGGATAACTGACTAGAGGACTTAACCGGAGGGGAGACCAGGGGTCCTTGGCAGCATCAAGTCATCAGGACTGCACTGTCTGTCACTCGGACTTCATTCTTTGTTGCAGTCCTATGTGCTGCTCAGCCCATATGGTGCAGGGGAGCGAGGCTAAGACCTGTCACATCTGCAGCAGGTAGATGCTAGAGGCATGGCACTAGTGGTTGCACAGAGACAGAAACAGGGCCTTATGTTCTTGTGCAAAGATTCGCTTGCCCACCGTGTACACTGTTACAGAAATTCACAGGAGGGAGCCGTCACTCGGGTTGCTGGACAGGGTGCACAGAGAAGAGCAGGCCTCGAATTCATAGGAGATGGTCTGTAAAGAAGTGCCATCCCGCCTTGTCCCTTAGGATTTGCTTTCGAGCTTCTCAGAATGAACAGTTAGTTGCAGCTTAGATCTCTGTGCCTCGTTGTTGCTGTTTATGTCAAGCAGGCCGTGTCCATGCATCCTCCCAGGCACAGGATTCATCCTCACGTGTTTGGTCAGTCACTCAGAATGTATCTATTGAGTGCCTGTCACATGCCAGGGATTATTATGGATGGTGGGGAACACAGCAGGGAGCAGAAACAAAGTCCCTGCTCCCACAGGTTCGGACAGTAGTGGTGGAGCACACATATCAGGGCGTGAGTGTTAGACGAGAAATAAGCAGGTGCAGGGGACAAGGAGTGATGTCTTTGGTGTGGCTGGGAGACCTCTGATATGGGGACGTTTGGGCAGAGGCCTGAGTGAAAGGAGGGGCTGAGGTGGAGTGAATTTGGGTGCAGGAAAAGAGAACTCCACAGGGCTGAGGTGGAGTGAACTTGGGTGCAGGGGGAGAGAGAGGGGTTCGCAGGATGCGATGACTCCATGTTCCCTCTGACAGGAAGGCACTGGAGAATTGTGAGCCCAGAATGGCCAAGAGCTGACCCACCTTTGAGAGAAAACAGTTAGGAGGCAGTTGTAGTCGTGTAGGTCACAGGTGATAGTGGCTTAGCCTAAGGTGTGGCAGCAGAGGGGTTGGGAAGTGGTCAGATTCTGGATATGTTTCTAGGGTCTGAACCATCAGGTTTTGTTAACTGGTTGGATATCAGGTGTTGGGGAAAGAAATGAAGGATGCTTCGATTGTAGTCTAATCAACTGAAAGCAGAGTTTTCATTTCCTGACCTGAGGCCGACTTAAGGAAGAGGCTTAAGGGCAGATCAAGAATTTGGCTTTGCACATTCTGAGTATGAGTTGCCGGGTAGACATCCACATGCTGCTGTTGAGTAGCCGGTTAGAATTCAAGTCTGGAGTTCAAGGGACAGGTCAGGGCTGGAGATCGAAGTTTGAGAGTCAACCCTATTTAGATGGTATTTAAGCCACAAGGGTAGATGTGATTGCTTAGGGAGAGACAGAAGAAAGAGAAGAGAGAAGCCCCAAGTCTTGAACTGCCCCTGAACTGCAGGGGTTGGGGAGGAGAGGGTCAGGCCAGGGAGACCAAGCAGTGAGGGGGCACCTAGACTGCAGGAAGGGCCCTGGGGCCAGAGAAGACGGATTTCAAGGAAGAAGGGGTGATGCCACACGTAGGCCAAGCAAGATGAAGATTGAGGTTACCGGTTAAATATGAATCCATTGACTGTTTCAGCCTTGACAAGAGCAGTTTGGGGGCTGATGAAGGAGAGCCGAGTTTGGATATACTAGCTGCTTAGAGGCAATGAGGGGAACAGGAGGGGACTGTGAGTTCCGCAGCCCACCCAGGAGTTTTGCTGTGAGGGAAACAGAGGGCAGAGTAGCTGGAGAGGAAGGTGGGATTAAGTTTTGCTTTTGCTTTTCCAAGAAGGAAATCATAGCATATATGTGCATTAGTGGGAATGATCTAGATAGAATGACTAACCATCAAGGCTTGTGTGGAACACAGGACTTGCAGTTTTAAAGCTGGCCGAGTTGGTCACCCTAGATCTAGATGATGTGGGAGAGGGTGAGTCTTTCACTTTGCTTTTCACACCCATTGCCTGTGTCGCTTTCCATCCCCAGTCTGGAAAAAGCCAAATAGGCCGCCCTCCCTTCTCTCCAAGCCCCTGCCTTCCTTGCCATCCAGTGGTGGGTCTCTGGGCCCCCACCATCCAGTGACCCTCAGTGCACATCCATGGTGCTCCTGAGACGTCCCTAGGAAAGCCAGCCCTGCATCACCAAACCGGATGCACGTTGGTGTTTGGAGGATCCTGGTTGGATGATAAGCTCCAGCCAGCAGTACACAGATGGTGGTCCCATTCTAATCCCCCCAGCCCCCGCCATCCTGACTGCTTCTCGGCCAGGGGTAAGGGGTGCTGCAAGGTTCTGTGCTCTTCCTTCTCAAGCTGCTAGTAAAAAATGAGGCAGGATCTCTGTGACAAGATGTTGATAACGAGGTGGGGCCCCCAGTTGCACTTACTGTCTTTTTCCTATAGGATGACTCAGAGGACAGTGAAATTGACATGGAAGATGATGAGGAAGACGATGATGATTTAGAAGATGAGAGCATTGTGCTCTCACCAGCTAAGCCCAGTCGAAGGGTCCGGAAACCCGAACCCCTGGATGAGAGTGACAATGACTTCTGACCCTCTTGCCAAGGGAACTGTGCTGATTAAAACCCTCAGATCTGTAGGTAAATGGGAAAAAAGAAGGTTAGGAAGGTAACATATATTTTGTTCACTTAGCCAGATGAACTCATTGTTACTGAAGCAGTATTTATTTCTGCTTTGGCCTCCTATGTTTGTTTCCCATGAAACTTAAGAACTGAAGCATACACCTAAGATGTGTTTTGTTTGTTTGTTTGCCTTGTTTATCTCCTAAAACTTGGGAAATGCTTGTGTTCTTAGTGATTTGCATACATGGGACTAAAACTTGAGAAGAAATGAGAACTGACACCATGTAAGTCTTGGGCCATTTTTGTGGTGATACGTTTCCTCTGAGAGTGGAGCAAACCTGGGGCTGGAATATGGCACAGGACTCAGTTTGGGGTTGTGGGGGAACACCTGGCTGTTAGTTACCCGCACAGTTTAGAACATTCACTGTACATCAGCTTTTAATTCTGGCCTTTATTTCACTTTATAGTCTTATTTTCTTTCTTCTGTTTGTCTACAATACCAAGCATTAAATGTATTTTAATAACTAAAATTTGCTGAAAGAAAGTTAGCTAAGTTAAATGAAAGCCAGCTTTCCTTGAAAAATGAGGCAGTAGAGAGAAGCTCTGGATTGTGAATATGCCATTTTTTCTCAGAAGACTGACATTCCACTGGGAGTCAGATCCACTTTGATTGAAGCCACCTTCATGTTTGCATGGCTTGTGCTGAATTTGGAAACTCTGCTGACCCAGTTACCCCTCCAGAGATTCCAGACTTCTGGGCAGTGACAGCCGGGACAGTCCTTCCCACCAGCTGTCCTTTCTCTAAAGGAGCTTTGTCTTGTCTAAGGTGTGGTAAGACATTAGTCCCCAACACAGGATTGAAGATTGGTTTCCTTAGAGGAAGGAGCCGATTAAGGAAAACAATGTTAGTACAGATTCACACTTCTGATTTAAAAAATAAACCAGAATTGAGTTATGTAGCATAGCACTAGAAGAATTTCCCTTCTGTGAAATGAGGAGTGACGGGTGGAGTTGGTTTTCTTTAATGTTAAAAGTATGCAGCTGTTTTCATTTATTTTACAATTAAAGTCAGAAGACTTCTGAAGTAACTTATCTTTTAATAAATGCATTTAGTACCATATTTTTATATTAAATAAGTTTTACTTGAAAACGTAATTATAACATAGTATAATTATTTTATTTGCACATAAATACTTATTCAAAAAAAGTTCACAAGTTATGATACATGTCAATTTTAGGAGACTATGTGACAATTATTTCTGTCATCTTTGCTTTTTTCCTAAATTTTATGAATGAGATTACCTTTTTTTTTAATCAGTAAAAAGCCACTTTATCTCCAATTTTTTTCTCATAGACATTTCGATCCAGTACATTGTAGCAGATGTTGGTAGTTGCTCCTTTCATCCACTCAATGAAGACTTTCCCTTTAGTCACGTCAAAGTTGTACTGGAGGAATGGGCCAGGGCATGGAGTCTTCCAGTAAAATCCCTTGGCAATGTCTCCCCAAAACTCCCTCGGCCCCTCCACAGAGCGCCGGTGCAGCTCGCGGTAGCCTGCAGCGAGGGGACGTCCATGGAGCGGCTGACCTCAGGCGGCCGAGACCAACTCCGCGCCGGCCTCCCGCTCCAGCTTCCTCCTGGCCCCTGCTCCCGCTGCTGCTCCGGCCACGCTCCCTCGGCAAGCCCCATCGCATCAAGTTTCGAGCACCGTCGCCACCTTTGCGGAGATTACCCTTTTTTAAAAAACACTCAGCCTTCACTTAATTCACTGGTAATTTGAGGTAAACAAAAAGCTGAGAGAGGAATCGGTGTGTTGGGAGCCATGCTAACCACCCTAGACGCATGGCTTCTGAGGTGCAGAAGAGTCACTGCATCTTCCTGGATGTTACAGATTTGGTTTACCTCAATCTCACTTGACTTATATTTTAAAAAAATATACAAATATAGTTCTGTTTGGCATATGCTTTCTTCTACTGGGCTTTAACCCGGAAGCCCAACCCAAGCTACAAATAACACATCCACAAATATAGGCAGCAGCTGCAAAGGGTGTTTAATTGTTCTAGCTGCTTCTAGATCATCCTCCTCCTGCTGGTTAACTGACTTTGGGACCGGGTGTGGTGGCACATGCCTATAGTCCCAACTACTCGGGAGGCTGAGACAGGAGAGTCACTTGAGCCCAGGAGTTTGAAGTTGCTGTGAGCTAGGCTGACGCCACGGCTCTCTAGCCTGGGTGACAGAGTGAGGTGAAACTCTGTCTTTAAAAAAAATAAAATAAACAATTAAAAAAAATAAACTGATACTCTTAATGGACTTGTGGTGAGTGGAAAAGGATGGTAATATTTAAAGTTGGGGGCATATGAAGACCTTAGGGTGTAAATAAGCTAGAACCAGCTTCCTGCATTACTCAGGCCTGTGTCCCTGAGTCCCTTAGTGGCAGCCCCTTCCCTTCTCTGTGCTGAAGCAGAGTGTCCATCTTCCCCTGCCTGGACCAATCCTGGACCAGTGGAGGTGCTCACAGCCTCCTTGGGTAGCACCTTTCCTTCCTCTGCGCAGGAGAACAGCTCTCGTGCTGGGTCATCATCACTCCCAAATCTCATGAAGGCCCGTCAGAGATGGGTCTTTTTGTTTGAAAGCTTGCAGCTGAGTGCCTGTTCTCTTGCTTGATCCACCAGGAACTCATTTTGCTCACATTTCAACAGTGCACGTGGGAGCATTTGTCTTGATAGCCTCCGAGATCATTCTGGCACCAGATTCCCCAATGTGATTTCCCTGGAGACTAGAAGAGAGGGGTTAGAGCAGGGCTCGGAGTCTGCAGGTTTTCCCTAGCAGAGCGGACCAGCACTGTCGAAACTCTGCTGCCAGGACCCCTCCCACGGACAAGGCTCTGGGTGGCTCCCTCTTAGACTGAGTTTCCCTGAAGAGCTGCTGAAGGGCCTGAGGGTCAGCTGGCTCCTGGAATGGGGCAAAAGGCAGGGCCTGACCTGGGAGCAGTTCTGAGGGTGAGCAGCAAGGGCAGCAGCTGCCAGGCCCCACTCACTTGATGTGCTGGAGCTGGTGGTTTCCGGACAGTGCAGTGGCGATGCATATTGCCCCGTCCATCCCCAAGGAATTCTCTTGAAGACTAGGCAGAGAGAAGATGGAGACACCCGGGGAAGCAACACTGCATTGTCTTGTGGGGGTAGCAAAGGGGAGCAGCAGTTCTGGGGCTGGTTTGTTCATAGGTGCCATGGCAACCGCTAGGTGGCAGTTGACTCTTGAGACTGGCGTGTACAGGTAGCCAGGTTGTCCCACCCAAATTGCACGGAGGATGTAAGACCGTAAATGCAGATGTTAAGTGACTGACTTCTGACTTAAGCAGAATAAACAGATCTAACTGCAGTGGGATGTGGATTATAGTGAGCAGAATAATGGGAATGGTTTCTTATATATTCAGAAGGAAGCAGCTACAGAGGAGATGAGCATTTTATCCCCTGGAGGAAGACCCAGCAGAGAAGTGTGCCGGTTGGTCTCCACAACCACTTACTTGAGTCTTCGGAGACTTGAATTTACCTTCAGCGCACTTGCCAGGGCTTTGGCTCCGGCCATCCCGATGGCGTTTCCTCTCAAGCTGTCAGGAAAAACAGGAAACCTAAGGCAAGGGGACAGGCTGAGAGGTGATAACGATACGTCTTCAGGTGGGTGTGGGGTTACTTGGTGGCAGAAATAGGGTTGCTGCTTCCTCGCTCCCAGTGCTCTAGGGAGCAGGGCACAGGGGAAGGGGGAGGCTGGCCCAGCTTTGGTGTCTTGGTGGAGCCCTCGTCCTCCCTCCCATTCCATACGGAAACCTGGGCTGAGGCAGGAGAGGCAGCACCCCAGACACAGGTCCCAGTGCCCTCAGCAAGAGCAGGATGACGAGGACACACCGAGCCCGCACCCTAGGAGTTTAGATCTCAGAGAACGAGACCAGTGGCCAGGGGCCCCCTAGATGGGGCCTCTAGGTGAGATCAGCCTGGGCAAGGCCAAGTGAGAGAGCAGGAACTTAAGGAGAGGGCAGCAAACAGCAGTGACTCTGGGAAAGGGCGTGAGGTGGGAACAGGAAAGCTGGGCCTACTTGATCTGAAATGAGATCATTAAAATGATTTGAGTTGCCATGTAAATTGGTTTATTCCTGGATCCATTTCAAAAACAGCTTGGTTTCCTTGGTCAAAAGATGTAGCTGCAGAATGGAATACTTACTCGAGAATCTCCAAGGTTCTGTTCACAGCCAGGGCCTCCCCCAGTGCCTGGGCCCCTGGGATGCCAATGGAGGCTACCTGCAGACTGAGGGGTGGTGCGGTCAGCTGGGTGACCCCTGAGCCCCTGCACCTGCCCTGAGCCCCGCACCCTGCAGACTCTGCCCTCACTTGCAGCACTCCTCAAGGTAGGGCTGGAAGTGGAGAAATAGTACTGGGTGTTGTTGGCCAGTGACCTGTCCAAACGCTGCACCTCCTGCCTATGTGGATGCCTAAGACAGATGTGGATGCTAAGGACATAGGAAACAGAGGTGGTCTCCTGGGAGGGTTGTACCTCTAATTATTACTATCCTGATGTTTGATTTCCCAATTGCTAATAATATTTCCTATAATATTAGGGATGTCAAACACACCTTCCTTTTTTTTTTTTTTTTTTTTTTTTTTTTTTTTTTTTTTGAGACAGAGTCTCACTCTGTTGCCTGGGCTGGAGTGCCGTGGCATCATCCTAGCTCACAGCAACCTCAAACTCCTGGGCTCAAGCAATCCTTCTGCCTCAGCCTCCCGAGTAGTTGGAACTACAGGCATGCGCCACTGTGCCCGGTTAATTTTTTCTATTTTTGGTAGAGACAGGGTCTCGCTCTTGCTCAGGCTGGTCTCGAGCTCCTGAGCTCAAACTATCCGTTCACCTCGGCCTCCCAGAATGCTAGGATTACAGGCGTGAACCCCAGCCAAACACACCTTCCTTGACTTGCAAACAAAACCGATGTTTAGCATGAAAGGATGGTGAAGGGCCCGCTTCCTGGGCTGCCGTGCACAAGCACTTACTAGAGAGCAGTGAGGGCTGTGTTTGCCTTCAGCGCGCTGGCCACCGCAGATGCTCCCTCGTCCCCAATGGCATTCTCCTGTAAACTGGACACAGAGCATGACCCTTTCAGGTACATGGGGCGCCAGGAGCATTCTAGCAAGGACCTGCTGGGCTTGGACCTTCCAGATTTGACTACACACACCACAGACATACACTCCCAGGATTGGGAGTCCTGGGGATAACTGCCCCACCTGTTCGGCCATCACACAGAGGGGTTTGGGGTCTGCGTGAGTCTGAACCGTCAGAGGCAAACAGAAAAGGGACACATGGAAAATACTGTCAACAGGGACTTGGGACAAAAACAAGGTATGCTTTTCAAAGCCAACCAGAAAATTAAAGCCCTCAATTCCTGAGCTATTTGTACTAGTCAGGGTTTTACATCTTTTTCTCCCCTCCTGAAATGGAGGAAAATAGCAGGCCTGGAGCAGTAAATGATTGAGTTTAGTCCATGTGGACCTTGGCATGTTTAAGGGAGCAGTTTCCCTTCATGATTTTAGCAAATATCTGAGAGCGTCTATGTGCTGGGTGTTGTGCAGGCAGCAGGCACCGTTCTGCCCACTCAGTGGGGAGACGTGATTAAATAAGCATTTACGACAGGTCAAGTGCAGGCTGCAGGGAAGACCATCAGTGTGGTCTCCGACCCTGGTGTGGTTACAGAAGGCTGCCCAGCAATAGGTCTAAACCAAAGCCCAGAAGGTAATGGGGAAGAGGGTCTGGCACATCTAAAGAACCCAAACACATGAAGCTGAGTTCCTGGAGTAGTGAGACATGAGGCTGGGAGGTGCAAAGGAAGCAGCTCTGAATGGGGCCTCCTAAGCCACACTCCAGCTGTGCTTCACTCCGCAGGCACTGGGCGCCCGGGACAGGGACATTCACGTTCTGGAAAAGTCTCTGGCCAGCAGTGTGAGAAAGGATGGACTCGTGTGGAGGCTGCTACGGGATGCAAGTGAGTGGTGCCCGTGGCCTGGGTGGTGGCAGTGGGGGTGGAAGGAAGCGGGTGGGTGGGAGGGGTACGGCCAGGACTTGGAGAAGACTGGGGACTGGGAGGTGAGAGCGGAGGCAATGTTTCTAGCTTGCACAGTTGGTTGCTTGGTTCCATTTGCGAGATGGGGAACCAAGAAGCAGGCCTGTGGGGGAGAGAATGCGGGTGACTATAGGTACCTGTGAGATGCACGAGGGGAGGTGTGTAGGGGTCTGGAGCTCGGGGGAGGTCATGGGAGCCCTGGGAGAAGAGGAGAGCTCCCAGAAGAGAGACGTCATCCCAGGGAAGATGGCACAGGACAGAACAATGTGGAACCCCAGCACTGAGGAGTCAGTCAGAGAAGCAGAGTGAGGAGGCCCAGCCAGAAAGGGGATGTTCTGGAAGCCAAAGGAGAAGAAACCGTGGTCAGGTGAAAAGCAGGTGAGGCTCAGAAGGCTAAACCGGGCATAACCTGCAGACCTGGTAGTTCCACTCCAGGTGTATCTACCCAAGAGAAATGAAAGCTCGTGTCCACACAGACGCTCGTGCACTAATGTTTGTAGCAGTGTTAGTCCTGGCAGCCGAAAAATACCCATCAGCTGATGGATGGATAAGTGAAACCTGTGTCCACACAGTGGCAACATGTCAGCCATATAAGAGAAGTACTGATACAGGCAATGACGTGGCTAACCCTTGAAAACATTCTAAGTGAAATACGCCAGTCACAAAAGAGCACATGTTGTATGATGCCATTGATATGAAATGTCCAGAATAGGAAAATCCACAGAGACAGCAGATTAGTGGTTGTGAGCATGGGGGAGGGGGCAATGGGGAGTGAGTGCTAATGGGTACGGGCTTTCTTTTTGGGGTGATGGAAAGGCTCTAAAATTGATTGTAGTGATGGTTGCATAACTGAATATACTAAGAACCAGTGAATTTTATACTTTAACTAGGTGGATTATATCCTAATAAAGCTATATATATATATAAATATATATATATAAAAATGTGTGTGTGTATATATATATACACATATATATATATATATATTAAAAAGCACATGAGGACTGAAATGTGCCCACTGTTCTTAGGGAAACAGTGGCCGTGTGCCAAAGGTCACTGATCTGAGCCCTGTCCCTGGAGAGCACCAGGTTTCCAGATCCCCACTCCGCACAGCCCAGGGGGCGCCATACTCACTCCAAGCTAGTCAGGCTCCCGTTGAGCTGTAGTGCTTGTCCCAGGGCCTTGGCAGCGCCGGCCTGGATGAAGTTCCACTGCAGGCTGGGCAGACACAGACACAGGTGACCAGGTGGCCCAGGCAGTGACAGAACTTCTGCCGCTACCTCAGGCTTGGTCTCCAGAGGGGCCACATGCATGCTCTGGTTAGCGGTGGCCACAGGGACAGGCTCAGGTAAGGACTCCCCAGATGGCCCGTCCTGAAGCACAGGACGCCCTGAGGCACAGCTGTGGGCACCCACATCCTAAGCTCGTCTGTGTGTGGAGCAGCCTCAGGACTCAGAACTGCTGGAGGCCCGCGGGCCTGGGCAGGCCCCTGTGGCCTTTGGAGGGCGCCCCAGGGCCACACTGGTCTATGCCTACTTGCCTACTTGGTTTGGGTGTTGCCCTGCAGCCCTGCAGAAGGGGACAGGGTGGGTGGGTGGGGGTGAGGCATAGACTCACTGAAGGGACGTGAGGGCACGGTTTTTTCCCACTGCCACTGCGATGGCCTGGGCGCCCTGGTCGTGGAGGAGGTTGGCTGTCAGGCTGGGAAGAAGGAACAGGAACAAGTGAGCGGGGCCTGACTACGAAGCCCTCTGTCCTTGGTCACTAGGGAATCCAGACCACCCCCCTGCTCCCCAAGAACTGAGTTGTGCCTGTACCAGTGTCAAAGTTTGTGAGCTCATGTTTGTGGGGAACTTTTATTTGCCAGGCATGTGACGTGGGCGGCTGCACTGAATCCTGGCAACAGCCCCGTGGGGGCGTCCCAGGCTCAGCTCAGTGGGTTTGGTGACAGGGCACACAGCCAGGATGTGGTGGAGCTGCCTGCAGGACACACCGCCCATGGCCCCACATCCACTCGTTGGAGCCCCTCCCACGTGCTTGTCCACGCCACGAGGTGAGGCAGCGTGTTGCGCCAGCTCATCCTTGTGTGATTTATACCGTGAGAGTGAGGGCTTGAATCGGAGTTGCCCCCAGACGCTGGGTCTCCTAGCTGACCCTCCCCAGCCAGGCCCTTCTCCAGCCCTGTGAAACGGCAGCGGTGCTGAGGGCTCTGGTTCGCGCGGCCATGGGCACAACTAGCCCTTGGAGCCACCCTCGCCACCACCACGTACTCCAGGTTCTCCAGGGTGCTGTTGGTGCAGAGCGCGTGGGCGAGTGCCTGGGCTCCTTCGGGGCTGATGGAGTTCTCTCGCAGGCTAAGGAAAGAGAGAAGACCCTGAGCTGCTGACCAGGCAGAGGTGGCCTCTGGCCGGAGACAAGCCCGGATGTTTAGGCTGCTTGAAGCCCAAGAAACCTCAGGTGGGCCCTGGGCCTGAGCAGTCTGGGCTGAGGTGTAAGAGGCCTATTCTAACTGCCAGGCTTGATGGCTGGCCAGCCAAGTGTCCCCACTTTAGGACCATCAACTGTGCAGGGAAGTCCAGGAGGACGAGCACAGGACGACAGGACCTCAGGGAGGCTGGCGAGCATGCAGGGGCTTGTGTCAAGGAAGGGAGCAGCAGAACGGGCCCACTGAGGGCTGCAGCTGTCCCCTGTTCCCCAAGAGAGCAGGAAGAGGGAGAGGGTGCCAGGAAGCCTGCCCAGCCACAGATTTCCTCATAACAGGCTTCCCAGCACCAAGGTCCCTTTAGATCCCTGGTCAAAGGGACACCATAGGTAGAGAGGGAGGCCAGGACTTACTTGAGGCTGAGGAGGGTCCGGTTGGTGCACAGGGCCCCCGTCAGTGCTGCCACTCCCGAGTCACTGATGGAATTACTCTGCAGGCTGCAGATGGAGGACAGGGCACCCTTGGTGGGGCTGTCCCAGGACCCAGAGGGAGCTACCTGGTCCAGGCACTGGGTTCAACAGGGAGTTGGGGGCCCCAGGGAGTTGCCAGCTTACACTGCTCACACCCCCTTTACTCTCCCATCTCCCCACCTTCTAGCCCCTGCCAGGGCAGGGCAGGTGGGTTTAGCACAAGCCCTAAAGTTCAAACTCAGCTTTGATGTGGGTGGCTCCAAATGGCCTTGCACGGGGCATTGGTTCTGCAGCCCCTAGAGAGAGGGGTGGAGTAATGTTCCCAGTGTGGCAGCAACACCAAGCTCCCCAATTCCCTACCAAGGCCACCGCCACCAACTCCCTCTTGAGCCACCTGTGCCACCTTCCCAAGGGCACTCAGAGCTTGTCTTTCTGAAAACTCCAGAGCCAACCCTAGCTCCTGCTGTCCAGGGAAACGGAGCCGATGGGTGGGCATGAGGCAGGAGAGACTGAGATGAGCATGTGCCCAGGTGGGTGTGGGGGTTCTGGCAGGGCAGCAGCCTCTTTCCGGGACTGCCAACCCAGAATGTGCTGCGTGGAGAACCCAGGGTGAATCGCCACCCCCACAGGGCGGTCAGGCAGACTCACTCCAGGCTCTCCAGGCCCTGGTTCACCTTCAGGGCCTCAGCCAGGGCCTTGGTGCCTCCATCGCCAATGCTGTTACTGGAGAGCCTGTGAGAGATGGGACTGGGTCAGCTGGCCTCCTGCAGCAGCCGGGCAGGGCTGGGCCTGGGGACCGGGGCCCAAGAAGCCTGCAGGGGAGGGCTGTCTCTGACATCTCAAGGGTGCCCACTGCACAGTGTTCTGCCTGAGGCCTGGTGGTCTGTAGTCTGCACAGGTGACCATCTGCTTTCTATAGGAGATCAAGGCAGCAAAGTCCCTCACTCTCTGGCAAGGGCAGGGGGTGGGCAGGGTCAACCCTTTAGTGAGAAGTATTTGTGGTACTTGGTACTGTATGTGAAGATGGCCAGGACATGCTATTTTCTTCTGCAAGCTGGGAAAGCAGTAAATGTGAGCTTGAGAAGGTAGGGCTCATCCAGTCCTGGGAATCTGGCTCTCCATTCCCCTGGTCCAGTGCTTTGGAGTCCAAAGCCAGCTAACCTGCACCCATACGTCCATCTACTCACCCACCCACCACCCATTCATCCATCAGGCCACCCGTCCATCTATTTACCCATTCATTCATCTACGCGCTCACCTACCCATCCACCCATCCATCCACTGACCCAGCCAGCCAATCAGCCACCTACCTACCTACCTACCCATCCACCCATCCATCCACTGACCCAGCCAACCAACCAGCCACCTACCTACCTATCCATCCACTCATCCATCTGCTGACCCAACCAGCCACCCACCTACCTACCCATCCATCCACTGACCCAGCCAGCCAACCAGCCACCCTCCAACCTACCCATCCACCCACCTATCCATTTACTCACCTATCTACCTACCCACCATTCATTCACTGACCCACCCAGCCAGCCACCTATCCATCCACTCATCTATCATTCATCCACCCAGCCAACCATCCATCTATGCATCCTTCCCCATGCTCACAAATACGTATGCTGGCTCTGTCATTGTGCTAGCCACTGAGCATGTAAATTTGGCCCTTCTGCATTTCTCACATGAGCTCCTTCAGATTCTTGTTCTGCTTCAGGGCATCTGCCATCCGCTGGGCTCCCACAGGCCCGATGGTGTTCTTCTGCAGGCTGTGTGAAGAGAGAGGCATCCTTCAGCAAAGCTGGCCACAGCCATTCCCAGGCCAAGGACAGTCTGGGTTCAAGGTCAGAGGTCAGAGACAACTAGGGTACCCTCTCCATTTGTCATGGCAAGAGTGCAGGGATCTCCTGGAGGGGTCTAGATTGTTGCCAGAGTGGTGCTGGTGGGCTGACGTTATTAACGCAGGAGAGTCAGTGGCCAGGCAGCTGGGCCCCCCTTGGGAGGGGCTGGAGAGCAGAGCTCAGTGGGTGAGGTGATGCCCAGCAACCTCCCAATTGGGGGCTTCCCTGGACAAGTCCCACTGGCCCCTCACCCAATTGTCTGGCTCCCATCCAGACCAGCCAGCGGCCTGCCTCCACCATGAGACCCTAGGGACACCCTCCGCTTCGGTTCCTCTTCTCAAAAAGCTACTTCCTCTTACATGCAATCTGGTGGAGGGAGATGTTGCCGGGGAACCCCTGTTCTCATCCTAGGACAGGCAGGGCAGGACCTCTCCTGTGTGAGGCTAAATACACATCTAAAACGAAATGTAATTTTCCCTGGTTCCAAAAAGGACAGAGACACCCCCATGCACACACACCTTTTCTTAGAGTACTTTCTTGGGAAAACTTGATATTGTAAATCCTTTCTCTGTCCCTTTGAGATGTGTGTATATCTTTTTAAAAAGCTAAATCATCCTCTTTCCAGTTTCACAGCCAGGAATGTCTCTTGTAAGAGACTTGGCGCAATCTCTTTGAAATGTCAGGGCAAGATAGAGTCCCCATCTCCCTGCCTCTGTGGGAATTAGCTAAGCACCTAGCTAGTTACGTACCTGCGTGTCATAAAGATATGAGAAATTTTATTTTTCCTTTGGATAAAAGGAAGTAGGGAACACAGGTGGCCACCCCAATTATCAGGTGGCTTTAGGATGAACTATGTATGATAAACGGTGCTGCCAGGTCCTCTTGCTTGAGGACAGTTGTCATTTATCTTGAGAACACCTGTGGGATGGATTGTGTCCACTCGGCTATAGAAAAGGGTCAAATTTCTTCCTGTCTCTGCAGTCTTATTGGCAGGTTGCCAACGATGCCATACTGTTGTGCTCTTTCCTACATTTGTGGGGAGGATTGTCTGGCATAGCAAGAGGTTTTATTTTTCATTATTTCCCCATCACCTATTCTCTGGAAAAGCAGTAAGCATCAGGTTTTCCAGCAGCCATCCAGATGGGTCAGAGAGCCTTAGGACCCCCCTCACTCCCTCCATTTTTCCTTGCAGGAAACAGGCAGAGAGGCCCTTGGAGGAGGCAAGAAAGGGGAGAAAGGTGGTGGCGAGAGGAGGCATCTCCACTCACTGCAGCACAGAGAGGGCCCGGTTGGAGGCCAAGGCCTCGGCCATGGACCTGGCGCCGTCATCCCTGATCGTGTTGCTCTGGAGGCTGCAAAGGCAAGAGGTGGTGCACTCAGAGGTGCCCTGAACGCCACCACCATGTGCCCCAGAGGCCCAGCGGGGCACAGCAGCTGACCTCGGTGAGAAGGGAGAATAGTTGGCCCTTCCCGCCACTGCCCAGGGCTTAGATTTTTCCCTGGGTTTCTAAGCACTTGCCTGACAACTGGGAACAAGGTGCCCATGCTCTTTGGATAACAATGAAAGGTCATCGGCAGTCCTCATTACAGCTAAAACACACAGTACCCAAGTGTCAGCGAGCATATGGAGAAATTGGAACCCTTGCACTGCTGGTGGGGATGTAAAACGGTCCAGCAGCTCCTCAAAGATCACACATGGAGTTACCACGTGATCCAGTGATTCCACTCCTAGGTATATACCCCCAAAATTGAAAGCAGGCACTCGAAGACTTGCACATGAATGTTCATAGCAGCATTATTCAGAGAGCCAAAAAGGTGGAAGCAGCCCAGATGCCCATCAGTGGATAAAAAACTGCCATCTGTCCACACGATGGAATGTTATTTAGCCATAAAATGGACAGAAGTACTGACACGGGCTACAACATGGATGGACCTTGAAAACATTATGCTAAGTGGAGGAAGCCAGGCACAAAAGGCCAAATAGTGCATGATTCATTTATATGAAATATCCAGAAGAGGTAACTCAGTGCAGACAGGAAGCAGACTGGCGGAGGCAGGGCTGGGAGGAGAGGAGAATGGGAAGTGCCTGCTTATGGGTACAAGGTCTCCTTTAGGGGTGATGAAAATATTTTGGAACCAGATAGAGGTGATGGTTGCACAACATTATGAAGGCACTACATGTCACCTGACTGTACACTTTAAAATGGTAAATGTAAAATGTGAATTTCATTTGAATAAAAATAAGTAAATAGGCCGGGCGGGTAGCACTCTGGGAGGCCGAGGCAGGCGGATTGCTCGAGGTCAGGAGTTCAAAACCAGCCTGAGCAAGAGCAAGACCCTGTCTCTACTATAAATAGAAAGAAATTAATTGGCCAACTAATATAAATATATAAAATTAGCTGGGCATGGTGGTGCATGCCTGTAGTCCCAGCTACTCAGGAGGCTGAGGCAGAAGGATTACTAGAGCCCAGGAGTTTGAGGTTGCTGTGAGCTAGGCTGACGCCACGGCACTCACTATAGCCTGGGCAACAAGCGAGACTCTGTCTCAAAAAAAAAAAAAAAAAGTAAATAAATAAAACTAGAACAGAATGGCAGTACCCACTCAACTAAGGATGGATAACAACCACAGGCTCCTAAACGGGACACAGCAAACCACACCAAACCATGGGCACCTTCTGGAAAACATCTCAGGGAAAAACTTTGACCCTATGGCCTTGGTGATCCCCCTCACTGGAGGACAAGAAGTTTTCCTAACGGGTGATTCTGCCTTTCCATTGCTACGTACCTCGCTCCCCTGCTCAGGCTGACATGCAATCAAAGACTGGGGAAGAGCTGGAACTTGGACACTGCTTAGGATGCACGATCCTGATGCCAAGCAGGGTGAGAGCTGGTAGCCCATGCCCACCAGTCTGAGTCACCTCCCGCTCTACTGGTCACTGATGAGAGGGTTTTCTGGGCGCTCACCTGGGGGCAGCAGGACACGTACCTCAGAGAGGTCAGAGTGCGGTTAATCTTCAGAGCGTCTGCCAAGGCCTTGGCCCCTTGTGGTCCAATGGAGTTACCACGGAGGCTGGCGGAAGGGAGAGAGAGAAAGAACTATTCTCTTTCATCTGACTCCCAGGGAGGGAAGGGGAACAGGAATGACACCAACCCCTACATCTATGATCCTTGGAGGGAATGCGTCAGGATTTAAGGTTTCACATTTAGTGGAACCAAGGCAGAGATCCTTGTATAGCAAACAAGGAAGGAGTTTCCAAGACAGCCACGAGACGAGAAAGAAGCAGGACCCAATGGGCTAGTGCGCTTGGGCAGGTGTGGAGATGAGGATCAGCTAACCCCAGATTCAGGGCCCCAAATCTGGTGCTTCACAGGGTGGGACTCAACTGTCCTTCCAACCCCCAGGGGAGCATGTGGGCAGGGGGTGGCCTCCCTGTGTCCTCCTCCTACAGGAGCCCAAAGACCTTGGAACCAGCTCCAGATGAAATCAGGGTATCATGTCCAGGGGCTGAATCTGGAGAATCATGGAAGGATAGATAAGACCCCAGTCATGTCAGAGGAGGGGAGGGGACTTCCCAGGATGGCTCACAACTCTCCTGGTCCCAATGGCAAAGTTTGGCTTTTGGTGTCCTACTTACTCCAGAGAGGTCAGACTTCTGTTGACCAGGAGGGATCTCGCCAGAGCTTTGGCCCCTTTGTTACTGATCTGGTTCTCAGCCAAGCTGCCCAAGGCAAGGGAGAGGACAGGTCATTTCAGGCATATAAATCTTATCATGTCTTCCTCAACTCTATGCCCATGATTAAACAGGCCTGACACAGGTGGAGATGAGGCGGCTTCAGGAACAGGATGCCAGACAAAAGAAAGCCCCTGGCAGACAGGGCAGGGCAGGGCAGGGCCAGAGTGGGCGGACAGACCCTCACTGTGGCGAAGGGTGCTAGGGAAAAGTTTGGCCAGAATCCAGCACAGCAGCTTCTACACCAATACCACAGCAGACAGCATGGACGATTACAGAAGTCTGCCGTAGGGATGCCAGCCAGTGTGCGCTGGTAAAGTGATCTCAAGAAAAAACAAAGGACAAAACAACTGATTGCAGCATTTGCCTATTTCTATGGTGGTGTAAATACTCTCCCCGTGGCCAATTTCAACCATCCTCAGCTTGCAGACCTCCTAAAAATGTAACAGTCAGCTCTCATGACCTGGTACAAACTAGTTCCAGCACACCACTCATCCTAGCCTCTACTCTGGTGCAAAATGGCAAGTGGTAGGGTCATTACAGACTAATTAAAAAAAAAAACAAAACTGTACATCTGTTTCTGCCTTGAATGGGTGATGCCAGGAATTTGCTGGTGTATCAACTTAATGTTGCTTGATGTCTCAGAAATGGTAGCTGTTGAGGTTCTTGACAGAGGTTCTTTTGTAGGCATTTAGCCCGTGGGATAGAGTTATTTAATTTATTCAATTACAATTACAATTCTCAGGCTCGTTTCTCAGAAACAGTTCTCAATTCTCGTTCCAAGGGCTCCTAGGGACTCTCAGAAAAGGGCCAGAGACCAACACGAGGATGAGGGGAATGAACTGGCTGGGCTTTGTCCTCCGGAAAGGCTGCGTCTCCCTGGTTTGCAAACTGTTCACCAAAATAAAGTCTCTCTTCTCCAAATTCCTATTCAGAGAACTTTTGTTCACACCATTCATCCAAGCCATTTTCTATATCAATGTTCTGAAATTCTAAAGAGGCTTTGTTCCCTCCAGTACTTGATAATATTTTATAAATATTATTTAATGAGAAGCCATGCGTGTTTTCTCAAGGGTGCCTTGGACATTTCAGACAGGGAGATGGCATTGAGAACTGAGAGAACAGAGAGAGGTAAAGAAGGGCCTGTGGCCACAGGGGAAATTTTTGGCTTTGTTTGAGATAGTTTCTGAGCACTTCCTAGCTTCTTTTAAGCAAAACTAAAAGTTGACTATTTTGTCATGTGCTGAAAATGCTGGAGGCTCCCATAAAGGAAAAAATATTAATAATGAACTGTCATTATCGTTTTTTCTTTGAAAGGAGTTACATTTGTATCTTCTGCTAACAAGTCTAAAGTGATCCTAATGTTATAATGACTGGCCCCTACCCAGTGCTCCCTCGTGCCTGGCCTTTACAACCACTGTAAGAGGTAACTGCACTGAAGGATTAACCTTGCACAAAGAAAGGTTTGGACCTTGCCCCTGGCTCCTAAGTGGGACTGTCTAAGCCCTTAGAATGTCCTGGATGATAAGAATGTCTTTGTTCACCTGGGGGCCTTGGGCCATGCTGCACAGTTTATCTCACGGTGTGATTTTTGGTAGGGGTCTGGGGCCAGGAGCATCAGCTTGCCCTCTGGAGGCGCTGTCAACTGAGGCCAGCCATGCAACTGGCCTCAGATATGTCTTTGTGACCAAACCCCCACTAACAAATCCCAGACACCAAGGCTCGGATGAGCTTCACTGGTTGGCAGTATGTCCTGTGTGCTGTCACACATTGTTGCTGGGAGGACTGAGTGCTACTATCTGTAGGACTCCCCTGGGAGGGGACAACCGGCAGCACGCTCACACCTGATCTCTCCTGGTCCCGGCTCCTTGTGCCTTTTTCTTTTCCTGATTTTAATCTGTGTCCTTTCAGGGTAATGAATCATAACCATGAGTATAATGGCATTTCTGAGTTCTGAGACCTTCTAGCAAATCGTCAACCCCGAGGGTGGTCACAGGGACCCCCAAACTCACAGGTAGAGACCCTTATAACCCCATTCTCACTGCAGGTGACTTGCTCAAGGTCACACAGAGCCCATAGCCCTAACCACTATCCTCAGTGACTGGCTCTTGTTCCTGACTCAGTCTGAGTTGTTGGTGACTGAGATGACAATGGTTTCAGAACCGGGAGGCTGTGTGAGGACGAGAAGTGACTCCCTGGGTCTGCTCTCCACACTCGCCTCCCTTGGCCCCCAGCAGCCACCCTCAGAACGTCACGTCGACCCAGCTACAAACCAGCGCGCTACATCCAGAAATGTTACTCCAGGAGAGATCGCGTAAGGGCATAGGTCAGCGTGTGAACTTTTGTCTAAGTACAACATTAAGGATGTTGTTTTTAAGTGAGAAATTATTTAAACTAATTTAGAAGTAAATGGTAATTAATTTTTTTTTTTTTTTTTTTGAGACAGAGTCTCACTTTGTTGCCCAGGCTAGAGTGAGTGCCGTGGCGTCAGCCTAGCTCACAGCAACCTCAAACTCCTGGGCTCAAGCGATCCTGCTGCCTCAGCCTCCCGAGTAGCTGGGACTACAGGCATGCGCCACCATGCCCGGCTAATTTTTTTCTATATATATATTAGTTGGCCAATTAATTTCTTTCTATTTATAGTAGAGACAGGGTCTCGCTCTTGCTCAGGCTGGTTTCGAACTCCTGAACTCAAACGATCTGCCCGCCTCAGCCTCCCAGAGAGCTAGGTAAATTTTTTAAATCAAAATTTTAATCTGAGGTTCTTGACAGTTTTAATTTTAATTAATTTAATTTTAATTCAAATTAAAATTTTGAATTAAAAATGCAGTCCTGTGCCCAGAATGTTGTTTGACAGCAGACGTTGAGATGAGCTTAGAGATGCTCATGCTGGGGCTGTGTCAGCACACACGGTGCTGGAGAGATGCTACCGTGTCCACAACAGCATCCGGTCATTTCCCTCTTCTTACAGATGAGCTACCTGAGCCCCTGGCACTTTCCAGAATGGGCAGAAGCAAGCAGGCTGTATCCTGAGCCTACCCGATTCAAAGCTACCTCTCCTTCAAGCTGCCACTGGCTAGGTGAGCAGAGAGGGAGGAGGATGGGGAGGGGGCCCCACACCCCTCAAGACAGGTGGACACCCTGGGAGGCTCTGAGGCCAGCATTACCTGATCTTCTGAATGCGACAGTCCTTCCCGCTCAGCACGCTGCCCAGCAAGTCCATCACAGGGTCCTGGAACTGGTTGGCATCCAGCCTGGCAAAGGGGAGCAGTGACAGTGAGTGTGGTCCTGCCACCCACAGGCAGGCAGAGAGGCCCTGCCCTGGGGCTGGCATCCGCAGCAGAGTCACCCTCCGCCTCTCTCCAGCCCACCCCAGCACCCTCGCTGCAGCTCAGGGATCACTCAGCATGCCCATGTGCTTGGACCCATTCTCCCAGAGGGGGTGGGAGGCGGGATGCCCGTGAGCCCTGTGGTTCCTGTCCAGAGGCATCTTTTCTGCTGTCTGTTGTCCCAGCCACCTGCACGCCATGTGCCTCTGGAGAGCCCTCCTGCTTCTGAGGGCCCCCAAGCTGCTCTGAGTCCTGAGGCCCCTTGCTCGGCCCACGTCCCGGCCTGCCAGCGAGCCGAGGTGCAGGGCCGTGGATGGAGGATGGCTGAGGGCAGAGTTGGCTTCCGTCAGTCGGGATGGGTCGGGGTGTTAGGAATTGGATTGTGTCCCCCAAACAGGTATGTTGAAGTCCTGACCCCCAGGGCCTCAAACATGTGGCCTTAATTGGAAAGAGGGTCGTTGCAGCTGTAATTCTTTAAGATGAATAGAGTGGGAATAGAGCGGACCTGCAATCTGGTGTGACGGTGTCCTTTTAAGAGAGGACAGTTCTGTCTGAAGACAGACACTCACGGGGATGAGACGGCACACACGTGCCACAGAGGCAGGGAATGGAGCAGTGCTGCTACAGCACCAGAGCTAGAGGCAAGGAAAGACTGACCCCTGAAGCTTTCAGAGGGAGTGCAGCCCTGCCGACACCTTCACCTCAGACTTCCGGCCTCCACGAATGTGAGAGAACAAATTGTTGTTGTTTGAAGCCACTGAATTTGTGATCCTTTGTTACAGCAGCCCCAGCAGACAGACAGAGAGGGGCATGGTGAAGGGGGGAACATCCAGGTCCTTCTCTCTCCTCTGCCCCCCGCATCCCCCCAACCCGCCGGCACCCACCTGAGGCTCTGGCAGTACAGCAGCTGGGGCAGCAGGCTCTGGAGGACACCCTGGCTGAGGCACAGGGACAGGTTGGCCTCCTGGGCACAGGCATCAGACACTTGCAGGAGGTAGGCCACGGTGGCCCGGTGCAAAGGGCCGGTCAGCCGGGCCAGGGCCCCGCGCTCCATGGCCTCCTCCATGCTGCAGGCCAGCTCCGTGTGTCGCAGCTCGTGCAGGCAGTGCAGGACGTTGACCGCCCGGGCACAGACCACGGCGTCGGGGCGCAGGCAGCCCTGAAGCAGCTCAGCCGCCTGGGCCCGGTAGCCCTGGTGCTCGCCTGGGGCCAGCAGGGAGCCAGCTAGCAGGGCGTTGACCCTCGGAGACAAGAGGCCCGAGAGGAAGCGCAAGAACACGTCCAGCCTCCCGTCCTCAGCATGCATGGCCCGCTGGGCTGCGCTCCTGAAATGCGTGAGGAAGCCCAGCCTGGGCCAGGACACGCCGCTCTCGGTGAAGAGGTCGAAGATAGCCTTCTTGGATGCGCCATAGTAATACACGGCCGCCACAAACTCCTGCAGGGACAGGTGTGTGAAGCAGTAGGCGGCTGAGGAGGCCAGCGTCTCCTCCCGCTGCAGGAAGCAGCTGCACGGGGCCCCCTGCAGCAGAGCGAGGTCCACACCCAACGCCTTCATGTCCTGCTCGTAAAACACGTACTTCTTCTTGACCAGCCCGTGGAAGGCCAGCCGGCCCAGCGTCCCCACCATCTTGCGGCAACCGTGGGCCACCTGCTCAATCCGAGGGCTCGCCTTGCCCTTCTCCTGCCCCTCCCTGCTAAAGGCCATCCTCAGGTACCAGGAGTATAGCTCACACAGGGTCCTGGGAGGCCACAGCTCTGCGTCCTGGGCCCCCGGCCTGTTGCGGCACAAGTAGCCCAGCACTGACCCCGCTAGCCTGCAGAAAGCTGGGACGGTGCACATCAGGTACAGGGCCCTGTCGGCCCGCACCTGGCTCAGGACCCAGCCTGAGAGGGTCTGGTCCTCAGGAAACATCTGCTCCAAACACAGGCTGATCTCATCCTCGTTAAAGCCCCGGATCTCAGTCATCCGGTCCACCAGGCCCCCAGGGATCTGGCCAGCTGCAGTGGGACGGGAGGTGATCCAGATGGAAACTTCCGGGAAGAGGTTGCCACGGATGATGTTGGTGATCAGGTGGTCCACCTGGATCTCCCTCCTGGGGTCTGTGCAGGCCACAGTGTTGGAGAAGTCCAGAGGCGTCTTACACTCGTCCAAGCCGTCCAGGATCAGGAGGACCCTGGCGGGGGCTGCCAGCACCAAGCTGGGCTCCCCGACGTGTGGGAAGGCGGAGCGGATGAGCCTGTCCGCACACAGCTTCTCGTGGGTGTTGAGATCCCGGAAGGTCAAAGGCAGCACCAGGGAGAAGTCCTTGCCGACCTGCCCTCGGGCCCAGAGGCGGACAAAGTGCCTCACCAGGGTGGTCTTGCCCATGCCAGCCACCCCGATGGTGACAGAGACTCGGGGTGGGATGGACACCCGGGAGAGAGGCAGGAAGAGCCTGTCCAGGGCGATGGCCCTGGCAGGGCGCCAGCGCCCGCGGGTGGCCTCCACCTGTGTGAAGTCGTGCTCCCTCAGCTGCAGGTCGGTGAGGCCCTCCACCAGCAGGAGGGTGGGAAGCCTGGGCGAGGCACTGCCCGGCTCCCGGCCGCCTCCTGCCCTGCTCAGCAGGGCCTCTCGGTGCCTCTGTATCCTCAAGTCTGCAGGACAGAGGCCAGAGGGGAGGACGGGGTCAGGGAAGGGTGGAAGGAAGAGGCCCCGGGTAGACCCCTCTGTGGCCTCCCAAGCCGGTCCTACCGTTGTGGTGGGGCCCCAACGGGGAGTCCGGTGTCCTGTCAGGGGCCTGCAGGGCCTGGGAGCCCTGACCGCCCTTCCCGGCCAGCAGGTCCACGAGGGCTTTCACCTGCTCGGCTGGGGAGCCGGTGCCATGGCCCTGGCCAGCCTCCCCGCCTGTCCGCACTTCCTGCTTCCTCATGGAGTCTGGGATTGCCGCTAGGAGCTGTGAAGAGAGGGCCCGACTCTGCTGTCTGCCACCAACACTCAGTGGCCTGGGATGGGTGAGTGAACCCCTAGGAATGGGGCCGGGGAGCCTTCCCTTCCACCTTCCCCAGCTTGCAGGTGGCCCACTGGCCTGGCCTCCGAGAAGGGGCCGGAAGGGCCATTTGTTCCCAGATGGCGAAACAGTCACAAGGAGGCAAGGGCCAAGTGAATAGTAACTGGGGCTCTGGGCTCACCCTGGCCCTGTCACTTACCAGCTGGGTGACCCTGGGCAGGTTGTGTCACCAGTCTGCGCCCTGGTGTCCTCATTTGTGATCTGGAAATGGTGATGAGGTTACAAGTAGATTAGCTCAAAAGGAGGGAGGAACAAAAGAAGCCAGTCTGGGAGACTATATCGCACAATTCCCACTAACATTCTGGAAAAGGTGAAAGTATGGAGACATAGAGCCAGTAACGAGGTCAAGGGTGGGGTAGAGGGGCTGGGGGTGGCGACAGAGCATCCTTAGGGTAGTGACACTGCTCTTAGGGTAGTAACCACTGCTAACGGTGGGTAGGCATCATTGTGTGTTTGTCCAAACCCACAGCATGTACAGCACCCAGAGTGACCCTGAGTGTAAACCATGGGCTTTGGGTGATAGTGAAGTGTCACTATAGGTTTCTTGATTATAACAAATGCACCACTCGGTGGGGGATGTTGATAGTGGTGGAGTTTGGAGGGGGCACAGGCAGAGGGTATAAGGGAAATCTCTGTACTTTCCCATCAACTTTTCTGTAATTCTAAAACTTCTCTGAAAAGTAAAGTTTATGAAACAGAAAAGACGAGTTGGGGGAGGGGAGGGGAAGCTACTTCTCAGAGCAGCTGCACTGCTGCTTCTCTTACTGTTTTCCTGGGGTCTCCCAGGAGTGCAGGGGCTCCCGGCCCACGGGTGGCGCTGTTTGTGCTGGGGACGGTGGTGCAGACGTTAAGAGGCCAAGCCACGCTCCAGGCCCACCCGTTCACGTTCCTTTGGCTCCTTGTTGCCAAGGCTGGTCATCCCCCTCTGCGACCCTCCTGTCGCCAAGGTGGACACGGAGGACCCCACGTGCACCCCCACCTCCTCACCGGGTGTGCAGGCCACAGCAGCCTGTCCAGAAGGGCCCCAGGATTCGGGTGGGGGCCGGCCATGTGTCGTCCACGGTTCTGGGAGAGAAAACACGATGTGTAGCCAGGAGAGATCACGGCCCACTGTTGCTGATGGCAGCCCTGCATTCAAAAATGACCCCAGATGTTGTCACTGCACAGAGAAGCAGGTCAGATGCATACTGTCCAGCCCTTCAGTGCTCTGGTTCTCAGTGTTTAGCTTAAGAAAAGTTTACTAGCTACAGCCCCAAGGATTCATTAGACTCCCTGACCCTGGATTTGCATTGGGGATCCTGGAATCTTAACTCAGATTGAATCTTTTTTTTTTTTCTGAGACATGGTCTTGGTCTGTTGCCCAGGCTGGAGTGCAGTGGTGCCATCACAGCTCACTGCAACCTTGAACTCCTGGGCTCAAGCCATCCTCCTGCCTCAGCCTCCCAGGTAGCTAGGGACTATAGGCACGTGCTACCATGTTTGGCTAATTTTTAAATTTATTTTTGAGACAGGGTCTTGCTATGTTGCCCAGGCTGGGCTTAAACTCCTGGCTTCAAACAATCCTCCCACCTTGGCCCCTCAAAGTGCTAGGATCATAGGCATGAGCTACCACGTCCTGCCTAAGTGAACATTTTCACTTGGAAAATGGTAAAAGAAGCTTATCAATAAGTAAAATAGCATTTTCCAGCCATTTGGTTCATAGTAGTGTTGAAGAGGTAGGGAGAGCAATGAAGTCAAAGTAGATGGTATCCAAACTAGTGGAGTTAATCTGGGAACGTTAGCACCAGGCCGGGGCAAGGCCACTCTTGATATACTGCTTTGGAGTCCTTGGCTCTTCTCACTCCATTGTTTTTCTAAATGTCAAACCCAGTGGAAAAGAGATTGGATTTTGATTAAAGTTACATTATGTGTATGGATTCATGTGGGTAATTGGAGGTCTTTATTTATTTCATTTTATTTTCAATAAAATAAAGACTGGTCTTGAACTCCTGGCTTCAAGCAACCCTCCTGTCTCAGCCTCCCAAAGAGCTGGGGTTACAGACGTGAGCCACCATGTCGTCCAGGTCTTTCTTTACATCCTTTGGTAAAACTTTATATTCTGTCTCCTCTAGATCTTGCTAATTTTTTATTTGTATATAGGTATGTTTTTTTTTTTGAGACAGATTCTCACTCTGTTGCTAGGGCTAGAGTGAGTGGCGTGGCATCAGCCTAGCTCACAGCAACCTCAAACTCCTGTGCTCAAACGATCCTCCTGCCTCAGCCTCCAGAGTAGCTGAGACTACAGGCATGCACCACCATGCCTGGCTCATTTTTTATATATATTTTTAGTTGTCCAGCTAATTTCTTTCTATTTTTAGTAGAGACGGGGCCTTTTTTAGGCTTGTCTCAAACTCCTGAGCTCAAATGATCCACCTACCTCAGCCTCCCAGAGTGCTAGGATTACAGGCAGGAGCCACAGCGTCCAGCCTGTATCTAGGTATTTTTAAAATAGTTTCTGTTGTTATTAAGAATATTGTTGTTTGGCTGGGCATGGTGGCTCCCGCCTGTAATCCTAGCACTCTGGGAGGCCGAGGTGGGAGGATTGCTTGAGCTCAGGAGTTCGAGACCAGCCTGAGGAAGAGTGAGACCCCATCTCTACTATAAATAGAAAGAAATTAGCCAAAACAACTAAAAATACAAAAAATTATCCAGGCATGGTGGTGCATGCCTGTAGTCCCAGCTACTTGGGAGGCTGAGGCAGGAGTTCACTTGAGCCCAGGAGTTTGAGGTTGCTATGAGCTATGCTGATGCTATGGCACTCTAGCCAAGGCAAGAGAGTGAAGACTTCTGTCATTTTTTTTTTTTTTTTTTAAAAAAAAAAAAACAAGAAAAAACTTAGAAAACAAGAAAATCAATAAAAACAAGAATATTGGCCAGGCACAGTGGCTCACGCCTAGCACTCTGGGAGGTTGAGGCAGACGGCTTGCTCAAGGTCAGGAGTTCAAAACCAGCCTGAGCAAGAGCGAGACCCCGTCTCTACTAAAAATAGAAAGAAATTAGCTGGACAACTAAAAATATATAGAAAAAAACTTAGCCGGGCATGGTGGCACATGCCTGTAATCCCAGCTACTCGGGAGGCTGAGGTAGAAGAATTGCTTGAGCTCAGGAGTTTGAGGTTGCTGTGAGCTAGGATGACGCCACCGCACTCTAGCCCAGGCAACAGAATGAGACTCTGTCTCAAAAAAAAAAAAAAAATAGAATATTGTTGGTATAAAGGAAGGTGATTAATTTTGTGTATTTTATCATACATCTCATCAACATATTAAATATTCACTTTGGTTCTCATTTTGTAGTTAGTTTTCTTCAGGCTTTCAGACTGCTTCTGTGAGAATAATTTTATCTCTTCATTTCTAAAATCAGAGCTCTTATTGTAAACAATTTTACTACGTTAGCTAGGCCTGCCCCTTCCCTGGAGAATGCAGTCGTATCACGCATTCCTGTCTTATACCAGATTGTGCTGGGATGGTTCTAGCCCAAATTGTTAGGTGTGATGTTTGTCATCAGACCGATTTCTAGTTTGTTTTCTTCTCTACTTCTTTTCCATTACCATTCAAATAACATATAATATTTATTGAAGGTATACTTTGTTTTGGATATTCTGTTAAGCACTATATTTACATCGTTTAATTTACTTCTCCTAACAACTCTCAATACCACTCTTTCTCCCATTTTAGAGATGAGGGCACTAAGACTCAGAGAGGTGAGGTGACTTGCCCAGGGACGCACATCTGGGGAGAGACTGAGTTGGGATGGAAACCCAGACCTCACTGACGCCAGCGCTTATGCCGTGTCATCATCTACTGCCTCTTATAGTAGGTTTACACATTTTTTAAAAAATTAATAATGTCTGTTAAATTAGTAAATGGCTTTTTAGCATATACTAATGTAATCACATGATTTATTTCCATTCATTTATTCAACCAGCAACTATTTATTGAGGGGCAACAGGTCCACCACAGTGCGTTCTAGGCACGGGGGTGTGAAGGTGAAGAAGCTGACAGAATCCTTATCCCATGGGCGTGGGCATGGGAGTAGGGGATGATGATGATAAAGAGGAAAACAGGTAAACAAGCAAGGCAGGCTCAGCTGGTGATTAGTGCTGGGAACGAGATAAACCATGAGTGACAAAGGGGGCCGGCAGTCTAGGGGGAGGGGAGAGCTGATGCTTTGGTCACGGTGGCCAGGGAAGACCTTTGTGAGAAAGCAATCTAGGAGCAGAAAAGGGTGAGAAGGAGTTAGTCAAGCAAAGAGCCAGGGGAGGAGCATTTCAGGCAGGGTAAACAGCAAGCGCAGATGCCCTGTGTGTTAGAGGAAAAGAAAAAGGCGAGAGTTGCCAGAGCACCTAGGCCTACCCTCGGGGTTGGCACATCTGGTCGTCGTCCTGAGGAGTTTGGATTTGTCCTAGGTGTGGTGGGAAGCCGTTGGAGGAGTGGCATGAGTGACATGTGTCGGATCTCTTTTTGATCTGTGAGCTACACTAACAGATTTTCTAATAGTAAGCCAACCTTGCATTCTAGAACACAGCCTTCCATTTATATTGTAAATAGGGTATAGATATGAAAGTGGGCTAACACGAGAATAGATACATGAGTCAATAGAACAGATACATGCCAGAACAAAGCATATAAACCTACACATAAAGCATTTGCAATGTGAAAAAAGCAATCAAATTAAGTGAATGGGCTGGGGCCATACTGAAATTTACTTACCACACACAAATTTAATCATCGTGCTAATTAAATAAATAAAATCTAAAAACAATGAATAAGAAATTTAAGTTAGTTGGTAAGGCTACAAGACGAAATCCAGAAGAATAAAGGAGACAAATTTTTAATACAAAATTAAACCAAGAACATGTATAATTAAATATTATATAAAGTCCATAAATGAAGACAAGCATACTGGAGCAACATTTCACATACATTAAAGAGCATTAATATCCTTAATATAGAGAGAATTCTAGGCCAGCTGCGTGCTCACTGCCTGTAATCCTACACTCTGGAGCCCCAGGCAGGAGATGCCAAGGTCAGGATTCAAAACCAAGCGAGCCAAGAGCGAGAACCACCATTTCTACTAAAAAAATAGAAAAAATTAATTGGCCAACTAAAATATAAGAAAAACTTAGCCGGGCATGGTGGCACATCCTGTAGTCCAGCTACTCCAGAGCCTGAGGCAGAACGATTGCTGACCAGGAGTTTGAGGTCTGTGTGAGTTAGCTGATGCCACAGCACTCCCAGCCCCATGTAACACATGTGAGAACTGTCTCAAAAAAAAAAAAAAAAGAATTCTTATAAATCAATAAGGAATAAATAACCAATAAATTATACACAAGATAAAAAGAATAGATAATCAAGAATATAAATACAAATGAAAATCCATCTACTAGAAAGAGAAAACATCTAGCCAGGGCCACAGGGGACAAAAGGGGACCAAAAAAGACAACTTTTTTTGTCTCAAAAAAAAAGTTTAAAAAAATGAACAGAGCTATCCATTTCATCTTCTAAGCAAAATTACTATAATACAGACTGCCAGGAATATACCATAGTGGAACTAATACATGTGTAAAAGTATAAGTCAGTATAGCAATTTTGGATTATAATTTGCCATTACTTATTGCCATTAAATATCTTTTGTCCCAGAAATTTCACTTCTGGGAATTTATCCTAAAGAAATAACTGGATAAGTGCACAAAGATGTGACTATAAGGATGTTCATGGAAACATTGTTTATAACAGCCAGAAACTTAAGGAGCAAAACTAAATCTCTATCAAAGGGAAATGATAAATTAAATTATGGTCCAATTATATGGTAAAATACTATGTGATCAAAAAAATTGTAACATCAAACTATATGTCAAACTGGGAACATGTCCATGGTGGTGTTGGTGGTGTCTTGTGTTTTTTTTTGAGACAGGGTCTTGCTCTGTCTTCTGGGCTAAAGTGCCGTGACGTCATCATAGCTAACTGCAACCTCAAACTCCTGGTTTGAGGATCAAGAGATCCTCTTGCCTTAGCCTCCTGGGTAGCTGGGACTACAGGTATGTACCACCAAATCCCGCTACTTTTTCTATTTTTTAATGGAGACAGACTCTAACTCTTGCTCAAGCTGGTCTTGAACTGCTGGCCTCAGGCAACCCCCCTGGCTCAGCCTCCCAAAGTGCTAGGATTATAGGCATGAGCCACTGCACCTGCGCCACAGTGCATTTTTTGTCTTTTAAAATCATAAAGGTTTTAATCACTTTCTTTGAGGTATAATTTATATACAATAAAATGCACCTATTTTAAGTGTATAGTTATATGAGTTTCAACAAATTACATACTAATGTAACAACTACCACAATCAAGATATTGAACATTTCTTTCTCCAAAAATATGTTCCTTCATGCCCTTTGCAGTCTATCCCAACCACATCTCTCTGGCCTGGGGCCATTGGTCTACTTTTTTTCACTATAAATTAGTTTTGCCATTTCTATAATTTCATACAAATAGAGTAATACAACACTGTAATGTATTTTATGTGGAAAAAAAATCAAGATGCAGAAGAGAATTATGATAGGATATCATTTTTATCTAGCTATAGAAAAGGCCAGAAATATATGATACGGGAATTAAGGAATTGTTTCTTGTTTTGTGAATTTCAATTGCTTAAATTTTGCTAACAGGTATTGCTTCCCCGCCCCATTTACATAGATTGCTTACAGAATTATAAAGGTAATAGTCTATAGCCATACCACCCTGAACTCGCCCAATCTCATATGATCTTGGAAGCTAAGCAGAGTTGGGCTTGGTTAGTACTTGGATGGGAGACCACCTGGGAATACTGGGTGCTGTAGACTTAAAAATTAAAAAAAGGGATGATAAAGATATAATATATGCTTATTAAAAATATTTAAAGAATACAAAAGTATGCAGTGAGCTATGATTGCACCATTGCACCCCACCCTGGGTGACAGAGCAAGACCCCGTCTCTAAAAAAAATAAAATAAAATCCTCAGGGGTAACCTCTGCTGGTTGATGGTTTATGTTTTTTTTTTTTTTAATTCAGATGCTAAATTTACAGCAAATAAAATAATAGAGGGTATCAAAATTGGGAAAGAAAAAACTGTCACTATTCACAGTTGACATGATTGTGTATATAGAAAGTCCTAAAGAATCTACAAACAATTATGACTAATATGTGAATTTAGCAAGGTTTCTGGACACAGATCAATACAAGTTAAAAAAACAGCTATGTTTCTACTTACTAGCGAAAATCAAGTCAAAACTGAAATTTAAAATACCATTAAAATCAAATATCTAGTAATAAGTCTAGCAAAAAATTTGCAAGTCCTCTATACTGAAAATTAGAAAACATTACTGATGGAAATTAAAGAACACTGAAAGATGGACTGACCTACTTTAGGTTGATGGATTAGAAGGTTCAATATTATTCAGATGTCAGTTCTCACTAAATCGATCTCTAGATTCAATGACATCACAATCAAAATCTCAACAGGCTTTTTGAGCGGCTGGTGGAAATTGTCAAGCTGATTCTAAAACATGTAAAACATATATGGAAATGCAAAGGACCCTAGAATAAGCAAAACAGTTTTTTGGGGAGGAGACAGAATCTCACTCTGTTGCCCGGGCTAGAGTGCCATGGCTTCAGCCTAGCTCACAGCAACCTCAAACTCCTGGGCTCGAGCAATCTTATTGCCTCATCCTCCCAAGTAGCTGGGACTACAGGCATATGCCACCATGCCCGGCTAATTTTTTCTACATATTTCTAGTTGGCCAATTAATTTCTTTCTGTTTTTAGTAGAGACGGGGTCTCACTCTTGCTCAGGCTGGTTTCAAACTCCTGACCTTGAGCGATCCTCCTGCCTAGGCCTCCCAGAGTGCTAGGATTATAGGTGTGAGCCACCACACCCAGCCTAAGCAAAACAATTTTAAAAAAAAGAAGAATCAAGGTGGAAGACTCACACTAGACAATATCAAGACTTATTACAGAGCTGTAGGTATTGGCACATAGAATAGAGGGTCCCACACATGACTTATAAATGGCTCCACTGCCATTCATTGGGAAGGATGGTCTTTGCTATAAATTTTGCTGGGTAATAAGATAAGTAAAATGAACCCCTACCTCACACCATAAACAAAAATTTGAGTTGGATTACAGATCTAAATATGAATGTGAACACTATCAAGACTTTAGAAGAAAATACAGGAGAATATCTTTATGAACTTGGGCTAGATAAAACCTAAACACAAAAAGGACTAACCATAAAAGTAAAGAATTAGGATTCATTAAAATTAGGAATGTCTATTCTTTAAAAGGCAGCACTACGAGGATGAAAAAGAAAACCAGACTAGGATATATATATCCCAACCACATAAAAAGTATTTATATATATCCCAACCACATAAAAGTATTTGCAAATCAATAAAAAAAAGCTCAATTAAAAAACAAGACAAAAAATTTAATAGATACATCACCAAAAAGAGTATCAGTCATCAAAGGAATGCAAATTAAAATCACTTTGAAAACTGGTTGTAATAAAGCAAATGTGCATATTCTCTGTGACCCAGCAGTTCCCCTCCTGAGCAGACGTGTTTATGTCCACCAAAACGCAGGTACCAAAATGTTCCTAATACTCTTATTCATAATGTCCAAAAAATGTAGAACCAATCAATGTTCATCAACAATAGTATGGGAAAAATTTTTTTATATGTTCATTTAATGAAATCCTACATAACAATGAAAAAGAGTAAATTACTGATGTGCTCAACAATATGGATGACTCTTGCAGACATAATGTTGAGTGAAAGGTTTGACATGGAAGAGAACACACTCTGTGGTTCCATTAATAGGGAGTTTAAATATCAGGCCAAACCAAGGCTGGTCCCAGTGGCTCACACCTATAATCCTAGCACTCTTAGAGGCCAAGGAGGGAGGGTCGCTTGAGCCCAGGAATTTGAGGTTGTAGTGAACTATAATGACACCTCTGCACTCTAACCCAGGTGACAGAGCAAGACCCTGTCTCAAAAAAAAAAAAAAAAAAAATCAGGTCAACCCAATCTGAAATGGTAGAAGCCAAAATAGTGGGAGCGGTTCTGATGGGGGGGGCGAGGCATGTAGGAGCCTTCTGGGGTGCTGGAAATTTCTATATATTGATCTGGCTGGTGGTTACACAGATGTATGTATACATATATAAAAAGCCATTGAGCTCACTTTACTATAGGTAAGTTGTACTTTCATTTTAAAAAATTCTAAACAATCTAAAAATCCAAACGTATGTAAGCCAGAATGAAGCAATACTACTGCCGGCCCGTCAGTGCCAGAAGCCAGGACACTGGGGGCCTCTGCCCTGCTCTGGGTGATGTCAGGGCGTGGCCCAGGGGTAGACACAGCCTGTTCTTAATGGACATCCAGGTGCACCCAGCAGGTGACACACCCTGCTGCTGCTGGGGGTGGGGCAGCGGCTGGAGGACGAGGGGCCATGTTGACGAAGGGCCCGGCTCCGTGCCTCTCAGCCCTGGCAGGGCATGATCTGGAGCATTATTTTTCCATCTAATTTTTTTGAATTGTGCTAAAATATACATAACATAAAATTTGCCATTTTAACCATTTTTGAGTGTCCAATTCAGTACAGTAACATTATTGGGTGACCATCACCACCATCCCTTTCCAGAACTTTCCTATCTTCCCAAACTGAAAGTCTATCCCCATCAACCACTCACGCACTCCCTATTCTCCCTCCCAGGCCGCAGCACCCCCTGCTGTGCTCCCGTTTCTGTGGATTCGACCTGTCCACGTGGCTCACGTAAGTGCTATCACACTGGATTTGTCCTTTTGTGTCTGGCTTCTCTCACTTAGCATGCTGTCCTCGAGGTTCATCCATGTGGTGGCAGGTGTCAGAATTTCATTCCTTTTTGTGGGTGAATAATATTCCATTGCACGTGTCTACCCATTCATCCGATGATGGGCATTTGGGTTGTTTCTACCTTTTGCCTGTTGTGAATAATGCCGCTACGAACATAGCTGTACAGATATCTCTTTGAGACCCTGCTTTCGGTTCTTCTGTGTATAAACCCAGAAGTGGAATTGCAGCGTCATGTGGTCATTCTGTGGAGCACCGTTTTAAAAAATCTACCACTCAGCCTGACGGCCGGGAGGTGTAACTGGCCTGGGATAGGGCCTTACCGTGGCTCCAGTTCTCTGAACACCAAGAACCTCTGGACCAGAGGGAGGCTGGGAGAGTGACAAAGGAGGGCCAGCGTGGCAGCAGTGCAGGCCGGGGAAGAGGCAGGGCTCGTGTGGGCCTGGGACTCGGGGCTCCCATTGAGCAACCCTGCCTCTTCGGCCCCACTGGCCTTTCAGGATTGGGGGTCAACATCCCTCTCGATCAGACACTGTCTTTCTTGCCCCACTGACCTCGGGCCTAGGATTGCCAGATTTAGCAAATTAAAATACAGGATACCTAAGGAAATTTCAGGTAAACCACCCACGTTTTTAGTATTAGTATGTCTCAATACCTATGGACATACTTATTTTTGTGGCCAGCACTGCCACCTCCCAGGGCCAGCCCAGAGGGTGATGGGGGCCGGCTGTGACCGCCACTGCTGACAGGCCCTGCACTCAGCCCCAGACGCCTCCCTTGCAGGCTGGAACCTATCACAGACATCAGGGCAGGCTGAGGCCTGGAGGCCACAGATGCTGCCAGGGACAGCCAGACAGACCCCACCTGGTGCAAATGGCCTCCAGGGAGCTGCAGGGGCTCCTGCAAGCCCAGCTTAAAGATGGCAAGACGGGGGACAGGTGGGCTTTGCGTTACCTGGGGGACCTGAAGGCAAGAGGTCACTCCACAGAGCGCCTGAGCTGTAGCAGGTAGGGCGAGGCCAGAGGGACGAGTGGGTGGCCACTGCTGCCTCCCTGGCATGTGCCATGAGGGCCCACCCTGGAGCTCTGTCTGTGGGGGAGGCTGGATCTAAGTCGCTCCTGGTGTCAGTGGGCTCAGACCCATCCCTCAGACTCAATGGCTGGGCTTCTGCTTCATCCCTGAGCGGATCCAGGGCCAACTGACTCCTTGGGTCTGCCCACGAGGCCCGGGGGCCTCAGTCCTAGCCTGAGCCTGCTGGGCCCCTTCGCCAGTGGCCAGCCCCTGCTCTGCCCACCTGGGCTGCCTGTATCTCTGTCCACAGCTCCTTGTCCCTGTCCCCCTCCCAAAGGCCTGGAAATTCAGTAACTGGTCCTCTTTTCTTCTTCTTTTTTTTTTTTTTTGTTTCTTTTTCTTCTACAGTAGGATTTGAGAGGAGTAACTGGTCCTCTTGAGGTGGCCCTGGCACCATCACCTGAGATCAGACAGCCTTTCCGAAGAAAGGTACCTCTGAAGGAGGTATAGTGGTGCCTGCATCTTGAGACACCACACTCCTAACCACACTGACCCCTGGAGTCCCAGTGGGAGGACAGCCCCAATCCTGGGGAGCCCAGCACCCCTGGGGCAGAAGGGGAGGTGCCCGGCCTGCAGCCTTTGATGGCAAGAATGAGCCTCTGGGCTTGGGGGCCCCTCCTGGGAGGGAGCATGGGGGCCCCATGAACCTGGCCACTTGGGGAAGACCCTGTGGGGAGCACCCACGTTGGCCTGCTTGGCAGACCTGCTCCGAGAAGCTTCCTGTGGCTGCTTCTCTTGCAGGATGACGAGCCTCATCTCAATAGGGCTGTGGCTGGGCTGGGAGAGGCCCTGGGGCTGTCCCCGGCACCAGGTGGCATCACGGGGCAGGCACCACAGGCTGGACCTAGAGCCAGCCGCACGGCCTCCCTTGGCCCTTATGACCTTTGGGGCGGGTCCCGTGTAGTCACCTCCATTTCCAGGTGGGAACTGAAGTCAGAAGCTGAGCCGCCCGCCCTGGCCCCGTGTGGGGATGGTGCCCAGGTCTGCTGGCTCCCCTGGGCTGGGGCTCCACGTCCTGCCCACAGGCCTCCCTGCTGTTTCCCACTTCTCCTGTCCATCACTGGTCCCTGGAGAGCTGGGCTTTGTCCCCTGGGGCCTGTCCTGGGCTGTCCTTGGGCACACGTTTGTGAACCAGTCCTGCCCCAGAAGCTCCCAGCACCCAGGGGGACACCTCCCTGGAGTCTCCCAGTCCCCTCCCCAGAGTAGCTCAGTCCTTAAAAGTCACTGTCCTCTCCTGCCCTGCACTGAGGTAGCCTGGACTCAACTTACCTCCTGGTCCTCGCTGCTGCTCCAGGAATGGCCATCTCCACGCTTCTGGGCTCAGCCCGGCTCCAGTGGGCTCCCAGCTCCTGGGAGTCTCTGTGACAGGCCAGCTGGGCCCCGAGTCAGAGTCCTCAGGATCAGGGATCAGGGGCGCTTATCACACTCACTGCTCGGGGCCGGGGCAGCGTGCTGCTGCCTGCTGCAGACCCCACCAAGCCCACCAGCCGCCCTGCAGCTCAGGCTCCTCACCTCTTCCTGTGCTGGGCTCCACCTCAACCTTCCTTCCTGTCTGATTTCAAAAGCCAACAGCCTCACAGACAAATCAATGGGCCAGGGCTGCGTCGGCGCCACTCTGACTTTGTCACCACCCCCGAGTCAAAGTTGGGGGGTGGCAGTGGAGGTCTTGACTCTGGGACCTGCTGATGCTCAGGATAAAGTGGTACAGCATCAAAGCTGTCGACACATCATCCTCCGTCCAGCCACAGAGGAAAGAGACTCGCCGTCAGCGGGCAGCTGCTTTTAGGCGGGTGGTTGGGAAGTTCAGTGAGCGGCCCGAGGTCACGCAGCTAGAAGACGACCTCTGGGTGCTGTTATCCCTGCCGCCCTCCCCTCTCTGCTCTAACCCCTCTTGCTTTCCTTCTCTCCGTCACCCACTGGCACCCTCTGACCCAGCTGCACCCCACGACGTCTTCCTGTGAGTCAAAGGGCCCCAAAGGCAGGTCACCTGCACCCTGAGAGGAAACAGCAGCACGTGGCCGTTCACAGCAGGAGACCACACCCCGGCCCCTGAAGATGGCCCCCGCAGGTGGTCTGCCCGGTCAGAGGAGGGCATGAGGGGGAAGGACATGGCCCAGAGTATGCCACACAAGAAAAGTCATGATAAAGGAAAAGTACAGGACCTCTTCCAGTGACGGGGAGCAAGCCACTTACATGGGGCCATGGAGGGAAGCAGGTGACAAGGTGGGAGCCAAGTACTGGGGCTCTTGGGATTTGAATTTTCCTTAGCAAGCAAGTAGGAGCCAGCGATGGTTGTAGAGCAGGAGTATAGTGGGTTCAGGTGCATACGGCAGTTTGTGCATTAGGCGAGGCGAGGCGAGGCGTGTGTGGTTATCACTAGCTCATGTCCAGGGCTGTGTGGGTAGTAGCGGGAGGGAACTGAGGCAGCAGATAAGCGCTCTGCTTCGTGACACCCTCCAAGTCCCTTTCTCCCTTCTCCCTCCCTCCCTTCTGACAATGCTTTGAGAACTCAGGAATGTGTCAGGTGCTGGGAGGACATGACCGTGGCCCTTGAGAAGTGTGTTGAGGCCCCAGACACAGAGCACAGAAGCGGCGGCTGTGGCCTCGGCTGTGGCGTGCAGCCAAGGCGTCGGCAACCAGGCCACTCACAGGATGTTGGAAACCACAGGGGCCTGGCGGGTATCTGTCACATGCATGAGGATAGAGGGGCTCACTCTGCCTCCCTTGATGGATGCTGAGCAGGAGAGGAAACGGCCTCCTCTGCAGGGACCTCAGAGAGCATCTGAGCCCCCCCCCCACCTGGAGGGAATGCCTGTCCGCCCCCGCAGGGCTGGCTTGTTTCCCACTCTGCCGGGAAGGCTGCTGCCCCCACTCCTGGGGCGGGGGAGTGTTAGGAGGTCCTGAGTTCTCACCCTGGGGCTTTCTGTCCACCCAGAGCTGGGGTCAGCTGGACAGTGGTTTCGCCCTTCCGTTCAGTGATAGCATGAGGCTTCCTGCCTGCAGGGGGCCTTTCTCTGTGAGCCCCCTTGCCTGGGTCCAAGCTGGTGCTTCTCCTTTGATTGCCCTGAGTGGCCATACCCAGACTGGGCTGGGGCTGGGGTCACAGGAAGTGGGACAGATCTGGATGTCCCCATTTTCTAATCTAGTTGTGGCCAGTGAACGTTCTGCTACCAGCTCTTTTCTTGTGCTCCTTCCCATGGTGAGGCAGGGCGGAGCTGCTGGGAGGGACCCCTCCTGCTTGTCTGTGAGAAAGCCCCATGCCCACCAGCCTTGACGCAGGCGCCCCTAAGCTCACAAAGCCCCTTCTCCAGGAGGCGGTCCTTGACACGACCCTTCAGGTCACCTGAGCCCAATGCCACCTCCCCCTCGCACCAGTAGCCCGGATAGGCCAGCATGTCCCCTCCACCAGACAAGATGGGACACGCTGAGAGCAGCCTGTTTCTGATCTCTCACAGAGCCCGGAGCAGCTTTGCAGGTCTCTGTTGAATGCAGGTGTGTGGACAGACAAATGTGTGGATGGATGAAGAGTGAATAACTGAAGAGACACGAGACGGCGGCAGGCCAGGGCCACCCTGAGAGGAAGGGCTGGCGCAGCAGGGCGGTACAGGTCCCAGCTCACGCCCGTTTCCCTCCTGGTTTGTGTGGTGTGTGGTCTCTAGGTTTGGTAAAGCCTTTTTGCTTTTATTGCACATCATATAAAACTGACTGCACAACATTTAAAACAGACAGGGACATTCACAGGGAGCGGAGACCCAACTGTCGTCCTCTCCGGCCCTCACCTTCAGCCCACATTGCTCCTGGGGCTGGAGGCGGCGTTCATGCACGAGTGCTAACCAAGAGTACGCTTGTTTTGGGGGCTCCAGAGTTGTGCTGGGCTCTTGTGCAGAGACTGCTGGTGTAGAGACTGCCAGTGTAGAGACTGCTGGTGACAATGACAAGCGTCTCAGCAGGAGACACAGCTGGGCCAGGAGAACTGCGGCTGGGGCGTGGCAGTACAGAGAGCCTGTGGACACTTGGTCTGCTGGTGCTCGCTGGGACTGGTCTGAATGCTGAGAAGGAAGACGAGCCCATGCCGCCAGGCCACCTGACATCCACCTCGGGACACAGACCCATGGGGCAGTCGCGCCTGGGACTAGTGGATGCAGATGCGGCAGTCAGGTTTTGCCCTGGCCTGGCGGCAGCCCACTGACCCCCAGAACACATGGGGCCCTACTGGGTTAAAGGGAGACATGCTGTGGGCACCGAGAGAGGGATGGGGCTGGGGGCCCGAAATCCAGCGGCGACACTCTCCCAGCCACTCCAGAGTGGAGCCCAGAAGAGGAGACCCGGGTCAGTGTGTCGTCACTCTCACAGGTGAGGAGCTGACAGGACCCAGAGGCCCAGAAGTGCCTGTGGAGGCCCGACCTGCACCGGTGTCCCAGGTCCTCCCTGCAGGTGGCCCATGGGGGCTGATGCAGGGCACAGACCCCACTGGCTGCCGAGAGCCGGGGGTGGTGGGGATCGCCCTGTCAATTCCGCTGCCCTTTCTTCCTGCCCACGGGATGCCGCCTCTTCCCCTGGAGCTTCTCCTTGCGGGCTGCGGCAGTGGTGAAGGTGATGCAGTGCGCGTCCAGGAAGTCCAGCAGCTTGCCCGTGGCCACGCGGATGCCGTTCTGCTTCAGCTCTGCCTGCAGCTCCCCCAGCTCGAAGGGCTGGTACAGCAGCACCTTCCGGTACAGGGCCGGCTGGGAGCGGATGTAGCGTCTCACTGCCTCCTCCGTGTCTGCTGCCCGGCTGGCCGCCTGCGACGCGCTCACTCCCTCCTCGCCCTCCTCGTCTTCACCTGCACACTCGAAGGCCGCACCAAACTCACAGGAGGAAGAACTGAAAAGAGCCAGACAACGACATTTTGTGAACCCTTTTCTTCCAGCCCCGCCCCCCAAGACCAGGAGCCTCTTCGAAGGAAGGTGTTTTTCTACGGCCCCTGTGGAGCTTGGCGGGGGCACAGATGAGCCCCAGGGCAGCAGGATGGCCTGACAGTTTCCTAAGGCTACTCCAGCAGGTTCCTGCTCTCAGCCAGAAAAGACCAGGCGTGTGGGGCAAGGAACCAGGTCTACCCAGGGGCAGGGGAATAGCCCTTTAAACCCACCAGGGTTTCCTACAGTTCAAACCCAGAAGGCAATGGGGTTTCTGAACTTTGGCCATCAGGCCTTGCTTGTGCCAACTCTCCGACTTGCTCCTGTCTGGTTACCTTTGGGAGCTGAAGGAGCTGTCACTGCCGTCCACAGAGGTGGCCACAGATTCCTGGGAGGCTGGGAGCTGGGTGTTGCCACCAGGGCCTGGAGGAGCCTCCTTGGCTGGTGACGTGCTCAGGGGTGGGACGCTCCCACTGGGCTGCTGCTTTCGCCGTCGGGGGCCCTTGGTCTTAGCAGGTCCCTTGGACCTTTGCGGCACGGGTCCCACAGTGGCCTCCTGCTGGGCTTGGGCTCCTGTCCTTGAAGGCTTGTGGGTGTCAGAGGTGTGGGTCTGGCTGGGAGGCGCCTCTCGTCGTGGCACCTGTGAGGACGGGATCTCATCCTCAGAGTCGGACTCCAGGGTCTGGTGAGTATACTGGAATATCTCCTTCAGTTTCAGAACCATCTGGCGTTTGGGCAGAGGGCGGACTCCAAACCTGAACAGGAGGAAAGGCGAACTTCAGGTCTCAACCACAAGGCTTGTCTCCGTACTATGTGATATTTCCACGTGCTGGCGGGTAACCACCACACACCTAACGGACGGCTTTGTGGGACTGAAACCCGAGATGCCTGGCTTCTAGGCGCATCAGAGGTTAGTGTCCTACGCACCAACTATGCTTACTCTAGAGAATATTCCAAAAGAGACGTGACTGTCCTGTTCTGAGTGATGGTGATAGCAGTGACTTCCCGGGTGCCCCAGGTGAAAAGCAGCATTCATGGACGTGATGGTTTTAACGTTCTTTTACAACATCAGGTCTCCCCACTCCACTGCTCTGGCTAGGGCCCTGTTCCCACCAACATGGAACCTGGAGACCCGTTACCTAGAGGGTCCCCTGAAGGAGTCTCATTTGTCAGCTTCCCCAGGGGACGGTGTGTGGAGAGGCCTGGACAGTCACACAGCTCTGTGCAGAGCAGAACCTTCCTCCCAAGACCGCTGCGCCCCCCAGACCTGAAGGGACCATGTGGTGGGTCCCGCCACTCCCAGTCTCGCTGAGCCTGGTTCTGTGCAGGAGGGAAAAGACCACGATGAGCAAGAACAAGACCCACCTGTCCAGTTCTTTCTTCAGCACCGGGGTCTCCATGATGGAATACCTGGGCATGGGAGTTATGGGCACTTTTGGGGGCAAGTTCTTCTTCTGATTAGCACCTTCTGAGTAAAACAAAAGAAGCACAAATTTTAGCACAAGAGACAGGGATTTACTACATCTCATCCTGGTAGTAGTATCACCAAGAATACTGCACTTGAAGATAAGCCAACCACCATGCTGCTCCATGAAAGCAAGAAGTGACCACCCCCTTCACTGTGTGGAGTCCTGTCTTCCCGTCAGAAAGCAGCACGTGGCACACGCTGAGGCCCACGCTCGTCTGACTCTGACGCTGGGTGAACAGGGCTCCTGGAGTTATTCAATCCAACAGCCCAGCACAGGACTAAAGCTTCTGTGCATAAACTTAAAATGTCTTAATACACAGTGACAATGTGAGACAATGGACAACACTACCTTTAAGCAGGCGTAGACATCAGTATTTTTTCGTAATTCAACAATAAAAGGACAAATAACCCAATTAAAAAAAACATGAACAGACATTTATCCAAAGAAGATATACAAATGGCCAATAAGCACAGGAAAAGATGCTCAACATCATTAGCTACAAGGGAAATGCAAATGAAAACCACAATGCAACATCACTTCACGCTCGCTAGGATGGCTATAATAAGCAACGCAGAGCAGCAGGTGTCGTGAGGACGGGGAGAGTGGTGCATTCTCACTCGCTGTGCAGGGATGTAAATGGTGTGGCACCGTTGGAGGACAGTCTGGTAGCCCCTCAAAATGTTAAAGAGGACCCAGCAGTTCCACTCCTAAGTATACTCCTAAGAAAAATGAAAACTTACATCCACACGAAAACTTGAACATGAACGTTCATGAGCAGCGTTAATTAATAGCAACCAAAAGTGAAAACACTCAAATGTCTACTGGTGGGTGAATGGATAAACAAAGTGTAGTATATCATACAACTGATATTACTCAGACATAAAAAGGAATAAAATACCGACACATGCTACAACACGTATAAATCTTGAAAATCTCATGCCAAGTCAAAGAGGCCAGGCACAAAAGACATAGAGACAGGACACAGAGTACTGGTTGCCAGGGGCTGGGGAAGGGGAGCAGGGGGACTGTTCATGCGCATAGGATTTATTTCTGAGGTGACCAAAATGTTCTGGAATCAAACAGTGGTGATGGTTGCATAACTAAAAGTTGTTGAACTGAAATTTCATGATGGTTTAGTATATTCACTATAAATTTAGTGAATTCACTAAATTTTTAGTGAATGTACTAAACATGCTATAGTGAATATGCTAAAATGTATTTAAGTGAATATACTAAAATATATTTAGTAAAATACACTAAAAACCACTAAACTATATACATTTTAAAAGGGTGAATTTTATGGTATGTGAATTATATCTCAATAAGGCTGTTACTTTAAAAAGTATTTTACTGTAGTCCCAGCTACTCAGGAGGCAAGGCATGAGGTTGGCTTGAGCCAGAGGTTCAACACCAGCCTGGGCAACACAGCAAGACCCCATCTCAAAAAAAAAAAAAAAAAAAAAGACAAATGGGGAATGGGGCAAATTAGGAACATACAGACTTTGGTTCTTATTGTTTTTCTGACCATAGAGCCCTTAGAGACTGATGAAAACAGGCTCTATCGTCTGAATCTGTCTTGAAGCCCAGCTCAGATCCAGACCGAGGTACACAGGCCTAAAGCCTGCCGCAGTTCCCCCAGCACCGCCTGGGTGCTAGTGACATGCAAACTCTCCATCATCCTCCTGAAGCTGAAGCTCTGGCATGGGCAGGGCCACGTGTGTTTTGAAGCCCCTGCAGACTGAGGGACCGCCAGAGGCATCATTCCTCTGGGATTTCAGGAGGAAAGGAGCCACCTGGCCACAGGCAGACACCCACCTATACTTTGACCTCCTTGTTCTGGTCACTGCTCAGGCAGCCCAGCTCCTCCTGGGTCCCCCCTGGACGTGCCCAGCCAGGGAGAAGCATCGATATGGCCGACACCTGGGGCTTGGACTCTTCCCTAGTGACTGAAGAGAGCTGGGGGTGCTTCTCCCAACCTGCGGTACCAGGAAGGATGGAGATCATAGCCCCACACACCTGCCCTACCTGTTTTTGTTTTTGTTTTTTTTGAGACAGAGTCTCGCTTTGCTTTGTTGCCCAGGCTAGAGTGAGTGCCATGGTGTCAGCCTAGCTCACAGCAACCTCAAACTCCTGGGTTCAAGAGATCCTACTGCCTCAGCCTGCCGAGTAGCTGGGACTACAGGCATGTGCCACCATGCCCGGCTAATTTTTTCGATATATATTAGTTGGCCAATTAATTTCTTTCTATTTATAGTAGAGACGGGGTCTCGGTCTTGCTCAGGCTGGTTTCGAACTCCTGACCTCAAACAATCCGTCCACCTCAGGCTCCCAGAGTGCTAGGAATTACAGGCGTGAGCCACCGTGCCCGGCCTTTTTTTTTTTTTAAACTGAGGTGAAATTCACATAAAGCATTGCAAGGTGAACAATTCAGCAGCTTTAAGTCATTCACAATGTTGGGCAACCACCACCTCTACCTAGCTCCAAAACATTTTCAGCACCCCCAGAAGGACAGCTGTACCCAGTTAATCAGTCACTCCTCATTCCTCCTCCCTCCAGCCCCAGGCAACCGCACTGAAACTGCATTCTGTCTAGGTGGATCTGCCTTTTCTAGACGTTTCATGTCAACAAAATAATACAACACAGGGTCTTCTGTGACGGGCCTTTCTCACTCAGCATGTTTCCAAGGTTCACCCGTGTTGCGGCGTGTGTCACTGCTTCATCCCTTTTTACGGCTTCGTAGTGCTCCATTGCACGGATAGCCCACGGTTTGCCTGTTCCTCATTGGTGGGCATGTGGGTTGCTTCTGCCTTTGCTACTGTGACTAGCTGTGCCACGAACATGTGTCGAGTCTCTGAGCTCGTTTTCAGTTATTTTGGATATATACATAAGAGTGGAATTATGGGGCCCTATGGCCATTCTACGGATAACTGTTTGAGGAATGACACTTGCCCAATCTTAAGGCACGTGGAGATGCTAGCTGGACGGAGCTGTGACATCCGAAGGTGCTGACTCACTGTTCTGCAGCAGGGTCCAGAGATGCAGATTCCTAACCAGCGCCCACGTGAACACCGGGACCCAGGCACATTTGGGAAATGCTGACCTGCTGACTATGAAGTACATGTGTGATAGGCGACCGATTCTCCCTCTGCTGTGGAGGGGTCTGGGAGGCAACGGGAGGGTCTTGCAGCGGTTAGCAGGCCCTTCAGCAGCACCAGCCCCTTGATTGGCATCACAGATCGCCATGTACCCTTAGTGTAAGACAGCACAAAAGACAAAGCTGTCGTGGTAGCTTGCCCCTGTAGTCCCAGCTACTTAGGAGGCTGAGGTGGGAGGATTGCTTGAGCCAGGAGTTTGAGTCCATCAAGGGCAACACAGTGAGACCTGTCTCTTAAAAAAAAAAAAAAAACAGAAAGGACAATAGCCCTCCCCATCCCCAGCCCTTCTGGCTACTTACTGGGTGTCTCTGACTCTTCAGGCCTCTGGGCTGGACCAGGGCTCAGTGGCTCGGACACAGGAAGAGCCTCTGGAGACTTCTGCTCTTCCTCATCCCAGTCGTCCCACAGAGCTGAATTCAAAAAGCTCAGCCTGCTGCTGCCTGGGGAGCCGGCCCATGAGGATTTCTCCGGAGGTTTTCTTTGGGCAGCACAGCTTCCTCGGATAGGGGTGGAACCCAGGAGCCCCGGGGAGTGGCCGTCACTGCCGTCCAGGGCCTCCCTCACCCTGCTGTTGGGACTGCTGGTGCTCAGGGGGCCAGTCTGCTCGAGGTTCAAGCGGTCGATTGGAATCGGTGAGAGGGGCTCAACTTGCCAGCAGCAGTCATCAAGAGGAACTGGGGGGTCGCTGTCCAGCAGGGGGCTGCTGTGAGCCTGGTGGGAGGCCACCTCCTGCTCATCCTCACTGTCCTTAACCTCCACCACTTCGCTCACGGTGGCCGTCCTCAGCAGGCTCGGCCCTGGCGAGCGTCTCGGGAACTGCCCGGAGAGACGCACGTGGCCTCCTGAGGTGGGCCGGGCGGCCAGCGGAGAGGAGAGCTTGCAGTGCCCGGGGTGGGCACGGGAGGGGCTTCTGTGGACCTGCCTTCTGCTGTGAGACGTTCCTGGAGTGCTGGGGACGCGGCATGAGGACAGTGTCTGGGGCACGATCACTGACAGCGCCTGTGCCGCCTCCTTCCCTTCCCTATTTCCTAACGAGGCCGCAGGCACGTGCAGAGTCGCCTCGTCCCCTGACGTCCTGGCCCTGAGGCTGGTGATCTGGGTCTGGGATGAACGGTCACGGCTTCTGCTGGCCAGTGGGGTGGCAGGCACCAGCCACGAGGAGTCCGTGGTGCTGTCCTCGTCGGGGCTGCTCTCTCGGTCACCGAACAGCCAGGGGGTCCCTCTGATGCTCATGGGGCCCCGCTTCGCCGCCTCCTGCTGCGGCTCGGCTTCTCTTCCTGGCGGGCTTTGGGAACGTTCCTGATCAGCATCAACATCAATGACAGAAAACAGCTCAGAGGACTTGGGGCTGATGTCTAGAACTTTCTTTTCTTCTTGGGGATCACTAGAAACTGACTTTATTTTGGTTTGTTCTAGCTCCATCTCTTCATCTGAATCCAACAAAAGGATAATGTCATCTTCTTTGCTCACGTTGGATGCAGAATTCTGAGATCTGGGACTCAAACGGTCAGGTTTCGTTTGGGTTAGGTCAATGGACAGAGATTTTTCTGGGGATATCAGGACCCCCTTATTTTTGCGTTCCAGCATGGAACTACATTCTTTGCCTTTCTGGTGGCCTGGCTCTTTAAATAGCGTAAGGACACTGCTGTCCCTTTTCTGCTTTGATAGCACAGCTGGAGACGGTGACTTGGGGGAGGCCACATGGGAGACACCACTGTGCGATTGGGGTGTTGATGGGGACCACCCGCTTGTGTGATGAAGGTGAAGATGGGACCGGCTGGAACTCCCGCCCCGGGGCGGCTGGGACAGGAAGCAGCACGGGTGAGCCGGGGGCACCTGCTGGGGAGCAGGGATCTCCCTGCCCCTCTCCCTGACGGCGCCACCCTGTTCCTCAGGATCGCTTGTTATCCGGGACAGCTCAGAGAATTCTCCTGGAGTTGACGCAAAGAGCTGCTCGTCATCGTGGGCATCCTCCACGTGCGGAAGGGGACAGCCCCCAGGAGGGCTGTAGGAGCCGGAGTGACCCCCGGCCTCCATGGGTGCATCTTGCTCGTGGGTCTCTGTGCCCCCCTCCCTGTCTGAAGGCTGCCTCTGGAGGGGCCGCACGTTTTCCCAGTTGGTTGGGGCCTCCTCTCTTCCTGGCTCAGAGGACTCCATGTTCTCTGCTTTTTCCAACCGTTCATTGACCTGGACACATGCTAGGATATGCCCAGAGACTGGACTGTCCTCGTGGTGGTCAGTGTCCTCGTCAACGTCTGGTATTCTTGCCCCCTGGAGCAGCTTTCGCTGAGTAGCTGCAAATTCATAAATTTCTTCCATTTCTGCCTCATTCACCTTTTCTCTGTCGTCTTTGTGGCCCTTGGATTTCAACAAAGTCTCTGCTTCCTCCTCTTCATCTACCCACACTGACCTCAAGAGTTCTTGGAAGTTCTCTGCTCTGCTTTCACAATTCTTTTCTTCCTTCTCCTCCCACTGTGCGCCCTCTGAATCCGTCCTGAGGGGCACTTGCTCGCACAGGAGAGCAAGCTCACTCATGCCAAACCTGCAACGAAACACTGGGTGTCATGGCCACGCTATGAAGGGCTGGCGGGGCATCAGGACTGAGTCTGCGTGAGGAGGAACCACCACGATCAGCCCTGGCCTTTACCTGCTCCCCTTCCCCACGCTTCTGCCCAGGAACACCCCAGGCCACTTGGTTCTAGAAACCAGAGACTTACGACACTTTCATGCAGACTTCACTAACTACTGTGCATCAGACTGAGCGTGAGATAATAGGAACTGGCAGCGCTGCAAAACTGGAGAGCCCACACTCCTCGAGAGGCCGAGACACAGTGCCAGACCAACACAGCAGACTGAACGTGTCGGCAGCTTGGCCCAGGCTGATGGGCATGCCAGCTGGCCCCTGCACCAAGGCTCCGTGGTCTACTCAGGTCATTTCAAACGCCAGAGGCTGAGCCATTCCTTTCCCAAGAAAGCACCTGATGGATGACGTAGCCTCGTCGGGAGGTATAACAGAACAGCTGTTTCTGCTGAGCTACCTGCCATCTCTCCTGTGGATGCTACTGTGGACAAGCCAGGAGCTGCAAAGTCATGGGATACAGACTAAGCGCTTTCTCCACTTCCATTTTCTGGGTCTCAGGAAAGGACGGCTATGGTGCAGCTCTAGTGGCAGAACAATCCAGGAGCAGCAGTGCTGGGGATGGTGCCAAGGCCAAGAGTTACTCTCTTTTATCACACCCAGGGTGCCAAAAGCCATGGGACTCAGTAGCGTTCTTCCCATCCAGCGCTTGGTGCCCTGCAAATGTCCATTCTGGCCTGACTTTCAAGACTTTTAGGACTTTTCAGACCCTAACAGGTTCTGTTCAGGGTCATTGCTGGTCATGAACTTGGGATTAAAGGGTATAAACAAGGCTGGGCGTGGTGGCTCATGCCTGTAATCCTAGCACCCTGGGAGGCCAAGGCAAGCGGATTGCTCGAGGTCAGGAGTTTGAAACCAGCTTGAGCAAGAGCGAGTCCCCATCTCTAAAAAGAAAGAAATTAATTGGCCAACTAATATATATATATATAAAATCAGCCAGGTGTGGTGGCGCATGCCTATAGTCCCAGCTACTCGGGAGGCTGAGGCAGTAGGATTGCTTGAGCCCAGGAGTTTGAGGTTGCTGTGAGCTAGGCTGACGCCACAGCACTCTCTCTAGCTTGGGCAACAAAGCGAGACTGCCTCAAAAAAAAAAAAAAAAAGACCAGCATGAGCAAGTGTAAGACCTCATTTCTACAAAAAATAGAAAAAATTATCCAGACATTATGGCATATCTCTGTAGTCCCGGCTACTTGGGAGGCTGAGCCAGAACTGCTTGAGCCCAGGAGTTCAAGGTTGTAGTGAGCTGTGATGACACTACTGCAATCTAGCCAGGGTGACAGAGCAAGATTTTGTCTCAAAAACATAAAAAACATAAGAAATAAAATAAGCTAAAATAAAAGGTATAAACAGGACTTGAAGTTCTGATGGCCTCGTCCCTGACCTTTTTGCATACAACCCTCCCCTGAGCTATCAACTTGACGATCCTCACCAGTCAATTTTGAAGGTTTGGAGTACAGGGAAAGAACAATCCAGACCTGAGGGCCAGGGAGCTCAGCTCAGGGGCCAGGTGGGGAGGAAGGCCAGTGTCCGCAGTGTAGAGATAGTGCAGGAACGCAAGGGCGGCCTCTGTGCTCATGTCACTCAGCAGGACACGCTGGGTCAGAACCCCTTCTTCTACAGCAGAGAAACCTTCATTGTTCACCTGAGGGCGGAATACAATACAGAAAGTTTGTTTTTTTTTTTTTTGAGACAGAGTCTCGCTTTGTTGTCCAGGCTAGAGTGAGTGCCGTGGCGTCAGCCTAGCTCACAGCAACCTCAAACTCCTGGGCTCGAGCGATCCTTCTGCCTCAGCCTCCCGAGTAGCTGGGACTACAGGCATGAGCCACCATGCCCGGCTAATTTTTTTTTTTTTTATGTATATATCAGTTGGCCAATTAATTTCTTTCTATTTATAGTAGAGACGGGGTCTCGCTCTTGCTCAGGCTGGTTTTGAACTCCTGACCTTGAGCAATCCGCCCGCCTCGGCCTCCCAAGAGCTAGGATTACAGGCGTGAGCCACTGCGCCTGGCCTACAATACAGAAAGTTTATGGATCGAACAATCATAACTTGGAGTAAAGAAGACAGTCTCAGTGTCCTCTAAGCCTCTAGCCTTGTAAACAGCCCCCTGCCCCAGGGAAAGCATTAGCTGGTGTTGATGCATTTTTCTGGCCAGTAACTTCACAGGCCAGGCCTAACACTTCTCTGTTGTCAAATTGTATCAGGAATGGAAGTTTAAGAACACAGGCCCAAGTGTGGTGACTCATGCCTGTAATCCTAGCACTCTGGGAGGCCAAGGTGGGAGGCTCCTTGAGCTCAAGAGTTTGAGACCAGCCTGAGCAAGAGCGAAACCCCATCTCTACTAAAAATAGAAAAAGTTAGCTGGGCACCGTGGCGCATGCCTATAGTCCCAGCTACTCGGGAGGCTGAGGCAGGAGGATCATGTGAGCCCAGGAGTTTGAGGTTGCTGAGACCTAGGCTGACTGTCATGGTGGCACTCTAACCTGGGTCACAAAGCAAGACTGTATCAAAAAAAAAAAAAAAAAAAAAGAAACCAGTTAGTTTTCTCTTGATAGACATATCAAGGGGTCCAGAACTTTCTGACAGAGACTGGCAGCGGTTTGCTGGATTCCTGACATTCAAGTCAAATGCACATCAAAATGTGTCAGAGCTGAAGTCTCTGAAGACATTCATCAGAACTCAACCTTAAAGAGATCAGCCAGGAGACTATAATTATACAAATAGAGGAAAGCAGAAATAAGTCTCAGAAACAAAGGATTTCCATTGAAAAAGAAGGAAAATCTGGTATTTCCCGATCCTGAGGCCCTCCTCTCACGGTCCCTCACAGTCCCCGGACTTCCCTCTGAGCCTTTGTTGCTTCTCCACGAGTCTTCTCCCTATCGTGGCAGCAGTGGGGAGAGTGGGGAGGGGGTGGGGAGATCATGGGGGACAGGAAGTGAGGGAGACGGGGAGGGCCCGGGAGAGGTGTGCGATGGCCCCCACGTACTTACATACTGGCTGAGAAGCGGACATCGGGCATAGAGCACAAACTTGTGAGCGTGAAGCACCTCCCCGCTGTCCGTCTGGAACTGGACATCACTCAGGTGTGGGTTGTTGACCATGGCGCCAAAGTCAGCAACCAGCAACCCGAGGGAGAGCTGAAACGGACGAGGAAGAGCCATCATTGCCATCTAGGGCGCTTCTCTGAGCTGTGCGACGCGCCCCCAACTGAGGCAGTGCCAGGGTGCCCTGGGACCCTCGCTCTCCTTCCAGGATGGTTCCTGTGCTTGATTCCACCTTTGAGTTACCTTCAGGCACCCGGTGATACAGAACAGGAAAGCACTAACCTCTCTCATCTCTACTGCAGCACATTCCCTGACCTGAAACAGGGCAGCAAGTGGAGAGGGAGGACAGGCAGGAGAAAGCTCCAGGCACCGTGGCGGTCAGGCTAACGGGTCTCACGTGCTCACACACTCTGCACTCACAGCAACCCAGGGAGGAAACGTGCCAGCCTGCTGTGACACATGAGGACCCTGAGTCCAAGCAGCTCGGGGACCTGGCCAAGAGGCGAGCCCCAGGTCTGCTCCCCCTGCCTATGTGCGATGACGTCACTAGCTGGCCCCTGTGCAGTGTTCGGTTGATGCTGATATCTTAACGGCAAGAGTTCCACTCTAAGGAAAACCCAGCCCCCACCCCAGTCCATCCCAATGCAGAATACGGCCGGAGGGCTGGAGGCCAGGCCCATACTTGCTCAGCTGTGCTCTGGAACCAGCCCAGGACCCGCACCTGGAGGCAACCGCACCAAGAGACAGTGGTCCCCCTGGACTCCCAGAACAAAGCAGGCTCTGCGGGTTCGACTAGTGGGGTGATCCACAGAGTTCAAAGACAGAAAGGACAGAAAGGGCAGGGCTCCAGAGGGGAGACAGGCTCCGTGCACACTCTCTGCCTCTGCTCACAGGCTGTCAGTGTGCATCAGCTCTCTGGGAAGCAGAGATGCTCTTTGAGAGACCAGAGCATTCATGGCAAGGCATGGAGGCCATTGGTGAGCCGACCTCGCCCTGTACACAAGCCTTACGACAAGCAAGAGCAGCCAGGGCCACAGAGCAAGGGGCAGGGCCTGACAGCTCAACGCGTGGCAGGAGGAGCCTGCTCCTTACCGAAGCGTGGCTCTCTTCCCTCTCTAGGTGCTTCTCCTCGGGTGGCAGGACAAACCCGGTCAGTGGAAGGTCACTGGGCACCAAGTCCAACCCTGGGATAAGGACGCACAAGTTAAAGGAATGTCATCTCCCAGTAACATCAACTGTTAAGCAGATGGCATCATCTGCAGGCTGAGCTGGACCGAGAGGTATGGTGGTACTTGTTGCCTTGAGGGCATCTTTTAAAACAACCCCCCCACAAACTGTTTTTATCACCCCCCAAACAGGGAGATAAAAGAATAGTAAAATAGACATTAGCCCAAAGGATCACTTGCTGTGGGCAGACGGCTCTGTCCTTGGTTAAAGTTTAAGGAAAACTGCAACAGGCCTGCCTGCATCACATTCACCTTTGAGAAAAAAATGAAAGCACCCAGGGACTGCACACCCTCCCATTGTCCCGGGATGAGCTGCCATTACCGAGGCACAAGGTCTGGTCCATCCCAGCCTAGGCCCCAAGGAGGGGAGGTCCCAGAGGGCAGGGCTGGCCCCAGCCTCCACCCAGTGTCTCACCTGTGGTCCCTCCCAAGACAGCCAGGTGCCCACTGCCAGGCAATGGGCTGGCGCTCAGCCCCTCCCTTGCCAGGTCCACCAGGTCCTGCAGGGCCTGGTGCTCCCTCTGGCTGGCCGATGGTGATGGGTCTCCAGGGCTGCAGCCCACAGAGGGGGTGCTGTGGAGAGCAGGTGGTCTTCCCACGCCCGGCTCTGACTGCTCAGGGGGCACCAGTGGCACCACGGGCTTCTGCGTGAGGCCCTGAAAGAAGTTGGTAAGCAGACTGACCATGTGGTTGCTACACACCCTGCCGAGGCCACGACATGGTGTGCACAGCTGGCCCTGAGACTGCAGGGCAGGATGAGGGTCGTGGAGCACAGAGGGTCCCCAAGGACACCAGCCATGGCCTGGAGCAGCCCCAGAACGCTTTTCTGTATCATTGCGTGTCAACAGGCTGCTTTGTCATGGCCAAGGACAGCCCTGTGGCATCCAAGTCTGCAGAGAGGTTTATCAGAGGGCCAGAGGCGGTCCCCAGGGGCTGCCACTCTCCTAACATTACCTGAATGAGGAGTATCAACTCCAGGGCCACCTGGAACAAGACTGTCTGGAGCTCGTATTTATAATGCATGTTCCTGGGCCCCCCAGACGTTATCCCAGCCACCCTGGGGCTCTGTGTTTTAAGTAAACTCCAGGTAAACCAGCAGGAATGCAAAGATAAATAAAACAATAAATAGGCTCCAGGAACACACTAAGTTGTGCAAAGCAAGGCCCCCTCTCTGCGCTTCCCAGGAAAGGCATCTGGCTGCAGCACATGGAAATAAGCTGCGCCGACGCCCCTTGGATTCCTCCCTTTCCTTGGACTTTCCATCGGCTCAGACGCTGAAACCCAGTGTGGCGATTCCGGAACTGCCCACCTCTCCCCACAGCCCGTCCGCACGTGCCCAGAGGGGAAGGGCTCACCGAGGCAGGCTGCTGGGGCACGAGGGGCGGGACCAAGCTGGCCGTGTAGAAGGACTCCATGGCCCAGGATCCGGTCAGGGCGCTGCCCTCCCACAGAAAGTTCTGCTTCCCCTCAGGTGGTGGCAGACACCAGCTGGCCTTTTCCAACTCTTCCTTTAAAACCCTGCTGGGGGGAAGCCGTGGCGTGCTGGACAATTCTGCTTCCTCGGAAAGCAGCAGGGCCACTCGCTCCTGTATCTGCCTGCCTGTGGTCTCCGAGTCCTGGACCAACAACCTCGGGGGCGAAACCAGGGTTTTCTTCTTGCGACTTTTCTTCTCTAGAGAGAAACAGAAGCAACAGGGTCAACAGTGGAATCTGTCCACTCGTCCTGGGACCCACCAGTGGTCTCTTCCCAGGGCCACTGCTCCTGGCCACAAGTACCTGCTCCTGGCCGTATCCTCGCGGAGAAAGCACTTTCTAGTTTGAGCGCTGGCACAGCCGGACACTGCTCCATCTCAGATCGGGACAGAGCCATGGCCACCAGCAGATCCTCGCACGGCGCCTCGTCAACTTTCTGTCTCTTCTGTGGCTCCTTCTTGTTGGTGGCTCCTTTCCGTTTCACACCCCCAACGTGACTGCTGGAGCTGAAAGGCAGCCAAAGGGAAACGGCAGTGTGACTGGAGGTGCCCACACTTCTGACGCTGGTCCCACGACTGAAGGGGCTCGGGGCAGCATGCGAGGGGTGCAGGGGCGAGTGGGCGCTCAGACCAGCACCTGTACCCTGACGACCTGAGTTCCAAATGCCCAGGCTTGGCCTTAGGGGGCGGGAGGCTCAAAGACCCCATGAGAGAGTCCAGCTCCTATAGCTTTCTACTCTGACAACCTCCTAGAAGGACCCCACACTCATCATTTTCTTTCACTACTTGGAGATATTTTAAAAGCAGACATATTTTATCTGAGCAGGTTGTTTCAGTGCAGTCCTGCCAAGAGGCAAGCAATGGCTTGGACAACGTTTATTCTAAGGCCTCAAGGCTTTCAGCCCTATGATGCTCATGTGGATATGCTAAATACACTCAGGCTCACCAGCTACGAGACTCCACCTCTGCCTTCTGTGGTCTCGGCCCTAGCCCAGCTCAGCAGCCCACAGCCCCTGTGCAAGGCAGTGGCTAGAACATGCAGAGCCATCGCGCTTGGCTTTCTCTTTGCTTCTGACAGCTGTCAAAGGAAGAAGTTACAAACCTAGAAAAGTCTAGGGCCCAAGCTGCTTTTGCTCCTTACAAAGTTGGGGTCAACTCTGGTATCCTCAGTGGCAGGGGCAGCGTGGAGCAGAGCTGGCCTGACCCTCCGCCACGTGAGTGGCTGTGGTTTGCATGCCAAGGACTTGTGTCCTAGCTGTCCCAGCAAGGCGTCCTATTTTAACACTTAAGCATTAATTCATGCAATTTAAAAAAAAATAGAGTTCTGTGCTTCTGTCTCACCAACTCTTTGAACTGTGCTGAATAATCTTACATTAACCATGTAAGAATTGGGCTACACTGAGGTGGAGACCCTGCCATGCAACAAAGACATGGATGCGGTAAAGTGAACGTCAAATCCCTAGAATCCTTGTCACTAGAATCTGTAGACACACCTGAATGGGCCATTCCAGCCTTCAAAGAGAATTGTCCCCTCCTCAATCCCTTCTAGACCGTGCCCCCTCTCAACCTCAGATGAATCAAAGAGGCCTCTACTATCCCAACACTATAAAAAGGTTTTTCTTTTTTTAAACAAAAGTCATTATTTGGTTTGTTTTCTTCCTTTTCTTTTGACTCACCTAGATGCTGGTGGGCTGCCGCCCCCCTCGGGCCGAGCTGTCTGCAGCCGCACGGCCTGCAGCAGGAGTTGGGGGCCGACCTCCATCTTCACTGCACACTGTTTCAAGTGACTGATTCTGCTCTTTAAGGTGAGAAACGGTTTGCCACAAATCGGGCATTCGGGGATCTGAGGCATGGATGGTCTCGGTGCCTTTTCAGCTTCATCCAAGCACCTGGAGGAAAACAGTAAATACAGGAGAACTATGTTCGCCACGATGGGGTTGTAGAAAGTGTGGATCCATGTCAACATGGACGTGCTATGGCCAAAGCATGTTCTCAAAGCCAATCCCCTCCACACAGCCTGTATAGTGCAAGGTTGTCAGCCTCCAGACGCTACATATCTGCTAGCAAAGCTAGCTAGAGAGAGCAAGGATTGGTTAAACAGAGTTACCTTGGGACCCAGAAATTCCACCGCTAAGTACATACCCAAAGAGCCAAAAACACGTGTTCAAATAGACACACAAAACACATGTGCACAGCAGCTCCATTCACTATACCCAAGAGGTGGAAACGATTCCCCGTCTGCCCATGGATAAAAGGACAAACACACCGTGCTCTGTATACACAACGAGATATGACTCAGCCATAAAAAGGATGAAGCACTGATACACACACTACATACGTGAACCTTGCAAACACTGTTAAGTGAAAGAAATTAGACACAAAAGGACAAGTATTACGTGACTCTGCTTGTGTGAAGTGTGCAGTATAGGAAATCCATACAGACAGAAGGTTGGTTAGCGGTGGCCGGGGCAGGGAGGGGACAAATGGGAGCGACTGCTGGTGGGTGTGGGGTTTCTTTTGGGGGTGATGAAAATAACCCAGAATTGATTGTGGTGATGGCTGCACAACTCTGTGAATATACCAAAAGCCATTGAATTATACACTTTAAATGGCTGAAATGTATGGTATGTGAATTATAGCTCAATAAAGTTGCTGCAGAAAAGGGGTAGGTTGACAAGAAAACTGAGGTACTGTCGTCAGGGTGAGGAGTCCCGGGGATTCTGTGGCGTGCAGGGGAAGGGCCCGGGTCCAGACTGCTCCCACCTGTTCACGTGCTGCTCCCTCCGTGCCACGTTCATGGCTGAGAGGTCCTTTTGACAGATCTGGCAGAAGAACAACCCCTTTTCCTCCAGGCTGTCGTCGTGCGCAGCCGCTCCTCCCCGTGCAAACTCCTGCTGCAGCGCCAAGGCCACGGCAGCATCGCTCTCTGTGGCAGGGAGCCCAGACCCGTGTTCTGCAGAGAAGCACGGAAGAGCCATGAGGATGAACCCCAAAGGCAAGCTCACCCTCAGAACTCTGTGTCACACGTGGGCACCAGGCAGCGCACCACGAGACCGGGGACCGGCTCTGTGCTGCCTGGTGACACGAGCACTAAACGGGGCTCCCAGAACAGCACTTCCCACACTTTAGTGTGCGCTCAGATCACTGGGAAGCTTGTCAAAATGTGGGTGCGGGAGCGGGGGTCCAGGTGCGGGCTGGACACTACATTTCCAACAGCCCCCAGGCTTGGCGACACTGCTTGTCTAGGACCACTCTCTGTGTATGAAAGCCTGAAGAGCTTGCCTTTCATTTTCCCCATTTCTGCCAAAATTGCCTACCTCAGGCACTGTAGGTTCACCAAGCTCCTAGTCCAACAAACTTAGGTTTTCTCATCGAAGCTTAACCTCTCCCTACTGCTGACCATTTACTGCCCATCATAGAACCAGGGCAGAGTAAAACGCTTTCCGTGATTAAAAGGCAGCGTCTCTTACTCAACATCAGACCCATGGAGGGAGGGACTGATTCTGGTCTTGAGATGGCTTCCAAGGCAGCCCCTCTGATATTGCTGGAGCAGACCCTGGGCACTCACAGAAGGTATGCCCTGAGAACTTCATAAACCCCCAAGTTCGTGAATATTACTACAGCCGACCTTGCCTGCCACTAAAGCCAGAAGAGCAACACACCTTCATTTGGTGCCCTGTTTTGTTTTTTCAGCAAATAAATGATTTATCTCTTCCTGAGCATTTGTTAGGTGTGATGCGAAGAGACATGAGTCAAATGTAGCACAGGTGCTGGGCTCACGCGCCGCTGGGCAATACCTCTGCACCTCCCATGTGCGCTGCAGACTGATGCTCAGCAGGGTGTCAAACTGCTGCATGTGTGAACCTTTGGGGTGGCCTGAGCATCCGTGCTCTTACAGTAAAATGTGCAAATGCAACACCAAGAGCCTACATATTTATTAGCTGTAGGTCTGTCAATACGATTCTGTTTCTTTTCCTTTCATATATTTTTATCAGAAATGAGGATCCATACTATCTAGGGGATAAAGAATAGGATGTCCTGACATTATGTGCCTTTTGGGGTGTTGCAATATGAAATACACAGCACCTGTGAAGCACTGTTGCCAGACTCTATCCTGGAGCCAATCAGACCTCTAATTTACTTACGATGTCCTGACAATCCAAGGGATAGAGGAAGGGGGTAAATGATGCCATGAAGAAATAATCAAATCCAGAAAGTGGGAAATGTTGTAAGACAGTTAGCCTAGAGTCTTCAAAGACTCAGTGTCGGCTGGGTGCAGTGGCTCACAGCTATAATCCTAGCACTTTGAGAGACTGATGTGGGAGGATTGCTTGAGGCCATAAGTTCAAGACCAACCTGAGCAACACGGCAAGACATTGTCCCTATAAAAAATTTAAAAATTAGCCAGGCATGGTGGCATGTTCTGTAGTCCTGGCTACTAGGGAGGCTGATGCAGGAGGATCGTTGAGCCCATGAATTAGAGGCTGCAATGAGCTATGATGCCTCTGCACTCCGGCCTGGGCAACAGAGCAACACTCTGCCTCAATAAAAACAAACTAACAAAAATAACACCCAAAAAGTCAGTGTCATGGAAAACAAAAGGAGGAGGGGACTGTTCTAGAATCAAGACTGCTGAGCTATAGCAATATATGATAAATATATTAGCCATACTGAATCTTTGTTCAGAAAAAAAAAAAAAATAGAAACCTGCTACAAAAGACATCCTTGAGACAACAGAGGAAATTTGAATATGAACTGGATTCCAGGAAGTATTACGGAATTAGGTGTGATAATAGTGTCGTGGTTATGCTGCAGAATCTAGCAGTGAAGCACAAATCGTCTATAACTTACTTTCAAACCATACAAAAAGAGAAAATATGTACATTTATAGAGATATAAAAAAATATATGGCCAAATGTTAACAATTGTTAAATTTAGGTTGAGGATATAGGGGATTTCATTATAATTTTTTAAAACTTTTCTGTAAAGAAAAAATTTCATAATAAAAACTTAAAATAAAAATAAAATAGAAGAGTTACCTTGTCAATGAAGCTAGTGGGGACATGACCCAAAGGGACCTTTTATTCTCTGGCTATATCCAAGGTGTTAGCAAAGGTAAAACACCAGGCCCACAGCAGAAACCCACCAGACGCCAGTTTCTCCCTGCCTCCCTTCATCAGAGTGTAACCCATCTCTGTTTGGAAGACAGACACACACCCATCATACCGTTCCCTGACACTGTCTCCTCTTGAGGGCCCTTTGGGACATTTTCTTCTGATGCCAATTCAAAGGAGCACTCTTCCAAAACATGTTTCAAACGCTCGGGGTCTGCTCTCTTGAACTGCTGCATTCGCTGTAGGACCAGCTCTGCCGTGCGGGGTTTGGAGGGACTTGGCGACGCTGTCGTCAAACAGGAAGGAGGTGGCTGAGAGTTGCTGTTGGAAGTACTCTCTGGCAAGGAGGAAAATATTCACAAGTATCTGTTGTAGCTGGAAAAATAAAAGACTTTTCCACCAAACAGAGGTTAGACCCACGTTTCAAAGGGGTCCTTTATCAACTAGTTTAGGTTTGGCTCACAAATGTGAATAGGACTGATTGCTTGTCGGTAACTTCTTTGTTTATGGCAATGCAGACATAAATATCAATGACAGGAGGGGAATGGGGAGTGACTGCTAATTGAGCTTGGGGTTTATTTTTGGGATGATGGAAATGTTCTAAAGTTAGGAGGTAGTTATAGTTGCACAACTGTGAATATACTAAAAACCACTTAACTGTACACTTTAAAAGGGTAAATTACATGGAACGTGAATCCCAATAAAGCTGTTATTAAAGACACATTAATGACAAAGATTTACGTGTTTCTAGATCAGGATCCACAGATGGCCTTCAATGGAGATCCATGAGACCCCCTGAAGTTGTGTGTCAATTTCACAGGTATGCATATGGGGTTTCTGGGGAATCATGAATAGCTTTCGTCAGACCTGCAAAGGGAGCAATAGTGTTGATCAGGCAACACTCTTGAAGCCTTACAACAGTCTCTGCGAGCTAAGACTTCACCACCACTTTACTGAGAAGTGATGCTGGCCACACTAGAAAAAACGTTAATTAATATCAGGAAGTGAAGGGGAGGAGAATTTAGAAACAGAACTCAGGAGCCCAAAGAGCTTGTGGTGTATTATATATGCAAGGCTGGCTTCCAGTTCTGCATGAAGAAGGTATGCTAAGCACATAGCTCAATATACCAGGGGCGGCAGAGCAAGAAAGCTGCTTTAGACAAACAAAACAAAACAAAACAAAAAGAATAAAAGGTCTTTGGAGGAGAAAAAGGAAGGACCTGAAGATTCTCCTGGGACTTAAATCGATACAGCACCCCCCCCCCCCCCCGGCAGCCTAACCAGATGGGTGGCCTATTCCAATTTACCAACTTCGGAATTAATTTAAGAAAATGAGAGAAGCAGCATTATTTTCATGTTTGTGTAACTTGTGTCAACCACACAACATAAACATTCATAGGAAAATCTGAAAAAGCAGAGGATTCCGAACATAATCATGTGAAAAATTCATACAGGGGTTATAATCTTTATGACTATTGTTTAAAACAAGAGTCAGCAAACTATGGTCATGGGCTGGCTGCCTGTTTTTGTAAATAAAGTTTAATTGGCACACAATCCTCCACTCGTTTATATATCGTCTACTGCTGCTTTTTCACTACAACAGCAGTTGAATAGTTTTGACAGAGACTGTATGGCCCACAAAGCCAAAATATTTACTATCTAGCCTTTTTCACAAAGTTTTTCAACCCCTGGTTTAAAATAGTACAAATCACCTCTGGTTTCCTCTGGAAAGTTCTGGAGGTGGTTTTTGCCTGGTTACCTGTCTGAGTGGTCTGTGCTCTTTCCCAGAGCACAGGCTGATTTGGAGCAGGGGCAAGCACACCTCCCTCCCCATTCACAGTGACAGCCGTTTCACTTGCTTGCAACTTGATTGTCCCTTGCTTTTTAGTCCTAGGGGCCTGGCTGCCAGACCGAGGTTTCTTCTCTGCAGGGCCCTGAAGGTTTTTGCTCTTGGTAGCAGCTTGTTTGGTCCTTTTCAATTTGCCTCTTATCTGAGTGCTGTTTGAGGCTTTTTTTGCCTTCCTTTCTCCTAACACTTCCTTGGTTCCATTTTTTTTCACCCTTTGGAAAAAGCTGGAGCAAAGTTCTTTAAAATCCTCATCGGACTCATCCATCATCTGACCAGGTTTAAGGCTTTCAGGGTGCTCTTCAGACGAATGACAGTCAGTCTTGGGGCACGTACACAGGTGAGAACGTGAACCCAAGCGTAAGCCTAGTTGAACCTCATTCACACTCACAACCTCATGGTTCCTCTCTGCTCCTCACTTAGATACTTGGGAGAGTCTGCACCATTGAACAAGAAGTATTGTTTTCCTCTCCATAATGATTTAAATATCTTTGTTCAAGCTGGGCCAGTGATTAAATAACATGTTTAAAGCTTTCTTCTGTTAAAGTTTCACGATTGAGAGAATGTTTAGTTGTCCAACAGATGCCTCTGAAATAGAAAATCTATGAACTTGATGTTCAGATGATTCTCCAAGATCTCCATGGTGATAAAGCACATTGGTTCATTTAATTTCATATCTGTGGAAAACCAAAAGCATCTAAGTGTAAATAGACAGATATTATCATTTCATGTCATTTCTTCCAGGAGGTATGAGGACATGTGGGTAAGGGAGAAGTCTTCAGAGTAACTATACTGTCAAATACTCAGTGCAGCCTGGTTAACGCAGTCTAATCATCCCATAGGACATCACTACATAACAGATGAGAGGGCTCTAGAAACCTGTCAAAGCATTTTCTTCCAGAAAATTATGTGCATCACGGGAGAGTGTTGTTTTTACTGAAATTTGGGGAACAAACCCAATGAAGGGCAGTCACCACAGAAACAGGATGATTCCTGAATCTAGAAAAACTATCTCCTAACTGGCCTAAGACCCCCATCTGTTAGAGGCTCTATCAGCAAACACTACAACATGAGAGACAGAAAGAGAGAGAAAATTACATGTCCCTGAACACTTGAAAGAGAAAAAGGCCACTTTTCTCTATCTTCTCAGCCCAAGAAGAGCTCTCTAAACTTGGATGACTGGAATATTGCCCATAAGCAAAGGTTGGGCTTCTGAAAATGATTATTCACTTTAGCACACAGCTAGTGAGCTTTGAAATTCAAAGCGGAATGACCTAATGACACAAAGTTCTTCATTTCAAATATAATAATGCAATCTCTGCTGTCGAAATAATCTGATTAATCATTTTGTTTTTGAAAGCTAGGTAGATACCCCTACCTAGAATCTACCTTGTATGGCTGGCTCATTCTCATCTTCCATGTCACTTCCTTAGAGAAGCTTCCCCTAGTCCTGTAAGTGGACCCTCCCCCCTCCATTAATCTCTATGGTCACTCACTGTTTTCACAATAGCATTTGTCACAGGTTATAATTATATGTAATAGATAATATTTATTGAATGCTTGCTGTGTGCTAGGCACTGTTCTAATTGCTTTTCAAATCTTTAACTCATTTAATCTGTACAACAATCCTTTATGGTAGAATCTACTGCCATCCTCTCTTTACAGCACAAGTTGGAACCAGGCACAAGCAGAATGAGGAACTGGCTCAAGTTCACACAGCTTCTAAAGTGGCAGGGCTGGGATCAAACCCAGGCAGTGTGGTTCCAGAGTATCTGCTCTTATATTTTTATTCATCAACTTATTATCTGTCCCCTACTAAGCTCAACACTTCAGGAGGGCACAGACCCAACTACTTCACTTTGTATTCTCTTCAGCTTATCCGGAGCCTGACTTGTAGTAAGGCAAGTTGGACAAGTATTTGTTGAATTCGTGAACTGCAAAAAGTTTGATGTAATCGGAGTGAAGAGAAAGTGGTAGGAGAGAGGGCTGCAGGGAGAGACTGAGAGTAGTTCCCAAGGGCCTAGAATGTCAGACTAAGCAAACTGAATTTTATGCCGTTGGATGTGGTGAACCGTTAGAACAAATTCCTCCCTCCACAACTATGTTGAGTCTCCACATCTCTGTTGATATGAGTCTTAGAGCAGTTCCATCTCCTACGGGTTCTCAATCAATATGTGCCAAATGACATAACGGATCCACAAGACTGCAAGCTTCCAGAGAGTAGGGGTCTTGTCCCACAACCTCGGCGCCCGGCTCACACACAGCAGGCGCGGAATGAATGAATGGATCGGTGCGGGGTGGGGGGACCCTCCCGCTTCCCCCCGCCTGGCCACCTACGGAAAGGGGGCTGAGGGATCCGCCTGGGAAAGGGCTGCCAGGACTCTGACGGCTCTAAGGCCAGACGGAGAATCCCGATCGCCGGGTCGGCCCCGGGCCGTGACCACCGAGGATATCCGGATCCTCCTCCCGTCCTCCCTCCAGGCGGGCACCGGCCCCTCTCCACCCAAGCGCGGGTCCTGCCTCTCCGCCGCGGCTGCGGGCCTGCCGAAGCCAGGGGGCCAGCGAGGGAGGCAGGCGAGAAACGCTATTCTCCCCAAGGAGAGCGAAAACGGCCCGAGGTGACAGGATCGCCTCCTCTCGGGTGCGGACTCCCGGCCCCAAAGCCCGACTCCTCCTACCTCCGGCGCCGCCGCGGCACCTTCTCAACCGAGAGCCACGCGCCTGCGCATGCGCTGCCCAGAGCCTCCCCCGCGGAGAACTGCGTGTGCGCCGGCGCAGAGCGGCCTGGTGGTGGGAAGAAGCGTCTCGCTTCCCATCTTCCTCCGCGGCTCCGGGCGCGGGCGCGGGCGCGCGGCGTCGGCGGCGGGTGCTTCCGGGCCGCGCCGGGCGGGGCGAGGCCGGACCAGGCGGAAGCTGCGCCTGACGTGCTGGGTGGCCGCAGCCCGCGCCCAAGTAAAGTCTATTACTTGTAGAGGAAGAGTCGGGTGAGTTTACGGCGCTGTCGCAGCAGTTTTAAGAGAAAGTCTGGTTGGCACTCAGGAAAGGTTTGCTGAGACAATGGCGGCCCCCTCGGAGCGCACCTGCCTGTGGAGCAGACGAGTTACCGGAGTGAGGGGAATTCCGAGAGACCCCAAGTCCAGCCTGGCAGGCCCGGGGGAGCTTCCCTCCTGGAGCGGGTAGCGTGAAAGTTGAGGCCCGGTGGTCGGGTAGCGTTAGCTACGGGAAGAGGGGATTGTGCCGCGCGTGCCTGGGGGTGCGGAGTTGTCTAGGGCTTGAGGGGAAGATGAGGCTGGAGGGGTCGCCGCCACGGGCTGAAATTTGAGGGACTTCATAAGTCGTATTAAGGGTTTGAACTTCAACCTGGGGTCTTCGGGAACCAATTAAGATTTCGTTTTCAAAGGCCATTCTAATTGCAGTGTGAAAATGGATTGGGGGAGCAAGACTGGAGGCCACGAGACCCATTAGGAGGCTGCTACAATCTGGGTGAGAAAAGGGAGTGCCCGAGTTAGGAAGTGGAGTGAAGAGAATGGAGACCTCTTAAGGTGTTAAGAGTTCTCATCGCCGACTTGTTTGTTGTTATGACTTGCAGGTTTGTGGCCTGAGCATCTGAGTGAATGTGATCCCAGTCACTGAAAAGATCACAGAAGTGTGAAGGAACAGGTTTGGAGAGAAGATAATATGTTTATTTAAAGATGTAATTCACATATCAAAATTCACACTTTAAAGTGTGCAATTCAGTGGTTTTTAATACATTTGCAAGATTATGCAGCCATCATCACTATCAATTCCAGAACATTTTATTACTTCCAAATAGAAACTGCCGTGCCACCGTTATTCACTCCTCATTCCCGTTTACCCCATTCCCTGGCTGTTACTAATCTGCTTTCTGTTTCTATAGGTTTCCTGTTCTGTACATTTTATATACATGGAATCAAACAATATGGGTGGCCTTTTCAGTCTGGCTTTTACTAAGCATGATTTTAAGGTTCATCCATGTTGTAGCATGAATCAGTACTCCATTCCTTTTCGTGGCTGAATAATATTCCAGTGCATGGATATACCACATTGTTTCCCTGTTTATCAAATGATGGACACGGTTGTTTCCACTTTTTGACTTATAAATAATGGTGCTATGAACATTTCTGTACAAGTTTTTGTGCACTAGGAGTGGAATTACTGGGTAAAACTACATTTAGTTCTGAATATTGAGTTTCAAATGCTAATAGGACTTTCAAGTAATTTTTCTGTATAAAGGAGTTAGGTGTTACTTGCTTTCCGGCTTTAGAAACCTATTAGGTTGTAACATGGTTTCCACTTGGATTAGTTAAGTAGATAAGATTGGTAGGCAGCTCAGTGGCATGAATGGAGTTGGGGTCAGGTGTCTAAAATCCCTTGGGATTTTAATTTATAGAGGTGGACTGAGTGACAAGATGGAGAGGCCAGTGCCATTGAAAGAATTTATTACTTAACATTTCCCAAGAAAAGAGGGCATGCCACAATATGCAGAGCCACAGGGGAAGCGTCAGCTTTTGATCAGGAAGAAGTAGAAACAAGGAGAAAGCTAGGCCAGAGCCTTTATGGGGTTTCCACAGGAATAACACGTCAGGGCAGAGTAGACATTTTAGGATTGGGTAATTTAAATACTTCCAGCTGGCTTTAACTTTGGGTGTTTTCTAGTTGCCTGGTACCTGGCCATGGGCTGGTTTAGGACAGGAGAAATAATTGGCTTCATGTGTGAGAGTTAGATAAAGGGGGTGGTAGGCTTACTATGAAAGGTATGCTCCCCAGTAAGTTGTTTACTCTCTTTAGTAATTAGCTAGTTCTGAGAGAGTTTTTCTCTGCCAGTAAGATTTTTTAAGATGTCAAAATATAAGATACAGAAGAAGGTTTTAAATGACTAGTACTCATGGACATGGCTGGGATAATGTGAAGGACAATTGTAAAGGTAGAGATTATTTTTCTCCAGTAAGATTGAAAACAGAGTACCTGAATCCTATTTAGGATTTAAGCTTCTTAGAATCTAGACCAGTAAAGGAAGCTCTGTCTCCCTATCCCAACCCAAAATCTGGCTATATTATTTATTTACATAAAATAAGTTAGTTTAGGCTGGGCACAATGGCTCATGCCTATAATTCTAGCACTCTGGGAGGCCGAGGCAGGCGGATTGTTTGAGCTCGGGAGTTCGAGACCAGCCTGAGCAACAGCGAGACCCCGTCTCTACTAAAAAAAAAAAATAGAAATTAGCTGGACAACTAAAAATATATCGAAAAAATTAGCCGGGCATGGTGGCACATGCTTGTAGTCCCAGCTACTCAGTAGGCTGAGGCAGTAGGATCGCTTGAGCCCAGGAGATTGAGGTTGCTGTGAGCTAGGCTGATGCCACGGCACTCACTCTAGCCTGGGCAACAAAGTGAGACTCTGTCTCAAAAAAAAAAAAAGGTGAGGACTGTTCTTGTGTTTGGTAAACCTTATAGGGTTTATCTGAAAGAGAAAATGGATGCAGAAGTACCTGGAAAAATTAAGAATTTTACTCCAAGTAGAGATTCTGTTTTCCTAGTTCATAGGAGTCGATCATTTTTGGGTCCGGGGAAAAAACAAAGGTTGAATATGCCGATTGTCACTTCCTTGCCCTCCTGGAATATTTCCTTTTTGAAAACTTTTGGTATCTTTTACTGAGTTAATGTTTTAAACAGTTCTGAGGAAGAATTGAAAGGTTTTTGTCCCAGGTCTGTAGTTTGATTATAAATCAAAAAGCCAAAACCTGGCCGGGCGCAGTGGCTCATGCCTGTAATCCTAGCACTCTGGGAGGCTGAGGCTGGCGGATTACTCGAGGTCAGGAGTTCAAAACCAGCCTGAGCAAGAGCAAGACCCTGTCTCTACTATAAATAGAAAGAAATTAATTGGCCAACTAATATCTATAGAAAAAATTAGCTGGGCATGGTGGCGCATGCCTGGAGTCCCAGCTACTCAGGAGGCCGAGGCAATAGGATTGCTTGAGCCCCAGAAGTTTGAGGTTGCTGTGAGCTAGGCTGACGCCATGGCACTCACTCTAGCCTAGGCAACAAAGCGAGACTCTGTCTCAAAAAGAAAAAAAAAAAAGCCAAAACCTGTCCAGGTCTCTCTCATTGATCTTGTTAGAGGTTAGGGAGAGGGGAAATTGAACAAGGAAAGAATTGTCTTCTCACTTCTTTGATTGTGTTAACTTTTATTTACTGTTGTGTAATACTATTTCCTGTATTGCCAAAATTACTGAAATTGGGAAGGGAAATACCATTTACATGTCTGAGTACCCAGAAGTTACTCTAGGTAATGCTACATTTCTTGCAGTGTCCTACCACTGCTACCTTTTGTGTGATGTAGCTGTTTTGCTAGATGAGTTTAAGGAAAATTCCATGTTCCATGAAAGGGCTGTATATGCAAAGCCCCCAAATGCCAAAATATCCAAGAAACCAAAGAATAAAGCAGACAAATCTAGTTTATTGGTAAAGGGTATTTTATTGGGGAAACTTAAAGACAGAAGTGTGGTCTTGGGTAGCTGCAAGATAGGTAGATCTCTATGCCTGTTACTCCCCAGACCCAGGACTTATGTGTCATAGCCTATAATTTGTGTTGTAACATTAAGGTGGCTTTGATTTAAAGGCGGGATTTATAGTGAGTACATGTTCTTATAGTAAGGACAGTAAATAAAGAAGAAATCAGGAGGCATTCACAGGACTGGGGTTAATCCGGATTCAGCGTGGTGGATTCACATCCAAGATGGAATCACTTTTGTCTCCACACATGCAGATGTACTGGCCTCAACTGCAAAGCAGTGTTTTCCATAATAAAGATTGATAATGGGCAGGCTGGTGGCTCATGGCCTGTAATCCTAGCACTCTGGGAGGCAAGGCAGGGATCATTCAAGGTCAGGAGTTTGAAACCAGCCTGAGCAAGAGCAAAATCCTGTGTCTACTTAAAAATAAAAAGAAATTAATTGGCAAACTCAAAAATTAGCTGGGCATGTTGGCGTATGCCTGTAGTCCCAGCTACTCTGGAGGCTAAGGCAGAAGGATTGCTTGAGCCCAGGAGTTTGAGGTTGCCGTGAGCTAGGCTGATGCCATGGCACTCTAGCCCAGGCAACAGAATGAGACTGTGTCTCAAAAAAAAAAAGGTACTGATAATGACACTCATAATTTTGATGTTTAAATTAAGTCATCTTCACTTAATATTTTAAGACAGTAATACTCCCCCAAACCATTTACAGATTCAATGTAATCCCTATCAAAATCCCAAGATCCCTTTTTTCAGAAGTGGAAAAACTGGTCTTAAAATCCCAAATAGCCTCCAGCTTTGTTGTTTTTCAAGAACATACTTTCCTGTTTCAAAACTTACTACAAAGCTATAGTAATCAAGACTGAGGTACCAGCATAAGGTTAGACATAGGTCAGTGAATAGAATTTGAGAGTCGGGAAATAAACTCATGCATTTATGGGCAACAGAGTTTTTAAAAATTTTATTTTATTTTTTTTGTGGAGATGGGGTCTGGCCATGTTGCCCAGGCTGGTCTTGAACTCCTGGCCTCAGACTATCCTCCCACCTCAGCCTCCCAAGGTTCTGGCTTACAAGCATGAGCCATTGTGCCCAGCCCTGGAAATTGATTTTGACAAGGATGCCAAGACCATTCAGTGGGGAAAGAATAGTTTCTTCAATAAATAGTGGTGGTGGTGGTGGTGGGGGTGGATAATAGGATATCACATGCAAAAGAATGAAGTTTTTTTTTTTGAGACAGAGTCTCGCTTTGTTGCCCAGGCTAGAGTGAGTGCCATGGCGTCAGCCTAGTTCACAGCAACCTCAAACTCCTGGGCTCAAGCAATCCTGCTGCCTCAGCCTCCCGAGTAGCTGGGACTACAGGCATGTGCCACCATGCCCAACTAATTTTTTCTAAATATATTAATTGGCCAATTAATTTCTTTCTATTTACTATAAATATAGTAGAGACGGGTCTTGCTCTTGCTCAGGCTGGTTTCGAACTCCCCTCCCAGAGTGCTAGGATTACAGGCGTGAGCCACCACGCCCAGCCAAGAATGAAGTTGAACCCTTACCTCATAGTATGTACAAAAATTAGAATGGATCAAAGATGTAAATGTAAGAGCTAAAACCATAAAACTCTTAATGGGTAAATCTTCATGACCTTGGATTTGGCAATGGGTTCCAGACATGACAGAAAAAGTACAAGTAGCAAAAGTTAAAAATAGATAAATTGGGCTTTATCAAAATTAAAAACTTGTATGTCGAAGTACACTATCAAGATAGTGAAAAGACAGACCACAGAATGGGGGAAAATATTTTGCAAATCATATACCTGATTAGAGTCTGTGCTATAGTCTGAATATTTATTCCCCCCAAAATTCACATGTTGATCTTAGTCACAAGATGGGCAAAAACAACAAAAAAAAAATTCACATGTTGAAATGCTTACCACCAAGGTGATGGTTTTAGGAGGTGAGGCCTTTAGGAGGTAATTAGGACATGAGGTGGAGCCCTCACGAATGGAATTAGTGCCCTTATAAAAGAGCCCCAAGAGAGCTTATCCTCAGTATTTTTAAATTCTAATGTCTATTTCCAGTTCTTCTAAGTATTTCATTAGGTCAGCAGACTTGTTATAAATGTAAGGAAAATTGACATGTATGGCTTTCCTTTCAAAAAGTTCACATGTCATATTCATCGCATGTCACATTCATTGAGTCACATTTATGTCATTTAATCACGTGTGACTGGGTAACAAGCGTTTCAGATATCAAAAAGCTCCATATAGTTAGAACAGGAATCTTTTGTTTTTGAACCTGAAGTGGCCCCAAATAAGCACTGAGTTTTACCCCAGGAAGAAAAAAGCATCCATGATTTATGTTGTAGGCACCATGATTTATGGCTTTAACCTTTTCCGTCCGTTTATCTCTCTTAATCCTCTAAAAAACCCTATGAGATTATAAATTAGGGAATTGGCTCAGGGCAATTAATTTATCCAAGGTCACAAAGCTGACAAATCAGATCTAAGATTGAGCCCAGATCTGTCTAAATACAAATTGACCATCTCACCCAATTATCTTTCCCCAAATCCCAGGGAATCCAGGGGTTATATTTTGGGGACTGGCTACTGCTGCATCATTTTTCTGACCTTAATAGGAACTTCAGACCATTGACTCCTTTGTTTTCTCTTTTCCACGTCCTTATGTAGCTTGTGGGCCATCATGTCTGTAATATATTCTTACTGGTTCTATTTATCTTCATTCCACCTAGGCTGCAAAACCTCAACCCTGCTCCTCTTTGTACCCATTCCTTTAGACAATCAGTTGAGCACTACTGGGTAAAATCCTACCACAGGGCATGTAGCATCACTTTAAATTCATGATCATCCACCTCAAACAGGCCTTCAGCACCCTCTTGTATTAATACTTCTTTTTTATGCTAAAAAGTCCACTTACATTTTCCTTCTCTGTTGGATTGTTCACATTAGTTTGTGTCTATTGCATTAACATCTTCCATATTAAAACCTCCCATATTTTAATTACAAAATATTTGAAAAAGTAGTAGTCTTCTACCTCTTCTCCATTCTCACTCACTGAGGTATGTTGACGTCTGATGTATTAACATATCTTTTCTACTCTATGCTTTTATAAATATACATATGTAGCCTTTTTGTTTGATAGCCTCTACCAAAAATGGAATAATACTATGCACATTACATTTTGTTTTTCTTGTGAGCATTTCTCTAAGTCAATAGATAGCTATATTCTATATTGAATCAAATGTTTCCCTATTGATAAAAATGTATATATAGTTTTTATCATTATAAATAATCATGCAATAAATATCTTTGTACTTATATCCTGTGTATATGTGTTTTTATTTATATTGAAGAGTCCTAAATATAGGATTGGTGAGCTAAAGGGTATGTGTGTTTTGTTTGGTTTGCCTGTTGTTTTAAAAAAGCTACCTACACATTGTTAATAATTTATTTTAAGGAACTTCAGAAGGTAGCCAGGCATGGTGGCGCATGCCTGTAGTCCCAGCTACTTGGGAGGCTGAGGCAGGAGAATCACTTGAGCCCAGGAGTTTGGGGTTGCTGTGAGCTAGGTTGATGCCACAGCACTGTAGCCCAGGTGACAGAGCGAGACTCTGTGTCAAAAAAAAAAAAACCACAAAAAATTCAGAAGGGTACAAAAATTCCCCTCTCTCCTCTGGCTTCCGGGCCCCTAGATACCTAGACTCTCTCCTCAGAGGCATCTTGAAATATTCCAGACATTTTCTGTATACATGTAAGTATATGTAAATCCATAGTCCTTGCTTTTTCTTTTCCTGTTTTGTTTTTTTTTTTTTTGGTAGCGGGGAGACAGACTCTTACTTTGTTGCCCATGCTAGAGTACAGTGACATCATCATAGCTCACTATAGCCTCAAACTCCTGGGTTCAAGCCATCCTACCCACCTCAGCCTCCCAAGTATCTGGGACTACAAGTGGGCAACACCCTGCCCAGCTAATTTTTTCTACTTTTTTGTAGCGACAGGGTTTCACTGTGTTGATTAGGCTGGCCTCGAACTCCTGGCCTCAAGCAGTCCTCCTGCCTTAGCCTCCCAAAGTGTCTCTCCATTTTCGTTTCATGTATTTTGAAGACTTTTTTTTTTTTTTTTTTTGAGACAGAGTCTTATTTGTTGCCTAGGGCTAAAATGCAATGACCTCATCATAGCTCACTGCAACCTCAAACTCCTGGGTTCAAGCCATCCTCCTGCCTCAACCTCCTAAAGTAGCTGGGACTACAGGCATAGAACACCACTCCCAGCTAACTTTTCTTTCTTTTTTTTTCCTTTCTTTTTTTTTTAGAGGTGGAGTCTAGCTATGTTGCTCAAGCTGGTCTTGAACTCCTGGCCTCAAGCAGTCCTCCAACCTCGGCCTTCCAAAGTGCTAGGATTATAGATAAGCATGAGCCCAGTTTTTGAAGCGCTTGTTATTCTTTTTGATGCTATCATAAGTGGAATTGTTTTTCTAATTTCCTTTCCAGATTGTTCATTGTTAGTATATAGAATTGCAAATGATTTTTGTGTGTTAACTTTATATCCTGCTACTTTACTGAATTCTTTTTATTAGTTGTAATAACTTTTTTGTGAAATCTTTAGAGTTTCTTACAAGATCTCGATAATTTTACTTCTTCCTTTCCAATTTGGATACCCTCCTTCCCTCCCTTCCTCATTGCTCTGACTAGAACTTCCAGTGCTATGTCGAATACTGTGGCAAAAGGAGACATTCTCACCTTGTTCCTAATGTTAGAGGAAAAATTTTTAGTCTTTAACTCTTGCATATGATGTTCAATGTAGATTTTTTTATGTGTGGTTTTTATTATGTTGAGGTAGTTCCCTTCTCCTAGTTTGTTGAGTTTTTTCATCATGAGAGGGTGTTGGATTTTGTCAGATATTTCTGCATCATTGAGATGATCATATGATTTTTTCCCTTTATTCTGTTAATGTGGTCTATTATACTGATCAGTTTTTAGAGGTTGAACCATCCTTGAATTTCAGGAATAAATCCCACTTGGTCACAGTGTGTAATCCATCTAATATACTGCTGAATTCAGTTTGCTAGTACTTGTAGAAGATGTCTACATCAATGTGCATAAGGGATATTAGTCTGTAGTTTTCTTGTAGTATCTTTGTCTGGCTTTGGTATGAGGGTAATGCTGGCCTCATAGAGTGAGTTATAAAGTATTCCATACCCTTCCGTTTTTTGGAAAAGTTTGAGAAGGATTAGTTCTTTAAATGTTTAGTTGCACCACAGTCCCAACTACACAGGAGGCAGAAGCAGGAAGATCACTTGAGCCCAGGAGTTTGAGTCTAGCCTGGGTACCATAGCAAGACCTCATCTCTTAATAAAATAAAATAAATGTTGGTAGAATTCACCACTGAAGCCATCAGATCCAGGAATCTTAGGAGATTTTTTATTACTGATTTAATCTGCTTATTAGTTAGTTATAGGTTTGTTCAGTTTTTCTATTTCTTTGTGATTTAGTCTTGGTATGTTTTTTGGTTTTGCTTGTTTTTTTGTGAGACAGGGTCTTGCTCTGTCTCTCAGGCTATAGTGCAGTGGCATGATCATAGCTCACTGTAATGTAGAATTCCTGGATTCAAGTGATTCTCCTTCCTCAGCATCCCAAGTAGTTGGGACTCCAGGCATGCACCACCATGCCTGGCTAATTTTTAAAAATATTTTGTAGAGACAAGGTCTCACTATATTGCCCAGGCTAGTCTTGAACTCCCAGGCTCTAGTGATCCTCCCACCTTGGCCTCCCAAAGAACTAGGATTATAGGTGTGAGCCACCGTGCCCAGCCCACAGTCCACCTTTCATTGCCTGTTTGTGTTACTGAAACATTCTTTGCTGCATGCTAGTCTTTGTCATTGGAGAGTGCTGGAGGCAAAAGGGCTTTTCTTGGTTCCATGTGCTTCGCTTATGCCTGTTCTGTGACCAAGGTTGGCATGTGGGACATGTGGGACGCTTGGGCAGCTTTCAGGCAAGTTCCATGGCACCCTGCTGGCCTCCTGGCAACTTTCTAGTGAGTTCAACAGCAATCCTCCCAACCGTGGTGGCTTTCCAGCACTCCTGCAACCAGCCTTCTTGCTAATTTTGTTAGCACCCTCACAGGTGGTTCTTGGCTCCCAGCCTTGGCCTGGGACAGTCCAGTAAACATCACCATCCAATGGGTGGCTGCCACCACACCCTCTCCTAGGTCTGAATCCTTCCCTTAGGCACCTCCCTTCACCCGAGGGTATTTGTAGATATCTCTTTTGCTTCCTCTTAGTTAATTCCCTGTAAATAGTTAATACTTCTTTATAACAGGCTGGGCATGGTGGCTCATGCCTGTAATCCTAGTACTCTGGGAGGCCGAGGCTGGTGGATCGCTCAAGGTCAGGAGTTTGAAACCAGCCTGAGCAAGAGCAAGACCCGTCTCTACTAAAAATAGAAAGAAAGTAATTGGCCAACTAAAATATATATAGAAAAAATTAGCTGGGCATTGGTGGCGGATGCCTATAGTCCCAGCTACTCAGGAGGCTGAGGCAGTAGGATTGCTTGAGCCCAGGAGTCTGAGGTTGCTGTGAGCTAGGCTGATGCCACGGCACTCTAGCCTGGGCAACAGAGTGAGACTGTGTCCAAAAAATAATAATAATTCTTTATACCAAACTTCCCTTATTGAAAATACCATGTGGTTTTTGTCTCCTGATGGGACCCTGACTGATAGACCTGGTGATGTTTTCACTAGATGCTGAATATTGTGAATTTTAAATTGTTGGCTGCTGAGTTTCATTTTAGTCCTTTAGGTAGTGTTGGATTTTGGTCTGGCATGAAGTTAAGTCCCTTAGAATCAGTTGCTCCTTCAGAGGCTTGCTTCTAAGCTTTGTTCTGGTGGGTCCAGAGCTACCTTTAGTCTACAGTTGATGTAGCTCCATTCCTAAGGGTGACAGCATTCTGAGGCTTCTTCACCCAGCATCTCCTGTGAATTTGGAGATCTTTCCACAGTGGCTTGTGGGAACACAGAATACTCTCGTCCCTGTGTGAGCTCCGGGGATTGTTTCCTCTGCTTCTCTTCAAGGAGTCTTCCCTGGCCTCCTTGTGTGGTTTCTCTTGCACAGGCACAGGTGGGTCTTCACCGGGAATCATGTCCGGGAGTTCTTCCTCTCCAGTGCTCTAGCCTGCAGATCCCAGCCGCCCTGAACTCTCCACGGTGTTTTCTCAGCTCGGGGAGACTTGGGTTCTGTCTGCATTTCTCCTCCCTGCACTGCCGCCTGGAACTCACCTCCCGCCTGGAACTGGTGCAGTTGCAGGACTCGCTCCCCGTCCAGTTTCCCTTCTCTCGGGTTCACTGTCCTGCACTGTTTTCTTCCACTGACTAAAGACAAAATTATGTTGTCCGGTTTCCCAGTTGCTCTGAGTCCCTGCTACTCCATCTTGAATGAGCATGTAAACAGACAGACAGACAGACAAGGCAGCCTGTCAGAAGTCTGATGAAGTCTCAGAACAGGTGGTGCCTGCTGGCTAAGCCCACGGACATTATTAACATTCCTTTTTTCCTTCTTTTTGTTAACCAGTCATGGTGTGAATGGAAACAGCAAGGTGGCGGAGGCTGTGAGTGAGTGACGTGGGGGCAGCCTGGGTGCAGCCTCCCCAGCAAGCTCACCTTTTACTAGCTTCCTACAGCTGTGTCATCCGTGGTGTGGGACGCCTCGGAAGACCGGGGCCTTGTCTCTGGGGCCCAAGTGAGGAAAGGAGCTGATCACCCCTGCACTTGACTGCCCTGCCTGACAGCCCCCTCTCCCCCCGACTCCAGGAGACTGTAGACGATGGCGAGCAGGCTGCACAAGGCCACCTGTCCCCTCTGGCTTTGGGTTGACCAGAAGACCAAGCTGGACCTGTCCCCAGCCCCCAGGTGCCACCACTAATCCCACCTAAGGCCCATCCACGCCCTGCTGCAGCTCCCTGCTGGAGGACAGGCATGGCCCCAACTAGCAGCTGTGCCCCACGCAGGCCACAGGGGAGGGAATCCAGGAGGCCACCCGCATAAGGTGAGTGGACACGTTTACATGGTGACAGGCAAGAACAGAGCTGAGCGCGATGGCTCACACCTATAATCCTAGCACTCTGGGAGGCTGAGGCAAGGAGATTGAGCTAAGGAGTTCGAGACCAGCCTGAGCAAGAGCGAGACCCCGTCTCTACTAAAACAAATAGAAAGAAATTAGCTGGACAACTAAAAATATATAGAAAAATATTAGCCGGGCATGGTGGCGCATGCCCGTAGTCTCAGCTACTCGGAAGGCTGAGGCAGGAGGATTGCTTGAGCCCAGGAGTTTGAGGTTGCCGTGAGCTAGGCTGATGCTATGGCACTCTAGCCCGGGCAACACAGTGAGACTCTGTCTCAAAAAAAAAAAAAAGTAAGAACAGAGCTGCTCCCCTGAGCCTGGAGCCTTCGATTCCTGAGCAGGCCGAGTCTTGAAGCTGCCTTTCCTGCTTTCCTCCTGAGGGTGCTTTCCGGTCCCTCCCTGGGGCAGTGCCCAGACCTCTGGAGGCAGGGCCCTGTGTCTGCCCACATTCGGGGGCTCAGCACAGGCAGAACCTCTGGGGAGCCCCTCAGCTGATGGGGAGAGGAAGCACAGCGTCCTGGGCTGACTGCAGGTGTCTGTCCTGGAAGCCACTGTTGGGGGAAGGCTGTTCCGCTTGAGCCTTTCCCTGTGAAATGGCTTCACCCAGCTGAGCCCCACAGGCTCTGTGAAAGCATGAAGTGCTCTCTGCAATGTCCCCCACCCCCAGAGAAGAGTTCAGTTACAGAGAATGTAACAGCTCATGGCTTACCGCGGGCGGTGGGATGGCAGAAATACCCAGGGGAGTGGAAAACCGTGGTTTCCCCACACCTGGCTGGGCTGTCCACTGGCAGGGCCGCGTTACCTCAGGGTCCTGCACTCTGAGGTCCAGAATGCCTAGGGGACAGGTCTAGGGGACAGGTGAGCAGAGCATGGGGACTTGTGGCCCACAGTTTTGCACTCAGGCCTGAGGGTCTATGGTTATAGCCGTGGCAGCCACCATGTCACGGGGTGGGGGGGTTGCATTGTGACTCTGGTCTCGGCCCCAGGGCTGCTGACCAGCGCGAGGCTCCTGCTGGGCTCGGGTGTGAAGCCCCTTCCTCTGCGTGGAGACAGGCCCACGCCAGCCCCACCCTGGTGTGTGTTGCTCACAGTTCTCAGCCTCGCGCCTGGGACCTCCAACCCAGGTGGACTAGTTCTGACAGATCCCTTAGGCCACGGAACTGCCCTCCCCTCTGGGAGGGGCCATCCTTTGTGGTCCTTTATCACCCGTGGTCTTGTCTCCTTTCTGCCAGGATTGGGGATGTGGAGGCTGAGGAGTCCGCCTGGCAGAAGGCTGTCCTTTCAGCCATTCGTCGGGGAGGCCCGAGTCAGGCACCCTCACTCGGGATGCTGATAGCGAATAGGGACAACCAGAGCAGCCGAGAGCAGGGGGCTGGAAACGGTGGCTCTGTATGAGAAGGCCCCTCTCTGACATGGACCTTGCATCTAGAAAATTCTTGGGGAGTGCCTGCCATAGGTCAGGCCTTGTTCTAGGTGCTGCTAGCTGAGTGCAGCTCTCATGGGCTGAGATCTAGTAGAATGAGACTGACTATACAGTGTATGTTAGATGTAACAGTTGTGGGAAAAATATAAGCAGGATAAAGAGAGAGTAGTAGGATAGAATGTGGCAATTTAAATCAGATGGGACAGAAGTTGACATCTGACAGAGGCTCGAGTGAAGGGAGAGACAAGGCACAGAGGAGGCAGCACGCCCAAGTGAAGGGGGACAGTGCAAAGGCCCAGAGGCAGGAGGCCACATGGGACACATGGTTGAACTCTCAGCGTGAAATAAGCAGCAGCGTCTGTAGACGAACCCTCGGCCAGTCCTGGGCAGGACGTGCAGTTCTTGTCAGAAATCTCTAGCAGCAAGGCGGTAGGCCAAGCGGAGGACCCACACTCCTGTTCTCTTTGAGGAGCTGCAGAATGAGCTTCTGGTGGAAGGAATTACCATGTCCTGGCTCGTGCTGTCTTCGTCATTAGGACTAGGCTGACGAGGATATCAGCTGTGGCCCTGGAGTTCAGATGAGGGTGCTGAGGTCTTCTGTCCCCAAGGACACTGAGCTGGGCAGGAGGAAATGGCCCTGTGTCCCTTTTAGGTCTCTCATTTGCCTCTGGACAGGACATCCGTAGCCGGGAGATATCCTCACGGCCTGTGCTAGTCAGACCAGCCTGGCTGGTTATCAGTCCACGTCCTCACCGGCTGCCCTTCTCCAGGGAGTTGCGCTGCTTGTTCCAGGTAGTGCAAACAGACGCTGCTTGTGGCTTGGAAGAGCTCCCAGCAGCGCAGCACCTGCTGAGGGCCTGAGGAGCTGACTCCTTCTTGGAGGCCTGGAGAGCCACCCTGCAGCATGGGCTTGGGAAACTTGAGGAACTGAGGCCACATCTTATTCCTGTGCAGGACACGGAGAGACTGGGCAGAGGAGCCAGAGAGCTGCCGGTGATATCCCGGGGCTAGCCAAGGTGGGGCTTGGGCCTGCTAAGGCAGCCAGACCCAAGGGGCCAAGATCCCTGAGATAAAGGAGGCCTGAGAAGAGAGACTGACACTCAGCACGGGTTTCCCCTCCAGGCAGCTGCTGTGAAGCTGCTCAGGGCAAAGCAGCACAAAGTGGCTGGAAAGCAGAGCAGGAATGTGGGCAGTTTCACGGAGTGAGGGAAGAGGTTGGGGCCTGTCAGGACAAAGGGTCCTGACAAATACCCAGGCGCTCAGCTGGGCCCCTTAGGGGTCACGTGGGCAGTGGGTGGCCACAGGCAGCCTGGTCTTCACAAGGGCTCCAGAGGAGCTATGTCAGTGAGTCCCTGACTGGCCTGTGGTGATGTCCCTCTGCTCCCACTATGGGGGTTGGGGGTGAGCTGTCCCGCAGGGGACATGTCCAGACCTCCCCGCCCTTCTGTCACACACAGTGCCTGATGCTCAGTCGAAAGTAACGAGGCACACTGAGGAATGGGACCAGAAGAAGAGAGGTGAAGGACCCACAGGACATTGAGATACTGGTTTTCAGACATGGACTTTAAAATAACCATGATTAACATATTAAAGAAAATAGGTAGGATGGAGAGTTTCAGAGAGAATGGGAATTCATAAAAATACAATGAAAGTTCAAAAAAGAACAATAACTGAAATTTAAAATTTCACAGGTGAAGAGAGAATTAGTGAGCTGGAAGAAAGGTCAATAGAAAACACCCTGTGAACACCACAGCCAGCTCACTTTATACCTGTGCTCTGCTTTTCAGCCACGTTCTGCTGCTTTGCCCTGAGCAGCTTCACAGCAGCTGCCTGGAGGGGAAACCGGTGCTGAGTGTCAGTCTCTCTTCTCAGGCCTCCTTTGTCTCAGGGATCTTGGCCCCTCGGGTCCAGCTGCCTCAGGGCCCTCCTCACCCCTTCTGTAGACCCCAGCCTGGAGGGTGTGGAGGGGGCAGTGCCGAAAATGCCCTTTGTGCTTGGGAGAGACTGAGATGGCTTTGGAATTGGGTTTGGGGAACACTTTTCACTGGGACCCTTGTTGGAAACATTAACACATTGGGAATCCGTGTGCATGGGCCAGGAGTAGAGCTCTGGGGCTCTATTTAATCCTTAAGGGCCTCAGGTTTACCGCTGGCAACACGCCAGCTCCCACTGTACTCGTGGGCTCCGGCTGCAGGCATTCAGCCGTCCCCAACATGCAGTTTAGAAAATGGCTGTTTAGACTTCTTTTCATTTGCATCTTTGCTAAAAGCAGGGTGCAGAAAAGTAACAGTGGGAGCGGGCAGGGACAGGGCAGCCAACAGAGGGTGGGCTGGGAGATGCCAGTTCAGGCCCCCACGCCCTGAGGAGGGTGAATGCGGACTGTTCCACCAGCAGCCAGGGACAAGGAAGCAGAGGCCGGTCTGCTGCTGAGTGTGACTGTGCCGCTGTTGTGAATCTTGGCAATTCAGATGCGTGTTCTGAGATTTTTCCATCCCGGGTTAATGCCTTCTTTATAATGAACAGAAATAAATTCATGAGGGGTGGTGAGGAGAGGCTAGGTCACAGACCAAGGGCAACACGTTTTGCTGAGTGATGGTTGTGACCTGCTCAGGTCATTGAGCATGGGGATTAAAGTAATGTCACAGCAGACACTGGCCCTTTGCCTGAAGTAAAGAGGACCTTTGTCCTCTATGATGCTCCATTGGGGGGCCAGTACAGACACCTCCTGAGGGGAGAGAAGGAATCCTGAGTGCAGCCCACCAAGGGAAGGTGGGCCTTGTGGGACCCCAACAGCCACTGAACCCTGGAGCTTCTGATCAGCTCAAGCCAAGTGTCAAAGTGCCACTTAGATGTCCCACAACGTCCAATGTGCCAGGTTCTCCAGGTTCTCTCTGAGAACGGTTTTCTCTGGAAGGCCCATGGAAAAAGGGATGTTTTCTTGCTTGGCCTGGGGGTGTGGAGTAGGAGGTGAGCTTGTAGCTTGGCTAGTCTGCCTGCTGTCTGTGGAGCACCTTCCATGTTCAGGCATTGTCGTAGGCACTTGGCATGTTTTCACAGAGAAGAAAGACATGGCCACTACTTCCTGGAGCTTGTGTGCTGGTCAAGAAGCTGGCCATAAATGAGGATAGACAAATAGGGAAGTAAACACCTTAAACAAATAAGTGACATGGGCTGTGAAAAAATTAAACGGGGGCTGTGGTGGTGGTAGGGATTGGGTGGATTTAAGCTGAAACTGGAACGAGAAGGCAGCTGCAGCTCTCCACACGGAGCAGAAGATGCTGCGCTAGAACTGGACGGGTCATAGTATTGGATTTCATGTTTGTTTGTTTGTTGTAACATTTTTTGTTTTTCTTTATTTTTTTCTTCTTTTTTTTTTGTTTTAGATGCCATTATAAACAAGCCTTTTATGGATTTCATGTTAAGGACAATGAGAAACTGGTGACAGATTTTAAGCAGGGGAATAACATGATCAAATTACACATGAGATGTTCATGGAGCTCTGTGGATTGTGGGAACAGGTTTCTGGAAGCAGGAGGGCCATGAGGACAAGGGTGGTGACAGGGCTAGTGTGCAGGCTCTGTATGCGAGTGGGGGCAGGGCCGTGGGACAGAGGGGATCACAGGGACAGATACTGATCTCAGTGTCTGAGCATCTGGATGGTCGTAGGGCCAAAGCGAGGAGTGGGCAAGTCTAGGGATGTGATCTGGGCTCATTACGGCCATGGCACGTTTACGGTGCCTGTCAAACCTGAGGGTTGGTGTCCTGGCTGCAGCTGAAGTCAGACAAGTCCCCTGCCCCAGAGGACAGCTGTAGGGGTGTTTCCTGAACCTGTATCGGCTGCTGAGTCTCCCTGCAATGTTGATGAGACTGTCATTTGTCCTGTACAGCTGTATAGTTTCCTGCAGTCTGTGTCATGCTTTGTCCCCATGGTGCTGTTGAACGTGAGCTTCTGTCCCCTGTATTTGCTTTAAGCTGATATTTAGATCTAGAGGTTGGATCAGATTCAAGACTATTTGGCAAGAGCCCTTCCTAAGTGACGCTGTATTCTTGGGTCAGGAGGCACAGAGGGCCGGTTGTCTGTTGTGTCAGCACTGACAGCCTGTAGAGCTGCGAGTTTAGACCTAGCATTCCTTCCTTCTTAGCTGGAACGGCCCGTCAGAAGAGAACCTTCTCTGATTGTGGGTTACTCAGCAGTACTATTTGCATAGGAAAGGCAGGATAAGTTCTGGATTCTTTGACTTTGTTTGCCTATTTGCAGAACAATGAGTTGGCTCCCTAGCATCCCCCAAAAGTGGCTGATAATTGTTTTATACCAGTATGAATTCATATATCTAAACACAAGATACGGGAGGGTGGGTTGCTTGGTTGGTTTTTGAGACAGGGTCTCGCTGTCGCCCAGGCTGGAGTGCAGTGGTGTGATCACAGCTCACTGCGGCGTCCAACTCCTGGGCTCAGGCGATCCTCCTGCCATAGCTTCCTAAGTAGCTGGGACTGCAGACATGCACTACCATGCCTGGCTAATTTTTATTTTTTGTAGAGATGAAGTCTTACTATGTTGCCCAGGCAGGTCTTAAACCTCAGCCTCAGCCTCCCCGAGTGCTGGGATTACAGGCGTGAGCCACCGTGCCTGACTACAAATGATATGTTTAATCCATCGCAATTAATTATTCTCAGTAGTGATTTTAGAATTGAGAATTTCTTTGTGATAAGATGTTCAAGCATTGTAAATGATGATGCTAGAAACAAGTTATATTCAGTAAAGTGGGATATATAATCTGGTAACCCAGGCACACCCATTATGTTAGACCCAGAGTTTCTCAGGCTTTGTCAGTTCAGAGCACTCTTAGCTAAGATTCCATAATTATTTTGAGGGGACCCTCAGTCAAAAGATATACCTGATAGTCCCATCTGTTAAACAGGTAAACGAAGACAGTAAGTGCTTACGTCCTGAAAACTTATAGTTGGACATTTGGAATAGTAATATATATATATAAATTTAAAGAAAAAAAAACCTTATTTCATGTTTAATTAGCCATAGGTACTTCCTCATGGGATGTGTGCACTTGTTGGCTACTTCTTAAAACTTGGAACCCGATTCGACACTGCCACCCTCATTGCCTCATTCCACACTGACTCTCACAGTAATTGTTCTTTCAGTAGCTGCTACAGCCCAGCTTTGCAGTGAGGGGACATCTTGGAAAGGAATAAAGCAAGATGTACTAGGCCGGGTGCAGTGGCTCACACCTGTAATCCCAGCACTCTGGGAGGCGGGCGGATTGCTTGAGCTCAGGAGTTCGAGACCAGCCAGAGCAAGAGTGAGACCCCGTCTCTACTATAAATAGAAAAATTAGCCGGGCATCGTGGTGTGCATCTGTAGTCCCAGCTACTCGGGAGGCTGAGGCAGGAAGATCGCTTGAGCCCAGGAGTTTGAGGTTGCTGTGAGCTAGGCTGATGCCTCGGCACTCTACTTAGGTCAACAGAGTGAGAGATTGTCTCCAAAAGAAAAAAAGAAAAGGGCATAGTGCTGCAAGAGGTGAACAGTGCAGAGATGTCGGGTGTTACTGTTTCCCTCAGAAAGGACCTGCCGAGTTCACGGGGTGCCGCTGTGCATGGTTTGGAAACCACAGCTCTGAGCCCTTCCCCTTTTCCCTCCCAGTGGGTGGGAGTTTCCCTCCCCGGCCCCAAACGTGGACATGGAGTTCGTCACCACCTCCTCCCCACACTCCAGAGCAAGCCCTGTGTGGCCTGCGCTGCTGCAGCTGTTCCTAGGCGGCCATTTGTCCCCAGCCGTGGTGCTCGTAGGATTTTTCTTTGTCCTTTGATTTTAGCTGCATCAGAACACATGACCTGGCCCAGACTTGAGTAAACAGTTACATGCTATTTTCCCTTCCCGTGTCTGTGACAGGTTTAATTTAGCCAGAGAAGGCTGCAGCTCCTCAAGGTTAATGTACAAATAGCACTCGCTGATCTGAGAAACCGGCTGGCTTTTCTGTTGTTGCCATTGGCTGCAGCTCCCCTTTCTCTGTTGATGTGACTTTGGAAAATGCCAGAAGTGCTGGGCTTTCTCTCCAGGATTCCCTGGTGCCCATTCGTGTGTATCCCGAGTGGGGCCGGCATGAAAGGGGCACCCCCCGCACCTCCCACCGATGCCAGGCTCGGCCTGTGGTTGCCAAGGCCAACAAATGTGGGCAGAGCTAGCTAGGGCAGGCCACTCGAAGCCTCAGCCTCAGGGCGCCACCGTGTTCTGCGCGCTGCCCTGGGAGTGCTCCTCCCTGTGGGAAGAGCTTCTGGGGGGGGCGGGGGGAGGCCACGGTCCCTTCAGCCCTGCCCTGAAATGGGGCCCAGGGAGCAGAGCCTCCAGCCGACCTGTGAGCATGAGAAATGCCTATTGTCGTCTGGCTTCGTTTTGCGGTGGCTTGTTACGCAGCAGCAGCTGACTGAGCAGACGGAAAAGATGTCTGTCCGGGAGTGGAGGAAGAGTGATGGAAACTCACATCTGAAAGGGTTATGGTCCCCAGGCACAGGATGACTTTTTAGGAGATGAAATGATTTTTCTGTGGAATAATGTTATGTCAGTTCTTAACCCTCGGGGAAAGGCAGTGAAGGTCTCAACCCATCTGATAGATGAAGACACTTAGGTCCCAGGTGGCTGAAGATATAGGGCTGTGCCTGGCCAGGGCCTGCATCTCCAGGCGCTTCCCGGGCTGTGCTGCTGTCGCTGGGGCTGCCGTATGGCAGGCAGCAGGTGCACAAGTGCTACAAGTGGGGCCTGAGTCCCGGCCTCGCTTCTGGAGCGTAGAGGGAGGCGGGCACCGTGCACGGTGCTGGGAGCTCCTGAGAACAGACAGGGCAGCGCTTGGTCGACCTAGGAGGGGACGACAGACCAGATGGGCACCTTCGTGCTGGGAACCAGGGTCAGCCACCCATGCTATGAGCAGTAACTGGTGTTCCCTGTGTCTGGCTGGAAGCTGGACCGGGTGGCCTCTTGTTAGGGAGCAGTGGCTGCCCTCTAGGCTCACTCCCTGTCCCCATGAGGGTCTCTATCAGACACGTATCCAGGAAAACAAAACACCCAAGTCAGAGGACCAGGCCACATACACTGAAGACTGCAATGGCCTTGCTTGGTCTTTGGCCACCGGATTTTGACATGCTTGAGGCTGCCCCAACCTCAGGGATGGAGAACAGGAAGTATTGGCCGTCAACACTTTGAAAAAGTCCAAGATGGGGCTTCTGGCAGCTTGAGGAGTAGGTCGTGAGGTCCTGCCCGTCTCTTTATCCAGGGACAAATGAGTTGATCCTAGTGCTGCCAACCAGAGCCGTCTGTCAGCGTGTTTTTATTACCGAAAGGGGGACTACTCCCGTCTTGAAGTTGTTTACCTTTTGACTGTTTTTAATCCCCACTAGGTCCGCCTTCTGCTTCATGCTGGCCAGTTCTGTGGCACCTTCCTGTGACCTTGGCCTTTGTTGACTCCTGCCGGTGAGGCCACCTGCTCCCTGTCCTCCAGCCTCCCACAAATCTCCACCCACTCTGGTTCTCATGCCTGGGTCCTGCCTCAGTTCTGCCAGGCCTTCAGGGGGCACCAGGCCCTCCCACGCAGCAGTGCTGTCCTTGGAGCCCCCACAGCCCCTTCCAAATGGGCAGAGCCCCTGGGATGGGGTGGTGGGCTGAATTGGCACCCAGAAGACATCTGACCCCATCCCTGGGACCTCTGCATGTTCATTTATATGCCAAAAAGGGCCCTCGCAGATGTGATTGAGGATGGTGAGATGGGGACACTGTCCCCACTATCTGGAAGGACCTTAATATAGGCACATGGATAAGGGAACAGAGGACAGGTGACAGTGGAGGAAGCCATGTGCCCTCGGAGCAGATTAAAGTGACGTGCCACAAGCCAAGGATTGCCAGCAACCATCAGAAACTAGAAGACGGGGAAGGATCCTCCCTGGAGCCTCTGGAGTGACCCTGCTGACCCCGCCATCTCAGGCCTTGGGCCTCCAGAACTGACAGGATGAGTTCCTGGCGTTTTGAGCCACCGCATTTGTGGTGGGTGGGGCAAGCGGCCTCAGGAAATGAACATGAATGGGAAAGTGAAGAATTCCAAGAAACAACTGGACCCAAGGCTTGGCCTGGCCCAGCTCCTAACTGCTGCCCCGCCCTTAAGACCTGGTCACTTGGGATCTCCCCAGGCCTAAACACCTCAAAAAGATCTCCTACTGCCTGGCCAGCAACTTGGAATGGGCCTTGCAGTCCTACCCTTCCTGGCCACCAGGCCAGGCAGCCCTGATGCTGGAGGGCCACACTCCCTGTCCTGGGCCCCTGGCGTCTTGCCGAGTTGCCTGCATCTCATGGCTGCTGCACCAGGAAGGCAGGAGTTGGGGCTGGTAAGAGGTTCCTAGGCCACCACAGGGTTCCATTTGCAACCTGTACCTCTGTATGGGGCCTTGGCCTCTGACTCCAAGGTGACCTCAGGGTCCCCAGACCAGGGACGGGAAGCCTGGGCCCACACTTCTGCAAACAGCTGCTACACCCATCCCTTGAGAGCCTGGGGTTGGTGAGGGCCCAGGGGGTGCATGTGTGAAGGACAAAGGAACCTTTGGCCCTTTTATTAGCTGTTTTAAAACCAAGTGCAGGCTGGGTATGGTGACTCACTATAATCCCAGCACTCTGGGAGGCTGGGGCAGGAGGATTGCTTGAGAGGTCAGGAGTTGGAGACCAGCCTGAGCAAGAGCAAGATCTCATCTCTACTAAAAATAGAAAAAAATTAGCCAGGTGTGGTGGCGCATGCCTGTAGTCCCAGCTATTCAGGAGCCTGAGGCAGGAGGATCACTTGAGCCCCCAGGAGTTTGGAGTTGCAGTGAGCTATGATCACGACACTGCACTGTAGCCCAGGTGACAGGGTAAGACTTATCTCAAAAATATAGTGCAAACGTGATTATCAGGTGCTGTTTTTCTGTTTTTACAGTGGCAAGGAACCTGTAGAAATAAGCACGTGTCACCAACCTGTCTGCATGGAAACCGCCCAGACACCCTCAGGTGTGCACGTGTCCCCGGGAAGGTCAGGCTACCGACCTTTAAAGCCTGAGCGAGCACACACTGCCTGCACAGAGCCCTGAGCCCAGCAGCCAGGACTGCCCGCCGTGCTGCTTCAGAGGCTTCCCTTTGTAGGCTCTTTTGTTTTTTTTTTTTAATGAAAGGAGAAAATTGATATAAAAGAAACTAGATTCTTGGCAGAATTGCTGTCATCTCTGTGGACATCATCGTCACCTCAGGTGAGCACCAGGACCAGAGTTGAGTCCTGGGAGGGCCGTGGGAGGGAGGTCGAGAGCGGCGTGCCCCCAGTGCGGGGTCTCCTCCAGCGAGCTTGGCTCCAGTGGGCTCTGGAGTCTCACAGGGGCTAATTTTCTGGTGGGTGAAGAAAGAGGAGACCCAGGGTTCTCCATGGGCACAGGTGTCTGGGCCTCTGGGTGCTGCAAACAGGCGGCAAGGGTCTCCCCAGCCTGCGCTGCAGCACAGCCCTGAAGACAGGACCTCCCCCGCCTTGGGCTCCCGCAGCTCCGGCCACTCTGGGTTCCAGGGATGCTGGTGCAAGGGGCGATATCTCCCTTCCTCCACACCCCTGCCACCCTCGTTCTCCCAGGATGAGGGGCATGAGGCTGCTGGGAGGGCTGCTGGCTCTGGCCGGCCTGCTGCAGGTGGTCCCGTCGCTGAGAATTGCAGCCTTCAACATCCGGACTTTTGGGGAGACCAAGATGTCCAATGCCACCCTCTCCGACTACATTGTGCAGGTGAGTCCGAGTGCCTGTCCCTGAGGGCAGAGGAACCCAGGGAGGGGTGATGGGCCCTGGGCACAGGAGGGGTCAGCTCGGGGGGGGCCACAGACTGCCGGGTGCGGGGCGTCAAGCGTCTGCAGTCTGTCTCAATCTTGTCAATTAGGGCCAGAACGGGCTCTGGCTGCCAGCCCAGGCAAAGGCACAAGGCTACGGGCCAAACTGGGCTGGGAACACCCTCTGGGAGCAGCAGCTGCTCCTGTTGTGACATCCTGGAGGCGGGTGGGGCTGGATGTGCCCAGGCGGCCAGCTCAGCACGGCTGTGGCCCCATTCCCCAGATTCTGAGTCGCTACGACATTGCCCTGGTCCAGGAGGTCAGAGACAGCCACCTGACGGCCGTGGGGAAGCTGCTGGACAAACTCAATCAGTGGGTGACAGCGTGGGGTCCTGGGGGAGGTGACGACTCCGTCCGGGCCCCAGCGGCAGTGATGTGGGCAGAGCCCTGCTGTTGGTGGCCAGAGGGTCCCTCTGTGGTGCCCTGACTGGGACCTGCTGTTTCCTCAACTCAGGGACACACCAGACACCTACCACTATGTCGTCAGTGAGCCGCTGGGACGCAACAGCTACAAGGAGCGCTACCTCTTTGTGTACAGGTAAAGCCCTGAGCCAGCAGCTCTGTGACGTGACGGCAAGGACTGAGACGTGGGGACAGACCCTGTGTTGTCTGTGCCTCAGAGGCACGGACAGGAGGCTGAGGGGTGGTCTGGAGTCCGGGGAGTCAGCTCGCCTGGGAGGACCCCAGCAGAGCCACAGAGCAGGTGCAGTTGGAGTCCAGCCACCTGCGGCCTCAGAGCCAGTGGGGTGAGCGGGGGTCTCGCTCTTGGGGCTGCCCTGCGGGTGCCTTTCCTGGCCTTCAGAGGGGCGGGCAGGATGTGGCCGGATCCGACTGAGCCCCTGCTGCTGCCCAGGGGAGCGGACGAGGCCGGCCCACAGGTGCCGTGTGGGAGGGGCACCTCTCCAGCCCAAGGTCACGTCCTCCACCTGGCCTTCCCGTAGGCCTGACCAGGTGTCCGTGCTGGACAGCTACTACTATGACGATGGCTGTGAGCCCTGTGGGAATGACACCTTCAGCCGAGAGCCAGCCATCGTCAAGTTCTCCTCCCCCTTCACGGGTGAGTGCTGCTGCACCACGCTCTCAGCAAGGGGACACCTGGAAAGCCTTGTCGCATGCTGCCCCCTGGCTCTAGTGCTTTGGTCGTACATTCCTAGGAAAACGCCTACCACCCAGGGACTGTCACTCCTCCCAGCCCCGACAGCATGACTGAGCCTGGTCCCCAATGCACCCTCAGGCCAGCTCACCTGAAAGCAGGCCCTGTACACCATGCACTTAGTGTGACCACTGTCTTCTCAGAGGTCAGGGAGTTTGCCATCGTGCCCCTGCACGCAGCCCCGACAGATGCGGTGGCTGAGATTGACGCCCTCTATGATGTCTACCTGGATGTCAGACAGAAGTGGGACATGGAGGTGAGGCCCTCCCAGGGACAGCGGGCTCTAGGGGCTGCCATTTGTCCCTGGGCCAATTGATGGGTGTTCCCGGTAGGACATCATGTTGATGGGTGACTTCAACGCCGGCTGCAGCTATGTGACCCCCTCCCAGTGGCCATCCATCCGCCTGCGTACGAACTCTGCCTTCCAGTGGCTGATACCTGACTCGGCTGACACCACGGTTACGTCCACGCACTGTGCCTACGACCGGTGAGCAGGGGTAGGCCTGTTCCCGGCGCCTCCATGAGCAGCCTAGGCTTATAGGTCCAGCTCAGAAACGGCCAAGTTAGAGCTTTAGTCATTCCACTTAAGAAATGGGATAAAGAGAGCCACATTTCTTAGTTTTTTGGAAAAGCGCATTTAGGGTTGAAAGAAGAGGCAGAAACCTGGGTTCTCACGTGAATAGCCTCAGGTGTACAGGCTGGGGGTGTGGTTCTGGGCTCCCTCAGACCTGCACTGGCTGGGAGGTGCCTCGGCTCAGCTTGCAGGAGCAGCACAGTGAGGACTGTGTGACCACTCACCAGCCCAACATGGGGGCCGCTGGGCCCAGAACCAGGGCAGCGAGTGAAATGAGACCTTTTCTCTTATCCCAACACACTGCAGCATTGTGGTCTCAGGGTCGCTGCTCCAAGGCGCCGTGGTTCCGGGCTCGGCTGCTCCTTTCGACTTCCAAACTACGTACGGCCTGAGTGAGGAGCTGGTACGTGTCCTTCCCTCACACGCACAGGTGGGATGCAGGAGCTCAACAAGGCCTGTGTTATCCTGGCACCGCCACTGCTTTTCCACACAGCTAATGGGCCGGGCCTTTCCCTGACAGCGAGGCACGTGGGTACAGGAGCCTGGGTTCAGTCCTGACCCTGCCACCTACTTCCCACAGGCCCTGGCTGTCAGTGACCACTACCCCGTGGAGGTGACATTGAAGAAAGCCTGACCTGGGCTGTGTCACCAAGGTACCCTGCCTTCTCACAGCCTGGACAAAAAGTCTGTCAGGTAGATTAAGAAATACCTTTTAATTTAGGTAAATAAACTTCAAGGTTCTCATCTGCGAGTCAGTCCTTCCTCCCCTCCCTGGAAGACACTTCCCAGGCTGAGGCCGTCAGCGTCTCTCCAGGGCCTTGACCAGAAGGTCGTTCAGGCGGCCTACCATCGGTCTGGGGTCGTCCACAAGCCCGGCTGCGATCATGGCGTTCTCGTATATCTGAAAGGCAGGGGTGGAACGGCACTGTTGCACCTCAGGGACACAGGCTCCCAGAACTGGCAGCGCAGCCTGGGTCTGTCTGAGGGGCCCCACCCATGAGCTGGGTCCTCTCACCTGATCCACGAGCAGCTGGGCCAGGTCGGGCTCGCTCTCCCTGAGCTGACTGAGCTTCTTGATCAGCGTGTGTCTGCAACACAGAAGTGGCGCAGGACTGTGGGCCGCCCAGCTGCCTTTCTGAGACGCTGGGTTTATCAGGACATTTTTAAAAGTGCAAGAGGACTGTCCAGTATAAAAAACATATTTTTAACACCTTAATATCTGTAAGTAATCACTTACAGATAATTTGATTATACACACAGAAAACCTAATTCAATATTAGGAAATGCAGTGAGGTGGCCGAGGACCAAGATACACTAAAACATCAAGGACAAAGGAGAAGAGTTAGTTACATGGAGACATACAGTGGTGAAACTTTTCCTAAATTAATCCGCAAGTTTAATGATTCCTTTATATTAATAGATTACACTAAAATTTTTCTTTTATACCTAAACAATCTAAAATTTATACAGAAAAGAATAGCCAAAAAAAGAAGGGGGAGGAAATCCCAGATGTTGAAACACATAATTTCGTTCTCAGGGCACCAAGGTGAAAATGCAGAAATAGACAAAAATACGCTATCTGAAAAAGACAGGCATTTCACTTAACAGTGAGAAGACAGATTACTCAGCCACCCAGAAAAGGATTCCTCAGATCAAAATAAACTGCAGAGGGATCAAAGATTAAATGCAAAATTAAAAGTATAATACTAAAAGAAAATAAATGTTTTATAATTTTAGAAGGGGAAGCCTTTCTAAGCAAACTACAAACCCAGAAGCCAAAAAGAATAGAATGACATGATTGACTATGTATCATCTAGTGTAAACCTTAAAGTAATTTTTCACTCAGAATGGCAAAGATTGAGCAGTCTGATGAGGAAATGTTAATTTGTAAACCCCTATAGAGCAATCTATAAAATGACAACATGGATGACACACGAAGACTTAGCAATTCTGTTTCCTTACACCATTGTTTATAATAGGGAACATTTTAAATGTCCTTCCTCACAATGAGAATCTATACAGCTGGAGAGGAGGAGGACATTCTCAAAACACTAGCGCAGAGCTCTCTCGGTTACCGGCTAGGTGAGGACCGGCCACACAGCACATGACCCTTGTGTAAGTAACCAAGAGGAAACTCACGGTGTGCCTGCCCACGAGTGCACACGGCACCTCTGCCAACCAACACACAGAAGAAACCCAACGCTGGCTGCACTCCGGACATGGATGGGAAGAGAATTTTCCCCATAAACTCTTGGTTCTTTTCAGTTCTGAACCATGTGAACACAATATCAAATTTAAAACCAAATAAAATTTAAAAGTGAAGTCTTTTGGCAATAGAAGCAAGCAGTTCTGCACAGCTATCTTATAAAACCAGTTTTGTGGCAGGGCACATGCCTCGCTCAACTGCCCCTGTGGAACAGCCACGTTGGACGTTCCATCCAGTAACGCCTGGTCTGGGGATTTGGCTCAGAAAATGGCAGAGGAACTTCCCCACTCCCAGTAGTTTAATTAAAAAATTTATGGTTATAAAGTAACAAAAAAATTAAACATGTACTATATTAAAAAAAACCCACTACATACATGTCAAACAAAAGTCAGAGACTACCAATTAGGATACAGTGACTGGGGGGGGGTAAGGCTATGGAGTTTGATTTTCTTTTTGCTATTTTCTAACATTTTTTGGTAACTTGTTCATGTAATTTCATTTAAAAAGTATTGCTGTATACAAAATCAATTTCCCCCCCAAAAGAAACTTTTCATACACAAAAGCCAACAGAAAATGAAATTTAAAATATCCAAAAAATAAGACACATCAAAAAACCACCGTGCAGGAACCTGCAGCGGACGGGAAGAGCTGAGCAGATGCAGAGCTCCAGACACCACATTCGTGGATGGCAGAACGGATGTTGCGAAGATGCCAATTCTCCTAAAATTCATTTAGGGAATCAAAACAATCTCAGTCCAACCCCAGCAGTGTGTGTGAACATGTGTGGAACTTGGGCTAATTTAAAAATGTAGATAAAAGTAAGAACCAACAGTAATGCAGACAGCCTCAAAAAGTAAGGGGGGGACTCGCTCGCTGAAAACAAAGACTCAAGGGAATGCAAGTGGCTGTCCCCTCGGACCAACACAGACGGACGGATGCACAGGTGTGCGGACACCCAATACCCAGTGACAGAGAAGGCAGCATGGACCAGAGGGGCAGGGGACAGATTTGTGCAGTACAGAGGGCAGGGACAATTGGTGTCTTGTGGAGTCAGATAAAATCGGATCTCTGCCATGTACCAAACTAAGTTGAGATGAGTTAAAAACCAACACAAAAGGCCAAAACCGATAAAATAGCTTCTAGAAAGAAATGCTAGAGAATAAATTCATGACTCGTGATAACGATTTCTTTAAAAAGACTCAAAAAAGCATTAACAAAGATTTATAAATTTAGTTACATTAAAATTGAGAACATCTACTCATCAAAAGATACCTTAAGGCATTTGAAGACATTTACAGCTGACAAAGGAAACCAACCACCAAGTACAACCAACTACCAATCAATAAAAAAAGAAAACCCACCAGGAAGAAAGGGGGTGGTCTTAAATGATGTGTCTTAAGAGGGCCAAGGCCAGAAAACCATGAAGGGGGCTGTCGCTGCTGGGGACCTGGGGGTGCCCAGTTTATTCTGCAAGCTGCCCAGGGCTGCGGGGCAGAATCCCAGCAGGGAGAGCGGTGGGGACGTCTGCAGGGCCAGCAAGTTTCTGCTTTTTAAAACTTCACACAGGTATAAAGTTGAACTTAATACAGTTCAATTACACAGGTATTCTCTCTATAAATGGTCCCCCAACTGCACGTAAGCTTCACGCACATTTCTTTTTTTTTTTGAGACAGAGTCTCACTCTTGCCCGGGCTGGAGTGTCGTGGCGTCAGCCTGGCTCACAGCAACCTCAGACTCATGGGCTCAAGTGATCCTCCTGCCTCAGCCTCCCGAGTAGCTGGGACTACAGGCATGTGCCATCATGCCCAGCTACATTTTTCTATATATTTTTAGTTGTCCAGCTAATTTCTATTTTTTTTAGTAGAGACGGGGTCTCCCACTCCTGAGCTCAAATGATCCGCCCACCTCGGCCTCCCAGAGTGCTAGGATTACAGGCGTGAGCCACCGCGCTCGGCCTCAGTGCATTTCTTACACGTTGTTCAAGATAAAGGCACCCAGACTCTCGTACTCTGAAAACTCCCCTGGCAGGTCAGAAGGAACCAGAAGCAGTAAGAGCCCTGGCCGCACCTGGGGTTGATCTCCAGCGTGGGCTGCAGGAGCTGAGCTCGCTCCTCCTGGGTCCTGGCCAGCTGCTGCATGCGCAGGAAGTGCCGGGCAGCCCCCATCTCCAGCACGGTGACCATGGCGGGGTGTGTATCCAGCCGCAGAGTCACCTGCAAGCAAAACCCAGGGGCTGGAAGTGACCGAACCCCAGTAATAAGGGGCTCTGAGGCTAGGGGGGACCCGGGGATGGGGTGTCCTTGAGGCAAAGGGGCTGGGGGCTGGGAGGGTCTTAGAGCAGGGGAAGCGGCCCCCGACCACGAGAGCAGGAGGCGGCAGGCGGTCGGCGCCGGCCTGCAGCGCTCCCTCCCTCCCTCCCAAAGGCCCAATGGTGGGCGGGGTCCTGCGCTGCTGCCCCCACATGAAGTTGAGCCTGTGGGTGGCTCCTTCCTCCTCCCCACGCCACCAGTGGCTGATGCCTCACACTGAAGGTCTACCTTGCTGCCAAGTCTACGCGGACCTCTGAGAAGCCCAGCACTGGCTGCAGGCCCACCTCAGGACAGGTCCTGCTCTAAGGTCTCTTATCTGCCTTATCTGATCTCTCAGGGTGGCTTGAGCTCCTCCCTGCGGGCCTCACTCTTGTGCCCTCCTGGGCCCTGTGTGACTAGCAGACCCACCTCTGCCCACAGGCCTCCCTAGCCCGCACCTGCGAGCACCCCCCTCCCCGTCTGGGCCTCCTGACTGCAGGAGCCCACGGCTGCTCTGAGCCCAGGGCACATGGGGGGAAGAGGAGAATCTGGACTCTCATTCCAATCCAGCCTCCCTGACTTCTTGCTGTGTGATGCTGGGACACTCTCTGTGGACTGGGGACAACAGGTGACCTGAGGCTCAATCAGCGAGCACTGGTGAGGCAGGGCCATGGTAGTGCTGTAGAAGTGCGCTGTGTCACCAAGTCCCATCTGCACACCCTGGTTCTGGCTGCTCCCTGCCCGGGGTTGCTCCTCTCACGCAGTGCTGTCCCTGTCTCCCAAGTCCCATGCCACCTCTGGGACCTGCCCGCATCCATCCTCCTCTGCTCTTGCCAGCCTACCCTGCACCCCGCCTCTCCCCTGGGGACCGCTCCTACACGTGTCCCTGCGCCGGTGGCCCCACACAGGATGCCTGTTCTCTTCTAGCTGAGCCAGACCAGCAGGGTCTTAGCTCATCCGGAACCCCACACACCAAGAACCCAAGTGGGAACACGAGCTCCCGAGGGCTGGGGTGGAACATCCCTTTTTTGGAACCACGTCATCAGCTGCCGTTGCTCCTGCAGGGTCTGGACCAGGATGGCCTGGGGTGGCCTGCTGGGCTCCTCTGCTCCAACCCACCTGGCCCGAGGCCGCTCCTTCCAGCCCCTCAGTTCCCACCTGCTCCGCCCCAGGGGAAGCGGGGAGGCAGACCCTGCCTCTGCTCCGCGCCACTCCTGGGCAGCACACGGTGACGGTGCGCGTGTGCAGGAGCAGGCACCCTCGGGGGCTCCACCTCACACCATGGCTTTTACCACCTCGGGGTGGACCCACCAGGCCAGGAACGGGAAGGCAACACCTATGGTCACCAAGGGCCATGGCGGCCAGATGGTGGCTGGTCCCCGGAAGGCCTCACCTTCACGTTTGTGATGCGTGACCCCAGCACGTTTCGCATCCAGGCCATCAGCTCCTCCGTCTCCTTCTCGGACAGGCTCTCGCCGGCTGCAGAAGGTGGCGGGAGTGAGCCCGGCCAGCTCCGCAGCCTGCGCCTTGGGCTCCCGCAGGGCTCTCCCTCCTCCCTACCCGCCACGACAGAGACAGAAGCTCCTTCCTCAGACCTCAGGAAGGACAAGTCTGGCTGCCGGTGGTTCATATAATTTTGTCAGGGCTTTGGAAACGCAATTCTGACTCCCTCAGGAAGCTTAGTCAGCTGTAAGACGCCACGGTGGGAGAAGCGTTGGAGACCCTGGACCTACACAGGGGACGCTGTCCATTAATCACTAAGATGTTCCCAAACTACTGCTTTCACACGTTGTGACCCCAGATCAGCTGAGAAAAGCCCCGTGCAGACCCACCGCTGCAGGACAGCGACGCCCTGCAGGACGTGACCGCCAGGCTCCACCCCACCCTCGCGCGCCCTGTGCCTGAGAGCAGGAGGCAGCCAACCTGGGGACCCGTCCTCAAACTTCTCCTCCTTGTAGTGGTCGACGACGATGTCTGTCTCCACAGAGATCAGTTTTTTCTTGTCAAACTCACGAAGGTGCAGCAAGGTCAGCTCATCAAACTGCTCGTAGCAAAAGAGGACCTGCGCACGTCCAAGAGCACCCGTCAGGCCTGCAGGGGTCCCTGCCCTTGAGGAGAGGACGTGGGGTGCAGGGCAGGAGGACCCCATAGGGCGCTGGGGCTCCCGGGACTCAGCAGATGGCTCTGAGGGAGGCTCCGGCTGCCTTGGCCGTGCGAACGCTCCACTCACAGGGAAATTCACGTGTGACTTGGTGAGAAATGTAACCGGATCACAGACGGCCTGGGCCCCTGTTCCCGACCCAGACCCACCCCGCAGCCCGCCTGCGTCTTGGGCACGTGCAGCCATTTTCCACCAAACACAGCTGAGAAGCTCAGGGCCCTCCCCAGAGAGCTCAGACCCGCCTCGTCTTCTGCCCGGCTCCACAGAGAGGCCAAGCGCAGGGAGCCCTCGCCAGGGAGCAGCCGTGCGGCCTTGGGGAGCCGGCCCCACTCCCCGTCGCTCACCCACCTCCGTGTCCTTCTGCTTCATGGCCTCAAAGTAGGGCGAGTGCTCGGCCAGCTGCCGGCTGGGGGCGCACAGGTAGTAGATGTTGCGGGTGCCCGCCCGCATGCGGCTGGCGTAGTCCGCGAGGCTGGTCAGCTGCCCGGCAGGCAGCGCCGAGGACTCGTAGCGCAGCAGCTTTGCGATGTCCTCCTGGAGACAGAAAGGGCAGGCCCGCGTGCTCCAGGTCCACAGTCGCAACACCTCCCGACCTGCCGGCACAGGCTTCTGAAGCCGACACTGCCCGGCGCCCTGGGCTGGCTCGGGCCCCTGGGGCTGCTGTGGGCTCTTCGTGGTGTCTGAGACAGGCCTTGCTCTGCCCACGGGCCCCAGCTCAGGAGCTATGGGGGTCGCAGGCTCCCTGGGCAAGCCGCGCACACGTCTCCAGAGTGGCCAGACCCTGCCCTAGGTAGGCACGTGGACAGACTTCAAGTCCACGTTTCCCAGCCTTCCTCACAGCCAGCTGTGGCGGGTGGGAGCGGGACTTGGAGAGGGGCCCGTAGAGGACGAGGACAAGCCCCCATGGGCGGAACACGGATGTGACTGCCGGAGCCCGTCTGAGCTCTGGTGGGAGCTGCGCGGGAAGCACGCAGGAGCAGCAAGATGGGAGCCCGACACCGCCTCACCTAAGCCCGTCACCGCACACGGTCGCACACACAGAAGAGGGGTGGGGAGTGCGGGGACATGGGGAAAGGCACGGAGGACACCCGGGAGTAGAAGGGTGAGGAGACTGGGATTCCAGGTGGATACAGGCAGACGGGGGGAAACAAGGGTTCAGGACCAGCCGGGCAAGGCCAGGTCCATGCCCACATGCTAAGATCTGCATTCGGCTACACGGCCACGATCCTCATGAGCAAACACACTCGCTTCCCGTGAGCGGACGCAAACACACTCGCTTCCCGTGAGCGGACGCCTCGCGGCACTCAGGAAGCTCTCTGGCACGCAGAGAGCACCACCCAGGTGCTGCTAACCACAGCTCAGGCAGGCAAGAGCGAGTGGAGAGTTTGACCAGCCTGCGCGGGAAGGCGCCGGGGTCTGCGGACAGCCAGGAGGCAGGAACGGGCCCAGCGGGAGAGCCGCCCGGCAGCCTTCCCCCAGCCCCAGCCCCACCCTCCTCCTCCTCAGGACCCCACACCTGTGGTCACCCTCCCTCCCCACCAGAGACAATGGATAGCAGCACCCCAACGGACTGCTCATGGGGCAGGCTCTTGCTACGTGCAGGGATGTTCTAGAACTAGATGGCGGGACGTCACACAACCTGTGAGTGCACGGACTGCTGCTACACTGTGCGATTTAGAAGAGTAAAATTTTTTTGTTTTATTGAGGCAGAGTCTTGCTCTGTAACCTGGGCTAGAGTGCCGTGGCCTGATCACAGCTCACAGCAACCTCACACTCCTGGGCTCAAGCAATTCTCTCCCCTCGGCCTCCCAAAGTGCTGGGATTACAGGCGTGAGCCTGTAATTACTCTGCCTGGCCCTAGAAGACTAAACTTTATAAACTTTATGGTATGCGACCTGTAAATAAAAAATGGCCAAACAATGTTTATGGAATGAATGTATCATTTTTGAGCAATCAGGTGTTCGATTAACTGAACCACTGGCCCCAATGTTGTGGGATTATGGGATTTCTGCCTGGTATATCTGAACCTCCCCTTACTAAACACAGCAACGTCTCACCCTCCCCATCCCAGGGAGTCAGACACCGCGGCCTGCCCTGTCTATAGCCCCCCAAGCCCCCAGATCCTCTGTGAGGAGAGAGTGTGTGCCCCTATCTTGCCCAGTCCCGGGGCTGGGGCGTCAGAGGGAGCGAGGCTTGGCTCCCTGGTGACAAGCACCTGCAGGACAAGGGTGAGGACATGCCTGGAACCCGGTAGGACCCGACCTTCCACTCCTGCCCCAGGAGCCACGGCCTGTATGCCTAGCTGCGCCACTGTCACGTCCAGGGACACCTCTGCCGGTGGCCTCGACAGCCCTGGAGCCAAGGACCAGGAGAAAGGCCTGGAAACCCAGCCCCTACCTTGACCTCCTGCTCTGCAGTGGTTACGATGCCCTCCCGCATGAACAGGCCGTAATCTTCAAAGAACTTGGAGTATTTCTCAGCGTCTTTCTTACTCTGGTCAACGAAGAATTTTATTAGCCTCTTCTGTAAAACGTCCCGGAGTTTCCTACAGAACAGACATTCATTTAACACAAACAAGCAACTTCTCCCATGAGTAAGTGCTCAGCCCCACTAATAGCCAAAGAAATGAAAAAAAACCGTTTTTGGCCAAATTGAGACAGACTGAGCAGAAAGAAAGGGAAACCCTGGGCGATCGCCTGGCAGAAGGCAGCGCGTGGGGCCCACCCTGCGGGCAGCCATGTGAGCTGACGCCCCTCGCAGAGGACCGGCGGGCAACAAAGACCCCAGCAGGGAAAACGAGTCCACCCTGTGAGCTGGCTGCTCCAACTGTGGGAATTACACCTCAGGAAACAATCACGAGCGCACCAAGACTTACAGACCAAGACTGTCATTGTGGCACATGAAACAATCATGAACCCTGGTGTTCGATGGAAGAACACAGGTTACAATCTGTATGCTCTGGAATACCGTACGGCTATTAAAAATCACATCTCAGGCTGGGCGAACCGTGGCTCACACCTATAATCCTAGCACTCTGGGAAGCTGAGGCCAAAGGATCACTTGAGGCCAGGAGTTCAAGACCAGGCTGAGCAACATAGCAAGACCCTGTCTCTACAAAAAAATTTAAAATCTAGCCGGGCATGGTGGCACATGCCTATAGTCCCAGCTACCCGGGAGGCTGAGACAGGATCACCTGAGCCTGGAGGTTCAAGGTTGCAGTGAGCTATGATGATGCCGCTGCACTCTAGCCTGGGTGACAGAGCCAGACCTTATCTCAAACAAACAAACAAAAGTTAATGACAGTGAAAAGTGTTCCAAACAAGCTATTAGGTACAACAAAACCAAATAAAATAGTATAAATAATAAATTCAATGATGTTAAAAATTTTTAAAAAATCAACGTGGCTCTCTGCCTCTGTGGGTGGAGCGGGAAGGAACCACAGGGCAGCGCGAGGCCTGCCACCTCCCTGGGCCAGCTGCTGCCTGAGGGCACGAGATGAGAGAGGCAGACTGTCATTCTCTCAGTGCCAGGGCCACTCTGGACAGCAAGGGCATCCGACCCCCCATCATCGCCCAAACCCACACCAACGACCAAGCCTCGGCCCCCACCACAAATCAGCACCCTCCCACTGACAGAGGAGAAACTGGCTGTCGAACTGTCCATGAGCTCACGTGTGAGACTTCAAGGAGGCATGTTGACACCGCACATCGTATTTTACGGGCAAGTCAGAGACTTCCAAAGGTATATATTTCCAACTTAGTTCTCGTCCCACGCGTTAACTCTGAAACCTGCCCCTACCTGGCTGTCAGTATGCTACACTCTAAGCCATAAACAGTGGCTAACCCCAGGTTGGATTACAGGTGACTTGTACGTGCTCTAGTAAGCAAACATTACTTGCACTAGGGGGAAAGGCCAGTAAGTTCCAAATAAAGATTATTTGGTGAGCCTGGAATCCGAGTTGGGGAGTAGAGACGCCATTGGAGGACCCTGAGCCGGCACGCCAGGGACCTCCCTCTGCACTCGGCCAAGGGTGGAGCAGGCTGGCACAGGCTGGCTCTGTAGCCCTCCCACTTCTAGACTCCAGCGTGGTGGTGACCAGCCACCCTCAAATTCCTCTAGACGTAGACTGAGCTGCTCCAGGGACGCCCCGGAGGCCAGGCCTGGGGAACCCAGAAGACTCCTGAGGACCCCACCCCCCAGGCTCGGCTTCCCAGCTCTATGCTCTGCTCTCAGCTCTTGGAGTCCCGTCCTAGGCCCTCTGGTGGCAAAAGAGCCCACGAGGGGTCAGCAGGACCCCAATTCCCTGCCCTCCCTGAGCTCACCTGATGAGCGCGCTCTCCTGCAGGAGCTCCCGGCTGAGGTTCAGGGGAATGTCCTCGCTGTCCACCACACCTGAGACACACGGCAGGTCAGGCTCTCCCCCACTGCCCAAGTCCTCCGGGACACCTGGCCCGTCATGCCCGCAGCCTGGCCTCAAATCCACAGTGAGGTGGGACGGCAGCAGGAAGGACGGGACCGGGGAGACCTCCCGAGCTTCGCACAGGACTTGGTGACGTAGGCAGCGGGCAGGCAAGCGAGCCAGCCTCAGCCAGGGGACAGCATCTATGGCGTCAGGATCCGCCTGACACTGGGAAAGCGATATCCTGCCCTTTGTTACAAGTCATAACTGTGTCGTGGATAGTTTGCACCCTCATGTGCTAAAATGATACAAAAGTTTAAAAGCTGAATTTTTTATTAAACTATACCCTCACTCAAATTTAACACAATTCACGCACAAATCTGAAACTGAGGCAATACGTCTAAATACCAAAAGACCTCAATGCAACAACCCTCTTCTCCCCCCAGGTCAAACTAGAAAGCTTCCCAGGACAAACTGAGAGCAAGATTGGCACATGTGGCACAAATGCAGTCGGCAGCCCTGGGCCGCACGGGAGGTCACTCACAGAGCCGGGGCTCCAGCCCATACCAAGCACAGGTGCCAGGCCACCGTACCTCGGAGGAAGCGCAGCCACTTGGGCAGGATGTCCGTGGCCTTGGTCTGGATGAGGACTTTGCGGCTATACAACGCGACACTGGAGCCCAGCTCCCGGCTCACGTCAAACATGGATGGTTTCTGGGGTGAGGAAAGGATAGTGTCAGGCAGCAATGGCAGAAGTCTGCCTCAGCCACAAGGAGGCAGACCCTGAAGGCAGGATCCCGGAGACCAGCCCTTCCCACACTGCCCTGGGCCGGGGCGTGGCGTGGGTGGGGTGAGCCAGAGGCGGCTGTGCCTTGCTTCACCCACTGCCACCCACACGGCGCTAAATCCGGGGAAGATGCCCCTGACCCCCACCCCATGGCTGTGCAGGGTGGGGCGGCCTTCTCTGGGCAGCTGCCACCCTCCCCAGTCCCCAGTCTGTTCTCCCCTTGGAGGACACAGAAAATGAAGACTTGCGTGTCCTCCTGAACAGAGCTAAGCCTTGCTATGGGTCGGGGTCAGCAGACAGCCCACAGCGTCCCTCTGCGTGGCCCGAGAATGCTTTTTACATTTTGAAGTGGTGTATGACAGGATATGATATGGAAAAGATGAAAGTTAGGTCTGAGTGTCTACACAGCTAACAGGACACAGCCCGGCTCTCTGTGTTGGTCCCGTCTGTGGAGTTTCCTCACCACAGTGGCAGAGCTGGCCGGCACAACAGAGACCGCGTCACCCCAAAGCCAGGGCTAGTCACTCTCCGGCCCTCACAGAAAGCGTCCGCCCCCGCCTGCTCTATGTCACGATTCATAAACTGAACTCCGCCGTCACGCGGGGTCTTGTTAGGGTTCGGGCTCTGACTCGGGGGCGCTGGGTGGGGCCTGGAGCTGTTTCTAACGCGTCCCGGGAGGTGCTGACGCTGCTGTCTGTGGACCACATGTGAGGGGAGGCCCTCACTCAGCTTGCTCCACGATGGATGCTGACAAACATGGGACGTTAAGGCGGCCCCAGGCAGATAAGGGCAGGAAAGGCCGAGTTTTAAGCCCCGAACAGGTCTCTTTACTGCAGGATTTGGCGGAGCACAACGTGCTGACAGGGTGCAGGGAGCCCAGAGTGCAGCAGCGCAGCAGCCAGCCACGGGCCCTCCCCCTGCGGTGCTCTGCAACGCGTGGCCTGGATGGGGGCGGAGCTGCCCAGAGGGCCGGTCCCCAGCATCCCGGCTAGCGTCCTGGTCCACCGAGCCCGGCACCCGGCCCCGTGCTGAAAGACACCAGACCAAACATCCCCTGGCTGCGTGTGACCCGTGCAAGAGTGAAAACCTGCGTTCATCCATCCAGAGGCCTCTGGTTTTCTAATGCTGCAAAGTTAATTGTGTGACTTGTCTGCAAAGCTGTTGCCATTTGGGGAAAGTGCTCGTTGTTGCCAAAACCACTGTGGCTGGGGGACCCCTGCTCCAGGGGCGGCAGAGTCACTCTGCCGGCCGTGCCAGCGCCAGGCAGCGCCTCACCGTGTCCGGCACGTAGAAGATGCTCCGGATGTTGAGTGGCGCATCTGTCCTGTAGTGCAGGGTGTAGCGGGGCTTGTCATAGGCCTGAGCGACGTAGCGATAGAACTCCTCGTGCTGCCACTCGCTGATGTCCTTGGGGTCCATCATCCAGAGAGCCTGGAAACGGAGACGGATGGAGGTGTCATGTTGCAGACGTGTCTTCCCAACAACTGCAGAGCTGAGCGGTGGTGCCCACGCCCCCAGACTGGCCTCCTGGGACAGGCAGGCGGTGGTCCCAGGCGCAGACCCCCAGCCCCTCCGGTGCAGGACACACAAAGGCTCTGGAGCCCCCCCCCCCCACACTGCGTCAGGAGGAGCCCTGAGAACCTTCGCTGGCCACCAACGGCTGCGACAGAAGGCAGGCTCTCCAGACACAGAGTACTGCTCAGCCAGGAAAAGGACCGGGCTGACACTGCACCGTGGCTGAACCACGTGAGGAAGGTCAGCCACAAAGGACCACATGTGGTGGGATGCCATTTACGAGAAACATCCAGAACAGGCAAATGAACAAACAGAAAGCAGACGTGGCTGCCCAGGGCTGGGGGAGGCTGAAGGGGCGTTGACTGACAACAGGCACAACTGCTTTCGGGGGGGATGGAAATGTTCTAGAATCGGCTGGGACGGTGGCTGCACAACTGACTGCAGCAGACACCGCTGAGCTGCACAGATCAAGTGGACCAGGGTGTGGGGGCTGAGGACCCTGCCTGCACCCCAGTTCTCATCTTCCCACCTCTGCCCTTCCACCCCTCTAACATAAGGACTTGTCTCCACGAACGACCGAGCCCTTCAGGGAGCTCGGGTCTCACCTGCAAGGTGTTGATGCGCCTTCCGTTCAGGTACAGAGGGAAGCTGACGAAGTTACTGTACTTTGTCACCACATCTGGAAGAGACAGAAGAGAAACAGCACTGACTCCACGAAGCCTCCCGGCCTGAGCACAAGCCTGCAGGGAGGGCTCCTTTGTGCCGTGCCGTTTCACAGGAGCACAAGCCAAGGTGCAGCAGGGACGCCCGCCCTCCCCTCCCGGTCGCGTGCTGGGCAGCAGCAGGACCTGGCTGGAGGGTGGCCCAGCCCGCTGTGCGGCGTAACTGGGACTCAGAACCAGCAGCTCTGTCCTTCGCGGGCCTGGTGGCCAATCCTGGGCCCAGCCCCTTCCCGGGGCACAGTGGTGGCTCAGACTTTCCCGGCTCCGCCCGGGCACCCTCATCCAGCAGGAGCCCGCCTTGTACAGGGCCCGCCCCACACACCTCGAACCCGGGCCTCGCTGGCAAACTCTCTGCAGTCGGATTTGAGGTGGAGGATGATTTTGGTTCCGGTTCTAACTCCTGAAGCTTCAGCGATTTCGAACACACCAGAGCTAAGACACACACGGGAAAGGAAGAGCCAGTTCCACACATCGCTGCTCGCAAAGTCCTGCACACGGGCTCACTTTCCCTTCCACACCAGCGAAGCCCAGACCAATGGACAGAGAGAAGCTTTGTGACCCTGGTGGAGCCCCTCAGACCCCTGGGCGGACACCAGAACTGCCGACCCTGCGTCCACCCCCCAGGAGGACGCCTGGGCTTGTTCCCCGAAAGCAGGCCCAGGGTGCTGGCAGGGCCTGGCCCGGCCCCAAATGCGTGCCAGACACCTGAGGGGAGGCCGAGGCCAAGGCCAATCCCTGTGTTGTTTCTGACCTTCCAACAGAGGCCAAGTGCCCCTGGGAAGAGAGAAAACCATCGCAGAATCGATGGAACAGGGGACGGACCCAGCGGTGCCTTGCTGACCCCCTGGCCCCCGTGCGCTCTGAGCACTGCTTCCGTGGAACTCAGCGGAAACCCTGGCTGCGACCGAGGAAGAGCCATGGAAGAGCCACGCCAGGCCCCCTCTCCCGGCTGTGCTGCCAGACACGCAGGAGCGCACTGCAGAACGCAGCTCTGAGGCTGCTAGAGCGCGCGGCGTCTGGCTAAGTTCCTCAAATGGGGTCTTGAATGTTTTTCAAAACTCCACCTAGCCAACTGGTAAGACACGGCCCCAGCGCACACCAGAGAAAAAACAGGCGTCTTGGAGAGAGAAGCCGGCGGGCGCGGGAGGCGGCTCTGGGCAGCTGCGAAACCACGCCAGGAAACTGCAGGGTCAGGGAGGTACCAGGACGAGCTCCCAGAGGGGGCCGCCCCAGAGCAGGGCGACCAGGAGAAAGGCCAGTGCTGACGGTGCTCATTTGCATGTTCTGAGGAGAATCTAACTTTCCACACTCCATGCGGACTGCTTCAGCTCCAGCCCAAGCTGCAAGTGCTCCCGGGATGGGGACAGGGACACCCCCCGTGTGAGGTGGGGCTTCTCCTCACTTACTCACCCGTCTGAGAGCCACTGGTACCCCGGGCTCCCCGGGGCCACGGAGCGGGAATAGACCTCGACTCTGTCGGCCACCATGAAGGCCGAGTAGAAACCCACCCCGAACTGGCCGATGATCTTGCTGCTGGCCTCGGCCTGGTTCTGCAGCGCTTCCAGAAAGGCCTGCGGGGGCACAGGCTGGTCAGAGGGAGGGCGCCGTCCTCCCCCGGAGCTGACATTCGCAACTTTCTGTGTATGTTCCTCTCGCGCTCGCCAAGATCTCATTTAATCCTTACAACAGCCACGTTGAGCACTTCCCACCCGTTTCCCACATAAAGAGCCAAGTCCCAGAGGGGCAAAGCGCTTGCCCAAGGCCACTGGCGACAGGTCTAAATTCAACTCCGTGCCCAAAGCTAGCATTTTCTGCCTGTCTCAGACAAGGGGAGCCCTGTAGGTCACACCCAGGGGTGGGAAAGAGGAGCTTGGATAAGCCCCCACCCTGCAGAAAGGCAAGGCTGGGCTTCCTGGGTGCCACAGACTCTGCAGGTCACAGGGGAGGGAGGAGGGGCCCCCAAATTGGCCCTCCTGTATAAAGTCTCCCGGATTCTAAGCTTTGTGGGCCAACAGCACAAACTCAGCTTGTGCTGCCGTAATGGGCCACACAACACTTCGCTATTCTCATTTAATGGTATTAATGCTGAAGTTCCTCAGGTCGAAAATCAAGGCCAGGTGCGGTGGCTCAAGCCTGTAATTCCAGCACTCTGGGAGGCCAAGGCGGGAGGACTGTCTGAGGTCAAGAGCAGATTGCCTGGAGTTCAAGACCAGCCTGAGCAAGGGCGAGACCTCATCTCTAGTAAACTTAGAATTGGCTGGATGTGGTGGCGCCTGTAGTCCCAGCTACTCTCAAGACCAGAACAGGAGGGTGCTTGAGCCCAGGAGTTTGAGGCTGCAGTGAGCTATGACGACACCACTATACTCCAGCCTGGGTGACAGAGTGAGACACTGATTCAAAAAAGAAGGAAGTAAAATGCACACGCCATGGCTGTGGCCAACACTGAACAGGACCCAGGACATTCTGCAACTCAGGAAACCCTGTGCATCTGCCAGGCCCAGCGTGGCAGCTGCTGAGCACCTGGGCATGGCCGGCGCGACGGAGGAACTGCAGTTTACATTTAATTTAGTGCATTTACACTGAAACAGCCACATGTAGCCAGCGGCTCCAGTATGGGACAGCACACACTACCCTTGGTAGACATGCAGCCAAAAAACTTAATCGGGGGGAAGTCACAGTTATGGTAATTTTTTAAAAGTAGAAATTTCTGTGAATGACTTGGGATCAACATTCGCACTATCATCAAACACTTGGCACAACCGCCATGCAGGGGTCACTCGGGCTGACAGAGATCAAGGAGAGGCACCAGGGCGGCTGAGGCCACAAGCCTTTGTCCCAGACTGGCAGCCGCCGCGGTGGAGGAAACCTCGGCCGTCTCGCATCTTCCCACCGTAGGCGGCAGTCACACAGCAGTGCCGGTGGGAACCACCAAACCCACAGACGGCGTGGCCCAGCTCACGCCTGTCAATGGTGCTGGCTCCGTGGAGGAGACGCCCCGCCAGCCCTCTCTGTGCCAAGCGCACTCAGCACAGGGCCTGGCTGGGGAAAGACTTTGCAGAGAAGCATCGGGAGGCAGAATGGCAACGGCGACAGCTTCCAGCTACGGCAGAACCCACCTCCCCACCTATAAAATGGAAATACTAACAGCAACCACGCCAGAGGTCCCTATGACACTAAAACGAAACACAGCTGGCCCTCCATACTCTCAGGTTCCACACCTGTGGATTGAACCAACCAAGGATCAAAAATGCTCAGGGAAAAAAAAAAAAAATTTAAAAAACCCACTGTATAACAAGTATTTACATGGCATTTACATTGTATTCGGCATCACGACTAGCCAGAGATGATTTAAAGCACACGGGGACGTGCACGTGACATGCCACACCATTTACATCAGGGATGCGGGAGCATCCCGGGTTTTGGCATCTGTGGGAGGTCCTGGAACTAACCCCACCCACCACCCGGGGACACTGAAGGTCGGCTGTGCTGTCACAAAGTGTTCCCACAGTGGCTGCCACTCGGTGCACACCCGATGACGTTCTCATTTTATCTGGCAGCCAGGGCACCCTTACAGGAGGGACCCTGGCACACCGAGGAACAGGAACGCAGTGGGCCTGTGCTTACCTTTGACCCCGATCTGGCGATCGTTCCCAGGTTGGACACTAGCTCTTCCTGTGTCATCCCGATGCCAGTGTCCTGAGGAGAGAGACACTCTTAAGTGCTAGAGCAATGGCACAGGGGCAGCAGGCTGAGGCACACAGGCAGCCCCAGGGCTCAAACAGCATCGGCGACACTGGCCAGACGGGGGCCAGCAAAGTGACGCCACACGCTGATTAAGTCAGCCCAGCCTCACCAGAGCAGAAAGTTTCCTGGTTTTCCTACTGAAACCATCCTGTGAAGAACACAGTAAGTCAGCAACTTGGAGGCCAAGCTACGACTCTTCTGTCACCACTATTGCCTTCTCCGTGGTTCTGGTTCTTTAGAACAGCTATATCCTCCTTTGGGGGCTCTACTGATCCAGCAGGACAATCTGATTTAAAAGAATACAGGCTGGGCACAGTGGCTCACACCTGTAACCCCAGCAGTTTGGGGGGCTGAGGTGGGAGGATCCCTTGAGGCCAGGAGTTTAAGACCAGCCTAGGCAACAGGGAGACCCTGTCTCTACAAAAGTTTTTTAAAAATTAGCTGGGCGTGGTGGTGCACCTGTAGTCCCAGCTACTCAGGAGGTTGAAGTGAGAAAACTTGAGGCCAAGGCTGCAGTGAGCTATGACTGCGACCCTGCACTCCAGCCTGGGCCACAGAGCAAGGTCTTGCCTAAAAAATAAAAAATGAGACAGAGAGAAAATACAAACTGCAGGAAGCAGGTGTGAAGAGTATGCTCTGCAGGTGACACGGGAATGGCTCAATCCCATTGCCATAGGAAGAAGGGGGGCAGTACCGTCCCACTGCCTCTCCCAGCACTTCCCCTGGAGCCTCAGACCCGCCAATCCTATGGCTGGTGGCCTCCTAAATTTGCATGATGGTATTAAATGGCGGGACCTCTGGGAGGTAGTAAGGTCTTAAGAGCCCCGCCCTCATGACTGGGATTAAGGCCTTTGTAAAAGAGGCTTCAGGGAGGCTGTTCGCCTCTTCTGCCACGTGAGGGCACCCAGAAAGCCCCATCTATGAGGAGCCATCCTCACCAGACACCAAATCTGCTGACTCCTCAAGCTTGGACCTCCCAGCCTCCAGAGCCGTGAGCACTACATTTCTGCTGTTTGTAAGTACAGTACCCAGTCTATGGCGCTCTGATACAAAAGCCTGAACAGACTAGGACACAGAGCAACAGAGTTTGAGGCTGCAGTGAGTTATGGTTGCACCACTTCATTCCAGCCTGGACCAGAGAACAAGACTCTGTCAAAAAAAAGAAAAGAAAAGGAAGGGAAAGGAAAAGGAAAAACAGAGAGAGAGAGAGAAGGAAAGGAAAGGAAAGAAATTTAAAAGAATCCTAAGGAAAAGGTTACTGTTAGGCTGATACAAAGGAGAAAAAGGAGAAAACACATCTAAAAGTTACTATTTTCAACTCATTTTAATTTCTTCCCAAAGTGATCTACAGATTCACTGCAATCGCAATCCAAATCCTCAGGGTTTTACAGAAAATGACAAGCTGATTCTAAAATTTATATGGAAATACAAAGAACCTAGAATATTTTGAAAAAGAACAAAATTAGAGAACTTATACTACCTAATTTTTAAGACTTACTATAAAGCCACAGTAATTAAGACAGTGTGATATGGGCATTTAAGGATGGACACATAGATCAAAAGAACCAAACAGAGACCAGAAACAGAGCCACACAGGTAGTGTGTAAATTGATTTTTGACAAAGATTCCAAGATAATTCAGTGGGGATGGGGATGATAAGTCTTTAAACAGATGGTGATGAAACAACTGGATAGCCATATGCAAAAACTATAAATCTTAACCCCTACCTCACACCATACACAAAACTAACTTGAAATGGACCATAGATATAAGTATAAGGGATAAAACTATAAAACTTCTAGAAGAAAGCACAGGGGACTCATGCCTGTAATCCTAGCACTCTTGGAGGCCGAGGCAGGTGGATCACTCGAGGTCAGGAGTTCGAAACCAGCCTGAGCAAGAGCGAGACCCCGTCTCTACTATAAATAGAAAGAAATTAATTGGCCAACTAATATATAGAGAAAAAATTAGCCGGGCATGGTGGCGAGAATGCCTATAGTCCCAGCTACTCGGGAGGCCAAGGCAGCAGGATTGCTTGAGCCCAGGAGTTTAAGGTTGCTGTGAGCTAGGCTGATGCCACAGCACTCACTCTAGCAACAAAGCAAGACTCTGTCTCAAAAAAAAAAAAGCAAGTACAGGGCAAAATTTTTATGACTCCAGAGTATACAAAGATTTCTAGATAGATCAGTAAAAGCATGAAGCATACAAGCAAGAACTGATAAACTTTACTTCATTAAAATTAAAAAATTTTGCTCTTCAAAAGATACCACTAGGCCAGGCGTGGTGGCTCACGCCTGTAATCCCAGCACTCTGGGAAGCCGAGGCGGGCGGATTGCTCAAGGTCAGGAGTTCAAAACCAGCCTGCGAGACCCTGTCTCTACCATACAAAATAGAAAGAAATTAATTGGCCAACTAATATATATAATATAAAAATCAGCCGGGCATGGTGGCGCATGCCTGTAGTCCCAGCTACTCGGGAGGCTGAGGTAGGAGGATCGCTTGAGCCCAGGAGTTTGAGGTTGCTGTGAGCTAGGCTGACGCCACAGCACTCACTCTAGCCTAGGCAAGAAAGTAAGACTCTGTCTCAAAAAAAAAAACAAAAACAAAAAAAAAAAGATACCACTAATAAAAAGGCAAGCCACAGACTGGAGAAAATATTTGCAGAATGTGTATCTGATAAGGACTTATCTAGAATATATACAGAACTCTTACAATTCAATAATAAGAATGCAAACAACTTGATTAAAAATGAGCTAAAGATCTGAATAGACATTTCACCAAGATATTTCACCACATGGCCGATAAGCACATGAAAAGATGCTCAACACCACTAATCATTAAGAAATGCAAATTAAAACACAATGAGAAGCTACTGCCAATCCACTAGAATGGCTAAAATAAAAAGTCTGACAATACCAAGTGTTGCAATGATGAGCATCAACTGCATTCTCATACATTGCTGGCAGCAATGCAAAATGGACACTCACTTAGAAACATTCGTCATTTCTTTATAAACGTTAAAGAGCACCCACCTTATCCCAGGATTTAGGAGTAAATCCTACTCCTAGGTATTTACCCAGAGAGACGAAAACCTGTATCCCGCAAAGACCTGAACTCAGTGTTCGCAGAGGCTTCACCCTCAACATCCCCACTGGACATGACCAACGCCCACCAGGGGCTGAATGGGTAGACATGCTGTGAACCCTCACAGAACGCCCGTCAGTAACGAAAGGAGTAACCACTGGTGCAGGCAACAGCATGGGTCAGTTGCAAAGCTCCATGATGAGTGGCAGCAGCCAGACTTAAAAGACTACGCACTGGGTAATTCTACGGAGATGAAATTCTAGAAAAAACAAAACCACAGTGACAGAAAGCAGATCGGTGGTTGCTTGGGTTGGGAATGGGGAAAGGAACTGACTTTAGAGGGACCTGAGGGACACCGGGGTTGGCACCATGATCGAATGGGCCATGTGGCGTATACACTGGTCAAAACTCATCGAACACGGTGAATTTTGGCTGGGTGAGGTGGCTCACACCTATAAATCCTAGCACTCTGGGAGGCCAAGGCGGGAGGATCGCTCAAGGTCAGGAGTTCAAAACCAGCCTGAGCAAGAGTGAGACCCCATCTCTACTAAAAATAGAAAGAAATTAATTGGCCAAATAAATATATATAGAAAAAATCAGCTGGCATGGTGGCGCATGCCTGTAGTCCCAGCTACTCAGGAGGCTGAGGCAGAAGGATCGGCTGAGCCCAGGACTTAGAGGTTGCTGTGAACTAGGCTGACATGGCACTCTAGCCCAGGCAACAGACTGAGACTCTATCTCATTAAAAAAACAAAACAAAACAAAAAAAAACTGCCCAGGCCACCAAAGACAAGGAGAATCTGAGACACAGTCACGAGGAGCCTAAGGAAAACAGTGACTGTGTCATGTGGGATCCCAAGGGGATCCTGGGACAGAAAAGGAGCATCGGGGGAAATGGGGAAGCTTGAACAGCTCTGCTTAAGAACAAGACACAGGCCAGGCGCAGTGGCTCCCGCCGGTAGTCTCAACACCCTGGGAGGCTGAGGCAGGAGGATCGCTTGAGCCTAAGAATTTGAGATTGCTGTGAGCTATGATAATACTGCACTCTAGCCTGGGCGACAGAAAGATACTGTCTCAAAAAAACGAAAGAAAAAACACATTAATCCTGGTTCATTAACTGTAGCCAACACAATACACTAATCTAACGTAAGACTTTAATCATAAACGAAGCTGGGTGTGGAGTATATGGCAACTTTTGTACTGCTTTAAAATTTTAAATCTGCTCAAAAATAAAATAAATAATGTTGAAGTACAGATATTTCTGATACAGGCAGAGATCACTTGCTGAGCCAATGCACCATGTAAGATTTTGAAAGGAATCTGCAAGGGTTTAAGACAGGTGTGTATGCAAAATATTTGACATAAAAAGAAAAAGAGGGTTTTGTCATTGGAATGATATCGTTCTAAGATTCTTACATTATAAATGAAGTGGTAAATATCAAATCAAGCTAGACAGTGATAAAGTAAGGCTACATATTTTATTACTGGAAGAATCCTCTAAAACTAACAAAAAGCAATGAAGCTAAAATGTCAGTAGGGGAGAGAGACTGGCACAATACCTGAGCCCCACAAAAGCCCTGCCTCTGATAAAACTTTACATAGAATAATGTATCGATAACGGTTAATTAATGGTAACAACGGACCATCCACATCAGGTGTTAGGGGAAACTGAGTGCCAGGGGTATATCAGAACTCTTTGTCCTATCTGCTCAAATTTTCTGGAAATCTAGAACTGTTCTTTTTTTTTCTAAAGACGACAAAAGACAAAAGAAAACAAAACTACTTTTCATGACATAAACAATCCCAGGAAGCAGTGGAACAGGAGGACAAGCCTCTCTGCTCACGTCCCCACGGCCCCTGTCCCCAGCACATCCATCCCTCATTCACTCCAAGGGCCCCAGGCTGTAAACGGCAGGGAAGTGCAGGCGGCCCCTTCGCACATCCCAGCCCTGTGCCCCCTGCCCTGCCACAGGCCAGCTCAGGGAGAGGCAAAGGAAAGAAACCCATGCCCCACCCAATCCTGGTGACAAACAGCTTGCAAGCGCCAAGGTGGCTCATCCACTCACGCACGCACGCACGCACACACTCACCCATCTGGCATGGCCTTAGGAACGAGTCGGTGTTCCAGCAAGAGATGCTCAGACCCACCCAGGCCTGTGCCAGACCTCAGTCACGCTGAGACCCTGGGACGGAAGGTCCCCAGGCAGCTGTCTCTGGAACACAAAGTCCCCAGGGCCACTGCCTCACAAAACCCCTTTGCCTTTCTAACTCTTTGACCTTAAAATTCTCACAACAGCAACCACAAGTGCTGCTTCTTCTGTGTTACGAGGGGGAAGCACAGCTTAAAAACACGAAAAGAGTACATTAAAAATATGTTTAGTGATGTTAACAACTGCACGTACCAAACCTTACATAGACACGTGCTAAAATGTTACTAGCAGTAATCTTTGGATGATGGGTGATTTTAATTTTCTTTTCTGCTCACCTATGTCTTCCAAATTTTCTATAATGAATGGGTGCGATTTTAGCAGTAAATTAAAACCAGAGCCCTCCTAACAGTAAAGACAGCACGTCAATAGGAGCTAGAGACGTCACCGGTGGGCAGGTGCCGTCTCCTCTGCGAGCCCTGCACTGCGCACGCCTGGACAGGAGAGCCGGTACCTGGATCGTGATGGTGCCTTTCTCAGAGTCGGTCTGCAAGTGAATCTCCATTTCTGGCAGCGTCTGGCCGTCAGACACCAGTTTATGACGCAGTTTTTCCAAAGCATCGCTGGCATTGGAGATCAGCTCGCGTATGAACACCTGCAGGAGCAGAAAGGAGAGGAATGGAGAACAAAGGAGTCTGACTCTGCATTTGCAACAATTGTTAAAAGTCCAAGAATTGCCATGGAACACTCAGTTCTCTAAACAAAGATTTTCTGCTTTAGTCAAAGGCAGTTCCTCTGGGCAGGTCACAGAGTGACTAATGGTGTATCACTTCTCCCCACATGGCTTCACATAAGCTACTACTCTTTTCTTTCCAGATGCTCCATCAGGCCTCAAGTTGTATCCATTTGTCGGCTCAAACTTTAACAAGAACCCCTGAGGGACCACTCCTTTCTCAACTCTTGCATAGGGATAGCGACATACACCAGACATACCACATCTCGGAGAAAAAAGGGCCACACAGCTCAACCCCAACTATCCTCTCAGGACCTGAAAAGCACCTTGACCTCAAACAGAGCTTCTATTTAAAGTGAGCGACGACACCCAGGCGAGAGTAAGTGAGTGACCTTCCCAACTGAAGGCGTTGGGATCCAGGAATATAGCACGTAACAGTACAACACCTGGAAATGTTTCCTGAAAAGTCTCTCTGAACTCTGTAATATTGTGCTTTACCCTTCCTTCAGAATTCTTCTTTGCATTCTAGCAATAATCGGTATGTAAACAGCCACGGTCTGATTGTTCTCCAGTTTTCCATGTCCTGTCACCTCTGAGTTTTAACTGCCTCAGAAATCTCCGTGTGACCCTCCCTGCTCTACACACACAGGACCACGGAACCTTCTTCCTCCAGCCACCAACGCCCCCAACGAGACCTGCAAGTGGCCACAAGAGATGAGGGGGAAAACACAGGGGCCTCAGGCACTTCGACAGCTCTGCAGAAATGGATCTCGGTGGAGCCCCACGCCAGTATTTGGGGACTTCTGCAATTATTGGCAAAATTCAATTAATTCCCAGAGTTCATCTGGCCCAAAGAATCATCTGGATACACTTATCCACAAAACCCAAAACAGATTTTGGTAGAAAATACTCTCACTGGACGCTTAAGATGGGGACCTATCCAAAGTTTAATGCATTCTCACAGCTAATATACTGTCTGGCATTTCCCCAGAATGGCATCAAATTAGTTTTGCCAAAAGAAACCCTGCTAGCATCGGCAGCGATCGGCAGGTAGCGTACCTCTTTCTCTGAGTATAAGGAACGGGCAACGATGTCCAAAAGCTTCTTTGTCTCAGCCTGGAACTCGTGTTTGGAAACGGAACCTAGTAATGAATCACAGACGTGGCCAATAAAATTCAGTTTCTATTTCTGTGTAAGAACATGCTACGTAACATTCAAAAGAATGTTTAAGGTTATGCGTTTTAAACATTTTTTAAAAGAATGAACAGAAATAAAGAAAGGGACAGAAATGATCTCTCAGGTAAGGAGGTCTCAGGGCAGAACGAATCGAGCGGCTCCTCTTTCCACAGAAAGGGACACACGTGAAAAGAATGCTCCCACTGCTATGGCCACGCACCTTGGGTCACTGCTGGTGACCCTGGAGGTGGACTTCCCTACGTACTCAGGCACAAGAATGGGCTGGCTCTCACTAGACCCCATATTGTGTTCTTCAAAAAAATGGTTTCCATGTTTTTTATTCAAAAAGCAAAACAAGAAAACCTCATTTCTCTTAGCTCAACTTCAAAGATTCTGTTCTTTTCGCCTCATTTAAAAGCCAGAAACAGAACCACTTCAGGGACAGGCTCTGAAGAAGGCTGCTCTCCTATCCTCCCGGGGGAGCAGGAAGACGACTAGAGGATTCAGTGCCCCACGAGCTGGGCCAGCACCGAGCTTGCGTCCAGCCTCCTGATTGTTAGCAGATGTGCTGTGAATCACCAGGGAAGGTGCCACATGGCGAATTCACGGGCGACCACCAGAGGGGGCAGCACACCCCAGGATAAAGCGGGAGGCCCACGCTGGGACAGAAATGGAGGATACATGACTCAGGGCAACACTCCCTGCGACCAGGACCTTCCAACTCCTGCAGCGAGTAGGCGGCTCCATCCGTCACCACCTCCACCTCAAAAGAACTCCCCCTTACAAGCCCGCAATGAACCAGACAGACGTCCCAGACCCCCTGTGGCCGAACACGCTACCCTGCACGGCCTCGGTGCTGCTTATGATGGAGTGTAGGGCCTCTGCCTTGTCCTCTGCCGCCTGCGTGCTGTACGGCTGCGTGGCGTGAAAGCACGAGGCCAGGCTTCGCCCGGGGCTCCCGAACTGGACTGTGGTCCTCCGGGGACACAGGACCGGTTTTCCTGAAAGGACAAACATGCAGAAAAAGAACAAGCATTAGAAAGACGTTGGACACAGAACACCACGCTCTCTTCACAACTAGTCTGCCCAGCCCTGCGGATTCCTCTACCTCAGGCCGCTGCTCAAAAGAGAAATGACAAGTGACTGAACATCATACAGCTGCTGCTGTGTCGGGGTGCAGTTTTGGCAACCTGCTGTCACACATGTCACGTCACTGGAATATGCTAGGGCTCAGTGGAACCTCAGGGGCAAAGCTGCAGGGGTGGGCAGTGGCTTCTGACGCCACGTCCCGCATCCGGCCCCCCCCCCCCCCCGTGAGGTCAGGGAGCACCACGACAGGGAACGGCCCTGGTCAGATGCTCATTACGTGACGGTTTCAAGGACACACGGTCAGCCAGGAGGACATCCAGACCTAAAGGAACCGCATCTGCCCGTTAGGTGCTATTCTTCCTTGCAAATTTGTAACACACGGGAAGGAGTGATGTAGAACATCCAGAAATAGGTTGCAGGTTTTAAAAATTAACATATCAATATCCACATTCCTACAAGATATAAAAATTTGCCTATTCTTATGGCTTATTCCTGGATTTATAAAAAACACGAACCTAGCCTTTACCTTAGTGTAGAATACCTTAAAAACATCTACCCCAATTCAGAAAATATTCAATTTCCAAACAGCATAAATACTGAATCCTCTAGGCCTACCTGATTGCACTGTTCACTTTATCCATACAGTTAAAAAAAAAAAGAAAAGCTGGGGCATTTCTTCTGGAATTAAATATTTGGTATCAGAGGATTTCATCAAGAGTCCACACTAGGCCAAGGTGCTAAAGTCCCCGTGCCCCTACCCAGCGTCCCAGCCCAGGCAGAGCCAGCCCCTGGAGCACGGTGGGAAGGGTCTCGGCGCCACCCACCCACCACAGAACCCAGTGGCCACGCCGCCTCGCTGCTGCCAGGCACAGCCCCGAGCACACGTTCAGAGCCGAGTGAGGCTGTGGACCCTCTGCTTACAGTACTGCAGGACTTCAGAAAGGAAATCGTTAAGGACTGGAATAAAGATGTTCATGGGGGTAAGACCGGAGTTCAGTCTCTGGGACAGGATTTGGATTCAAGTTCTACATGGAGGCCGGGCGCAGTGGCTCACGCCTGTAATCCTAGCACTCTGGGAGGCCGAGGCGGGCGGATTGCTCAAGGTCAGGAGTTCAAAACCAGCCTGAGCAAGAGCAAGACCCTCTCTCTACTATAAATAGAAAGAAATTAATTGGCCAGCTAATATATATAGAAAAAATTAGCCGGGCGTGGTGGCTCACGCCTGTAATCCTAGCACTTTGGGAGGGCGAGGCGGCAGATTGCTCAAGGTTAGGAGTTCGAAACCAGCCTGAGCGAGACCCCGTCTCTACCAAAAGTAGAAATAAATTAATTGACCAACTAAAAATATATATACAAAAAATTAGCCGGGCATGGTGGCGCATGCCTGTAGTCCCAGCTACTTGGGAGGCTGAGGCAGTAGGATCGCTTGAGCCCAGGAGTTTGAGGTTGCTGTGAGCTAGGCTGACGCCATGGCACTCACTCTAGCCTGGGCAGCAAAGCGAGACTCTTTTTTTTTTTTTTTTGAGACAAAGTTCTACATGGAGCACGACTCCAGGACATACAAACATGAGCATAAGCGTATGAACTACCTGTTCTAAACGGGCCTCCCAGGAGGAGGGGAGAGTGGACTAATGGCCAGCATATGCTTTTTATTTCATCTTCTATGCATAAATATTTTAATCAAGAACACATCTTAGAGGCCGGGCGTGGTGGCTCACACCTGTAATCCTAGCACTCTGGGAGGCCGAGGCGGGTGGATCGTTTGAGCTCAGGAGCTCAAGACCAGCCTGAGCAAGACTGAGACCCCATCTCTACTATAAATAGAAAGAAATTAGCCAAACAACTAAAAATAGAAAAAACTATCTGGGCACAAGGGCCTGTAGTCCCAGCTACTGGGGAGGCTGAGGCAGGAGGATCGCTTGAGCCCAGAAGTTTGAGGTTGCTGTGAGCGAGGCTGACACCACGGCACTCTAGCCCAGGCAACAGAGTGAGCCTCTGTCTCACAAAAGAAAAAAAAAAAGAACACATCTTAGAGACCCTTCCATATTAGTACATATACAACTGCTTATTCTTTTTAATGAACACACAGTATTCCAGGGTAATGGGTATGTACTTAGCTAATGCCCAATGGGTAGATGTTTAAACTATTTTTAGTCTTTTGGTATCAAAAATAAAGCTACTGGGTGGGCACACAGTAGGGCTCAGGCCTGTAGTCTCAGCACTGTGGGAGGCCGAGGCAGGAGGATCACTTGAGCCCAGGAGTTCGAGGCTGCAGTGAGCTATGACGACGCCACAGCACTCTAGCCTAGGCGACAGAGCAAGACCATGTCTCAAAAATAATAATACTGCTCCTAAGTGCTAAAGAGTTATCTACTCTATGCTATCCTTCAGGGAAAAGAAGGGGGTAGGGGAAAATATTCATGTTTCTGCTCATTTGTACAAAAGAAACATAGGAAGGAAAACCCAGAAACTAAGGAGACCGTGTGTTCATTTCCTAGGGCTGCTGGAACAAAGAACCACTAACTGGGTGACTTGAAACAACCGAAAGTTCTGGAGGCCAGAGGTCCACAATCAAGGTGCAAGCAGGGTTGGTTCCTACTGAGGTTGCCGGTGAGGATCCATTCCAGCCTCTCCAGCTTCCACAGCCGTGGGCATTGCCTGCCTGTGTGCCTTCCCTGCACAAGCTCTTCCCTGCACGCATGTCTGTTCAAATTTCCCCGTTTTATAAAGACACGGTCACGCTGGCATACGGGTCACCCTAATGATCTCATCTTAACTTGATCATCCACCAAGACCTCATTTCCAAATAGGGTCACATTCACAAGTAGTGGAGTTGGGACTTCATCTTTTGAGGGGACACAATTCAAACCCCCACAGGTGTGTGTCAACAGAATGGAAAGAACAGGGATATGGGACAGGGTAGCAGAGCTGAGAGGAACATGACATTTCTGAGTAGATCTTTTTCTTTTTCTTTTTTTTTTTGGTGATACAGAGTCTGACTCTGTTGTCCGGGCTAGAGTGGCGTCAGCCTAGCTCACAGCAACCTCAAACTCCTGGGCTCAAGCAATCCTCCTGAGGAGCTGGGATTACAGGCGTGAGCCACCACGTCCAGTTAATTTTCTCTATTTTTAGTGGAGACGGGGTCTCACTCTTACTCAGGCTGGTCTCGAACTCCTGACCTCAAGCAATCCTCACACCTTGGTCTCCCAGAGTGTTAGGATTACAGGCTTGAGCCACCGCGCCTGGCTAAAAAATGGTATTTGACTATATACTGTAAAACTAACTTCAAAGGACAGTACACAATTATTGTACTCGAGTTAGTAAATGTGCCCATCATATGGGTTAGCAAGTCTGAAGCTGCTTTGTGTATATACTAAGACCAAGCAAATACAGTGGCCAAAGAATGAAGCTCCTTGCTGGTGGAGAAAGGAGTTGCAAACAAGGGGGCTGGGCACACCCTATGGCGCCGCACTGAGAGGGAGGAACGGTGTGGCCACGTGACCTGCTGCACACGTACAGAACGGCCACAGAAACGACCATGGAGTGTGGATGTGAACACATGGGCGTGCACACATTTCCCAGCTCTGCCCACTGACAGGGCCAAGGAGTGACAAGACCCAGGAGCAACGAGTATTCTGAGGCTACGGGGAGTGACCGTCCAAGAGCCATCCCAGCTTTAGTACCTGAAAGTCCCATGAAGTTCCCAGGGAACACCTGAGTGCTGGCAAACTGGGAAGGCTGGTCACTCTGCCCGGCAACCAGATCTTGGCTTGTGAATACCATTCTCCAACAAAAGGAACCAGAGCTCTTTGGAGAACACACAAAATGAGCCAGGAACACCCTGCAGTGCCAGAAAGTGACAAAGGACTCAGAAAGCACAGGGGTGTGTCAGGAGGACACAGGCTCCAACTCCAAGGGGCTCCAATGGCAGAATCCAGGACAATCTGAGCAACAAAATAAATAATAATAGTAATGGACTGTAAATTGTAACCCAGCAAATAAATATTAGCCCATACATAAATACGGAGAAGCAGCACCTCTTTCTTATAGTAGAATTGCAATGAATGAAGGTATAAGGAATGATGGAAAATAGAAAAATTGCCATTGGGCAAACACCGCAGGAATGATTGTGGCAGGTATAAATTCCTGATGGATGTTTACCAGAAACAGACTATTTGCATAATTTTAAAGTATCTCCCTCAGAATACTTACTGGTTTTAAAGAAAAAAAGCAGTAACTTTCCCACGAACAAAGAGGCAGGTGCACATTAAGCAACCAGTCGCCATGCAGCTCCTGACACACGGTGAGAGGAACAGCCCCCCTGCTGCCTTCCTGCCAAACTCGCTCCTCTACCTAATCACAAGGAAATGCCAAACCCAAACTGAGGAGCATCCTGTAAAATAACTGGCCAGTGCTCTTCAAAAGGGTCCTGGAAGACAAACACAGACTGAGGAGGGAGGAGACCTGACCACAGTGTTAACACCAGAGTAGCCCTCTGGACTATTTCTGTGACATCTGTCAGTAAACAATTATTTCAAGATAAAAAGCAGTACTCTAAGGAATACTCTTGCACACGTTCCACTTCATTTATGCACAAGCATACATCTAGAAGTGGAATTGCCAGGTCCAAGTTTATGTATTTTAAATTGTGGTAGATGCTAAATTACCCTCCACAGAGACTGTGTCGGCTCACACTCCCACCAGCGACGAGCTAGAGAACGTGTCACCCCAAGACAGTGCTGTGACCAAACGCTTGGCTCCTTGCCTACTGGTCAGGTAAAACTTTCACTGTATTTTTATTTACATTTCTCTTATGATGTGCAAGATTGATCACTTTTCCATATTTTAAAATATTTATTTCCTTTCGCAAACGGACTATTGATATACTCTGATGATCTTTATTTTTTATTTT